ATGTAATATCTTATACATTGTGATGATTATTATCCTTAGAATATATTGGTTGGATTTACAAAATGTCCCAGAAGTAGTACACTAAATATTGTAACCCTGCAATTCTGATAACTGCTGATCGGAGGGAGCTGGGACATACTTATAAGTGCAGAAGCATGGTCTGATGTATTGAGTCAGCAATGAGGGTATCTGGCAGTGTAGAAGCGCTGTAATTCTGACTACATCTGTACACAGTTTCCACCTGTAGGGTAAAAATTCTGGGTGTAGTTTACAGAATGATTTCACTCAGTCCAGCTAGGTAGAAGAGGTCCCTTCCAGGCACAGTCAAATTAGTTCAATAACTGAGGCAGGCATGGGCATGGACTGAGTTTGCCCATTAGTTGGGTTCTAATACATTGAAGAGAAATGAGTCAAGGGGAGACACAATCCCTTTGAGAGATGACTAGAGGACCAAAATCGTGGAGGTACCCCGGGCCTAGGTGCAGCAGGAGTCGAAGGATCAAAGAAGCAAACAGTTTTCCAGAGCCTCGTGTGCACTGAAGCTATGGAAGGGGCTCCAGACAGAAGCACAGTCTCAGAGGGATGCAAGAGGTGGGAGGAGAGCACTGAGCACTTTTTTCCCTACCTTTTCAGCTCCTGCCTCCCATTGCCCCAAATAAATCAAAAGATAGAAGGCAAGGAAGCCAGGTGATACTGTCTGCAGGGTCAGCCCCTCCAGGGATGCAGAGACTGGAAGGGAACCAATGGAGTAGGAAAGAAATGAAGACTAGCCATTGCCTGTGTCCTACAGGTGATTAAAGTAATACTGATCAGGTGCTCAGTAGTACTTGCCTGTAATCAGTCCCACCTTGCACAGGTTAATGTGCTCTGCCTGAAGAGACTATCTTAGTTTCTCCTGGGAATTTTAAACATTAGAATATGCATTAGTGTCTTTTCAAGAATGATGCTGGGGAAATAGGATGTCCTCATGCAAAAGAATAAAATTTGGCCCTTGCCTTATAGTATATTTAAAAATTAACTCAAAAAGTGGATCAAAGGTCTAAATGTAAAGCTAACACTATAGAACTCCTAGAAGAAAACAGGAGAAGAGCTGCATGACATTGGATTTGACAGTGATTTCTCAGAGTTGACACCCAAAACACAGGCAAGAAAGTAAGAATAAACTAGGCTAACTCAAAAATGTCCATGAGACAAAGCACACAGTCAACAGAGTGAAAATGCAAATATTTTCTCCCATGGGAGAAAATATTTGCAAATCATCTGTCTGCATGATAATAATACAATCCAGAATATATAAAGACCTCTTACAACTCAACAACAACAAAACTAAGCATAACTGAAAGCAGGGTCTCTGTGCACCCATGTTCATAGCAGCATTATTCACAATAGATAAGAGATGGAAGCAAACCAAGTGCCCTTTGACAGATAAACAGAATATTACTCAGCCTTCAAAAGGAAGAAAATTTTGACATATGCTACAACAGAGAGAAACCTTTAGGACTTTATACTATGCTAAATAAACCAGTCACAAAAAGACATATACTGTAAGATTCCACTTATATGAGGTATCGAAACTACTCAAATTCATAGTGACAGAAGGTAGAACAGTGGTTGCCAAGGAGTGGGGTGAAAGGTGGATGTGGAGTTATTGTTTGATGGGAATATAGTTTCATTCTTGCACAATGAAAAGAATTTGGGGGATAGATGGGAGTGTTACCTATACAACCATGTTAATATACCTAATTTCACTGAAGTGTATGCCTAAAAATGGTTATGATCATAAATTTTTTGTTATGTGTGTTTTGCCACAACTTTTTTAAAAGCTGGAGGATCAAGAGTGACATGTTGTACCTAAATAGTTAAAATCAAATTTCTCCAACATGATTTTTCTTCAGAATAATTTTATAAAAACTATACATCACCTTCAGAATGAATTCACAATCAAGATGGACTCTTGAGTAACTCGATTTGGTCAGGAACAAAAATCAAAGCATTTCAGAGTGAGAGCTGGGGACTTCAATAATTAATGAACTCTGAAAAATACCCTAAGCCTCCATTTATTTATAATGAAAATACTATGCATATTCATATTTTGCTGTTGGTATCTGCAAGACTCTTCACAAAGCAGATAAATAATTCAAACACAGATTTGCTTACCTAGGCAGTAAGAGGCCAAAGGTCAGGATTCTGTCGTATTTCTTTGATGGCTACTGATTTTTGTTCTCTTGATGTGTATGATGCCAGTGTCCAAAGACTCACAGAAAGGCACATCTCAGGTTATGATTTCCCTTTTTACCATCCTCTTCCCACTCCTGAATAAATAATGTTTCATTAGAAGGGAAAAGAATTCTAAAGCCACCTGTTTACTTAAGCTTTTTCTTGAGTGTGGCTTGTTGTTGTTGTTGTTGTTATTATTATTATTATTATTATTATTACTAGAGGCCTGGTGCACAAATTCATGCACAGGTGGGATCTGGCTGGCCCACCCTGATAGAGAGAATTGGACCGGCCTGAGGGAAGAGCTGCAGGCAGTTGGTGGGCTGGCCCTGGCCCTGACCTGGGGTGTGGGGAATCGATCTGGGCTGGGGGGCGGGGGCAGGGGGCCTTCCCTGCCAACATCCTGGGGCTCCTCCCCTGGTCAGCTCCACCCCCTGGTTGAACTCTGGTTCCAGAAAGACTGGAGTTGGAGTTTTGATTTGGACACAAATAGTGTGTCTGGGCAACTTGCTAACATTTTTTTAATATTGTTCTTCTGCTTTGTAAAATGGGATTATCAGTTCCTATTTCAGTTGGAATAATTAACTGAAATATATATATATGATAACATAGACCTAGTTTCCAGTAAGCAATGATGACATGGAAGTAATTGTTGATATTTTGTACTAATGGAAAGGGTTTACTCCCCGCTCACCTGCAAAAGTGGTAGTTGAAGGTGCACTATTGAGTTGGTCATTCTAGGTTTGGATTTCAACACCAGAACTTGGCTTTGGGCCAGTTACTTAACTTCTCTGGGTCTCAGTTATCTCATCTGTGAAATGGAAATAGACAAAGAATAAACATAAAGATAAAAAGAGACAAAACGCTTAGAAATATATAACCCTGAAAGCTGTAGCTTAATGTCCTAAAAGGCATTAACCAGTTTTACCTCTTAGGGAACTTATTTTAGGATATATTTCTTTGTGAATTATGAATACCATTACCATCTTACTCATTTCCTCATTGAGTTGAATAAAATCACATATGTTTCATCCTATACTTGATATGAGAATTACATATTAACTCTTTGGAAAATTATCCTCTGACAGGCCCTAACTGACTACCTAAGACATGTTCCTTAATAGATTGACATTGGCAAAACTTACTTTGATAGAAATGCTGATTAAGCTATTTGTGGGAGAGAGGGTGAGCAACCAAAAACATACTGTGTTTCCATTTTGATATATTCTATCCTCCTCTCCCCTATGTCAGCTAGAGCCAGGCCCTAAGGGGGTAAAGGTGGGGAAATGCCCCTTGGAGGGGCCTCTACCCACTGGAAAAAAAAGAAATAAGCAAGCTGCAAGATGAGCCTAGCAGAAAGAGATACTTTCATTATGGCCTTTACATTTATGACTAGCAAAATAATGAAGGAATGTAATTCGGAAAGCTTTATTACCGTTTTAAGGATCCCTCAAGCACTGAGAAAGATAATAGTCCATAGATGCTGTCCATAAGATTGTTTTCTCCTCCCCCGACAGCCACTGACAGCTGATTTTGTGTTGGTAACTGCTGTCACTGAAGCATGGAGAAAATGCCTGTAAGGCCAGGAGGATGAGGACATCTTCCCTGCAAGGACCTCTATTGCCATCATGATGACAATAATAGTTACTGTAATTGTCATTCTGCTTTTCTATAGACTGTCTACTTTGGGGAGCTTAAGGCTATAGGGCTGCAAAAAATCACACTAACATAAAGTCATGCTTTGTAATCTTCCCAGAGTATTTTATGAAACCGCAAAGAGGACCTATGCAAAAAGACAAAAATAATTATTAAATTCGGGTCACTTGACTAACAATTATTTGTGGAATGCCAATAGCTTTTCAGAAGCTTTCAGATATAGTATCAACTTGACAGTCTTCCCCCCCACTCCCCACCCCCTCTCTCTCTGGATTGGATTGTTGGACCACTGTCATTTTTTTTCTCCCCAAAGACATGGCTTATCATGTTTGAGAAAAATTGAATTTAATTGCAAATCAGCTTCAGTTGTTTTAATTGGAGATAATAAAGTAGTTTCTCTTTATTATCTCCAATTAAACCATAAGGTGAGAAGCCACGCCTTTTATTTCATTTATACACACTCTCATCTCCTAATACCACACTCTGCATAGTGTAAAACTTCAGCATTATTAGCTTTTGGATACAGAGTGTTAGAGAAACATCTAACACTGCCAAAGTTCAACTCTGCAAAAGAGCCTTCGTGGATGAAACAGGATGTGGCTCACAGTTAATCTTATGGTAGGATGAGAAATCTTTGAGAGGGGCCTCGAGGTCCAGAGAAAACAGTTGAACACAAAGAAAAGAGGTGTGTGAAAAAAGGTGAAAATGAGAAAGACAAAAAGAAACAAAGTCAGACCCTGAATGCACTAAAGCGGGGTGGGAGGAGAGGAGAACAACAACAAGAAGAGGGGGCGGAGCCCTAACCGGTTTGGCTCAGTGGATAGAGCATCAGCCTGCAGACTCAAGGGTCCCAGGTTTGATTCTGGTCAAGGACATGTACCTTTGTTGTGGGCACATCCCCAGTGAGGATTGTGCAGGAGGCAGCTGATCGATGTTTCTATCTCTCTATTCCTCTCCCTTCCTCTCTGTAAAAAAAATCAATAAAATGTATTTAAAGGAGGAAGGGGAGGGGGAGGGGGAGGGGAAGGGGGGGCAGAAAAAGAGAAAGAAAGGCGAGCACCACTGGTGTCACTGACCTAAAGCTAGGACTCTGGATGGGGAAAGACTACAACCCCCAGAATCCCTTGCGGTGCCCATATCCCCGTGTCAGTCTCTTAGGCAACCCAGGTAAACAAGATGGCGACCTCCGGGGGAGATCCCCAGAGAAGAAAAACTAACCAGGGAGGCGTGAGTGGTGGAAGAGGCGGAGCCCAGTCGGTACTGGTTCGCTCAGAAAAAGAACGCTGGTCTTCTTTTCCCAAGGGTCAGAGACTGACAGGTCCTTCCACACCTTCCTCCTCCACCTTCCTGCTCCAGCAGATCGTTCACCACCGCTATCCGGAGTCCGAACCAGGGCAAGAGGAAACCGAGAGCGTGGCCATGGGCGAGGAAGAGGAGCTGACGGATTCCGAGGAGTCCTCAGAGTCCGAGCTGCTGAATTTGGAGGTGTGCCTTCTCTCCCCTCCCCCCCCCCCCCCCCCTCACTCCTCTCTCAGGCCCTGAGGCCCTGCTGCTTCTGCCGCGCCCCCAAAGCACCCCTCCTTAGTCCTGACCACCTCGAGGCTTCCCCTGTTTTCTTCTCATTTCAGGTACCCGGTTTTCTCACTCACCGCTCATTGAAATATTTCCAAGTTTCTTCTTTAGTTTCATTAGCACACTTGGTTTCTTAAGAGTCAAATTATGCAGCGTCGTTATGAAAAATTACTATTTATATGGGACTTAAGGCTTTGACTTCGTTAAAATTATACCTTGACAAGATTGTAAGTAGAGTTCATCCTTGACATCCCCTGCACCCTTTCCCCGGGGTTTTGTAGTACTCCAGTGCCCTCTCCCACTTCTAGTCCCTTTATTGTCTAGGGATTTATTTTATTTTATTTTTTGAAATAATTTGAGAAGTGCTTCCTTAAACACTAAGTGACTTACAAGTTTAATATATTACTTCTGCCAAGTGTGTCTGACACATATCAAGCAACACACACACACACACACACACACACACACACACCTCACTTTGGGAGTGTTTTAGGATTCCCATTGACATTGCCTGGGGTGGTGGCTTTGCCTTGTACATTATACAAATTCACGTTAATAGATACCCATTCTAAACACCACTCAAATCCACTCCTTTCTTACACTTATCATCCTGCTTTCTTCTTAGCCCATTATCTGTCTTCTGTCCCTTTCTACTTCTCATCACACCACTTCCTTTTCTTGGCTTCTAATATTTATTTTCTTAAACACACACACACACACACACACATTATTGACTAGCTTCTTTTCAATGAACTGTTATGCTCTCCTCTTTGTCCTGCTGCCAGGAGACTCAAATCAATAGTTTTCTTACTTTCAATCGTTTTTCTTGAGATAGGTTTTTCTCTTCTCTTTCCTCTACGTTTGTAGTATAAATTGCCTCAAATTCTTTTCAGAAGTTGACACTAGTATGATGCAGAGAATTAGAATGATTCCCATGTCCCCATTCTGTGATGTTCGCCTGTCTTGCCCTCTTTGCAAGTCTGCACCTTTCCCTAGTCACTTTTCCTCCTTGAAGCCAAACATGCTTCTCTGCATGCCTGCTGTGTTTCCCAAACTCTTTTCCTCTTTAGTCTTACCTCTTCTTATTTCCCCCCTCAGTAACCTTCTCTGTCTTCTGTTACTCTGAGGCCACCACTCGCCACTTACACTTTAACCCTCTGGGTTCCCTTCACTCTCAATATTTGGCCCGTTTTTTCCCACCTCATTTTATCTTTCCTAGTTTTCTCTCCCCTTTTACAGGGGCTAGTTACATATTGGTTTTGCTTAAAATAGATTATAGGGAATTATTCCTTATTTGTTCATCTTTTTATTTACTTTGCAACCTTTAACAGTGACTGATTGCAAAAACAATTGCAGTGTTTTTACCATTTTGAGATGTTTGTATGGTTTCCACCAGCTTCCACCCCAGAGGAATTCACAAATGAATCACCAGTTCACTTTATTATTCTAATTAACACATGCTCTTAAGCTATGAGGCTCATTAGTACCATTGTTAACCCATCTTCAGTATGCCATTAACAAACTTGAACTAGTTACTCCTTTTTGGCCTATAGGGTGTGTATGGGAAAAGTTTATTAGTTCTTCCATTTACATTCTAAATGTTCATATTTATTTTGTGTTTTTACATATGTTAGCTTTTTAGAGTGTCTCATAAGTTTTAATATACTTAACTGTCAAGCTTAAAAGGACTTACTTGAACTTTCATGTTTAGGGATTTCTCTTCCATGTCATAGCCTAGTTAAGATTTGTAATGCCGTGATGGCCACAGTGATTACTGAGTGCCTGTAATGCAATTAGCCTCAAACCTCTGAAGCCCTCATGGACTTGAGGGAGATAGTGTAGACCAGCTGTTCAGAATACTGTCCTTGGTTCCTATAAAGCCTTTTGTTAGCTGTGAGATTTTGAGCAAATTACTTTATTTCTCAATGTCTCATCTGGAATATGGGAATTATAATAAAACCTACCTCAAAGGAGAATTGTGAGAATTAAATGAGATTCTACATGTAAAATACTTAGCATACTATATTATTATACTGTTACTAATACAAATAATAATTTGCATGCTTTTATTTGCTAACTATAGCCCATTAAGTGATTTAATTCATGTAGACTTCATTGAGCAAAACATTAATAGAATGATTGCTATGTAAGAAGCGCTCTTTGAGTATAAGGGGCAAAAGAAGAGTCTGAGCCCATTACATGTGTCTGATGCATGAAAGTCACTCCTTCACAGTGACTAATGTGGGTAATAATGCCTACTCATGGATTGTTATGAATATCAAATTTAATGAGAAACTATGTTGAAGTCCTTAATATAGTGTCTGATTTAGAGTAAGCTCCCAAAATTTTTTATGTAATACTAATAGCAACAGTAATGATAGGAGATAGAACGTGACTGAGGACCTACATGGTCCCTCTCAAAGTGAGATAAGAATGTGAGTATATCATACCTATGCATTATCTGAAGCATTATGTACTCTGCTGTGTACAGATGCCAGCTGGGTTGTAGGGACCATGGAAGACTTTAAGGAAAGTAGGCCCTTGTCTGGGTGGAGAGGTGATGTGTGGGCAGGCAGATGGCAGCTTCTCCTATTGAAGGATTACAGGTGAGAGCAGAAAAGGCGGCTGAGGTGGGGGCCAGGTTGTGGAGGGCTCTGGAGGCTGAGTGGGATTTGTTTAGAAGCAGGAGGTCAGGGAGAAGACTCCAGAAGTATCTATGGAAGAGAGACAAAAGGCTGCATTCAGGCAGTGGAAGTGGAAATTGGAAGGAAGGTAAAGATGAAAACATGTAACATATTTGAGATGGGAAAGTTACTTGTTGAATATAATAAGCCTGGGATGCCTGCTAGGCCTATAACATGGTCTGGGATGGGGGTGGGGAAGTTAAGGCCTTAACCATAATAAAAAAAATTTAAAAAAAAAACAGGAACAGATAGAGCTGTGTAATAAGGAGTAGGATATACTAGTCATATGACTGAAATTAGGGACACAGACTCAGAATAGAAGACTAGGAATCATCAGCATTGGAGTCTGTGTGATCAGCCAGGAAGGAAGAGGAGAGGACAGCCAAGCATAGAACCCTGGGGTGTAGGTATTTAAGTAGCAAGCAGATGAGGAGAGTTTAGGGAATGAAACTGGAAAGAAGAGCTGGGTATGCCTTGTCCTTGTGGATGTGATCCAGGAGTTCAGGGTTGTGGGCTTGATCCCCAGTAGGGGGCGTGCAGGAGGCAGCCACTCAATAATTTCCTCTCATCATTGATGTTTCTCTCTCTCCCTCTCCCTTCCTCTCTTTAAAATCAATACAAATATATGGATAGATGATGGATGGAAAGAAGGAAGGAAGGGAAGGAGGGAGGGAGGGAGGGAGGGAGGGAGGGAGGAAGGGAGGAAGGGAGAGTTGTGTGATAGGGAAGCCAAGGCAAGGAAGAGTCTTGAGGACACAGGAATATTGTTGATGTCATTATGTTAAATGGGACGAGGCCTAAAAAGTGCTTCTTAGCTGGGCCTACCTGAGGCCCATGTGGTTTTGTGATGTGGTGAAGCAGAAGCCTAACTGTAGTGAGCTGAAGAGTGAATGGGAGGCGAGGAAGGGGAGCTGAAGGACAAAAAACAGCCTTGGAGGAACTTGATGATCAAGGGAGACAATAGCTCCAGATGACGGAACATAAGCAGGACTGAAGGGAGCCCTCCAGGACCAAAGAGACTCACAACTTGTACAGCTGGAGAAGGACAGTGGAGAGTGATTTGGTGAAATCACAAAAGAGGGCAACATGGATGGTCCCTGAGCGAAGTCCCTGAGGAAATAGAGGGAGGGGGACCCCGAAAGTGGAGAAGGAGCAGGCCTATCTGAGACCCAAGTGAGCAGCATTGGGGCAGGTGCAGAACATGGAGGGGGTTCGTGTCTGGTTGTTTCTACTTTGCCAAAGGAGTGGCGGCACTGGCCAGCTTGAGGAGAGGGTGGACTCTGCGAGTTGAGAGTGGGGATGGCTAATTGGCCTGAGGCCCAGGTGGAGTTGACTGTAGAGCGGCACCAGAAGGCATGGTGGTGGGGCCCTTCCCAGCCTTCTCAGCAGCTCCAGGGGAGAATGGGGTCATTAATTCTTCAACCTGTGTTTGTACTAGGCACTGAACGCCCCCTCCCCACTTTATGCTTAGCTAGTTGGATCTCTGTCGTTTCCCCAGTGGGCCATGCAGGCCTTTGCCGTGGAGATCTTGTGCATGGTTTCCCTCTTCACCTGCAGTATCTTTCTTGGCCCGCTTTTCTGCCCCTCCTTCTCCTTTTCCACAATAACTCACAACTTTGGGTCTCAACTGCTCTCCCCAAGGAAGCCTTTGCTACTCTCTTGCTCCTCACTAGACCTGACAAAAAGGGTGCCCTGTTTACCGCTAGTGTCATGGTTATCAAAGTCCTGAAATCGCTTGTCCTTGTCCGGCATGTGATGAGCATGCCACAATCTGCACAGTGCTCAACTGTGAACTCGCTCCAGGTTTGGGTATGTATGTGGCAATTGCAGCCAGGGGGCCAGGAATCAGAGACTTGAGAGTAGAGACATTGAAATTGCTCATGGGGCCCTAACTGGTTTGGCTCAGTGGATAGAGCATCGACCTGCAGAGTGAAGGGTCCCAGGTTCGATTCCGGTCAGAGGCATGTACCTTGGTTGTGGGCACAGCCCCAGTGGGGGGTAGGGGTGCAGGAGGCAGCTGATCGATGTTTCTCTCTCATCGATGTTTCTAACTCTCTATTCCTCTCCCTTCCTCTCTGTAAAAAAAATCAATAAAATATATATTAAAAAAAAGAAAAGAAAATAAATTGCTCATGGGATACCCAGTACGGAAACAAGTACAGTCAGGAGGAGACAGGTAGACTCTGAGAAGGGAAGGACGAACAGACTGGAGACTCTGTTGTGACCCAAGAACAAGTTCAGTGGGTGTTGGAAAGATGTGAGAATGGCCCTGGGGTTGGAAAGACGTGGGTTGTGTTTGGGCTCTGTCACAAACTAGCTATGCAGTTTCAGGCAAATTAACCTCTGCAATCCTTCTTCACCTGTGAATGGAGCTAAGGGTACCTACCTGGGGGTGGTCAGGAGGATTAAATGAGTTGATTCCATCACTGGCTCTTGGCACGGTGCTCCGTCACTGTGACTATCACCACTAATATTGGCGTGCCCACTGTGCTCCTTCCACCTGGCACCTGACGCCAGTGACCACCTGAAAAGTTAGCAGCAGCGAAAGCAATGACTTGATAAGATACTGATGTAAACAAATGTAATCTGTGCCCTCCACACAGAATTTGGGGGGACGGGTAAGGTTTGGAGTGCTCAGCTCCTGGATATGTCACATTCTGAGTAAGTGCCAGAAGGAGACGGATGGCTAGTTTCTCTGCAATGGAAGTCCTCTTGGGCCACCTCTGATGATTTTTTTTTTTCAGGGTGAATTTGATGGCGTCCTGAGAGAGGAGGCTGTGGCTGAGGCACTCTACCATTTGGGGCGCTCCGGTCCCGGGACTGAGCAGGTCTTCCTCAACCTAACTCTATCGGTGAGTGAGACAAGATCGCCATTGCCTGGCTCCATCCTGACACTGGCCACATTCATTTTTTTTTTTTTCTGATACCCATAGCTTTTGTGGTGGCCCCATGTCTTAGTCACATTTGGTGGAGATTGGTGATAAGAGTTATTTATGGAAATGTTCGACATCAGAGAATCCTGGCCAGTCCAACAATCTGCTTCTTAAATTCCGTTGTTTCATTCCCTTCGGAGCCTATTTCTTTCATCTTAAGTAGTTATTTTATGGCAATCAATGCCTTCTTTCCAGAAGGTTGAATTTGGTTCTGTAAAAACTAATCAAAAACTCTTTAAGAATTTTCTCTCTGATCAGGACTACAATTTATATCTGAATCCATGGGAACAAAGGGTTTTGGTATTGACTTTCCCCCCTAGTAAGTCAAGAAATAAGTAGCTGTGAGCAGTCTCTCACTTTCCTAAAGACACCTATTATTAATGAACACAAGTGTATTGTTATTCGTCAATTTTCAAGATTTCGATGCTGGTCACAGTGCAGCACGGAATCTGGGCTCGATTTCCTCAGAGGAGCAGAATCCTCAGGGGACTCTGGCTTCTTTCCCTTGTTTTTCTACAGTCCTAGGCAAACAGTCCATCTTTTTGCTTTCTTGTATTGTAAAGCATTAACATTCCTTGAGTAAACGCAGATACACTGAAATTTTACTATGGCACCAAAATTTGGCTCAAGTGTATAAATTCATCATAAGGCTGTTCTGTCTTGGGTTTAAATTAGTAAACTATCTGAGAAGCGTTAAGCTCTCTTCACCCACGCTGGCTCCATGGCATGTCCTATGAGAACAGCATATTATGGCTCTCACCTTTTCCTGTTTTCACTTTATACCGTTTTATGGCTAACTCAGCCGGCCGGGCAGTCACATACAGGGAGCACCCTGTGTGAATTGCACTGTGTGGGCACTGGAATGGTAGATGACTCCAGCAGCCAATACATCCACACACAAGTCCCTGGCGATCAATATTCCACTTAGGTACGCAGCGCTATGCCTTAAATTGATCTACCAAAAAAAAGCAATTCTTTAAATCTTATTTCAGCCAGATGGACTAGAGCTTAACTTGCTTTGCCACTGACCTCCTTACATGTGAGATATCACGTGTTGAATTACTTTGCCTTCATAACCTGTCTTTACTGAATACATTGTCTTAGGGTTGCCTGGTTTAGTGACACCCCCATCCCCCAATATCTTACTAGTAGGTATGTTGGACCACAATTTATGTGGTTAATGATCTCCCGATTAGGTGTGAACTCTCTTTAAGGTGCCATTTAAATTCCAGGCATCTGCTTTTTCTTCAACCAGATAAAGGCTGTGGCTCTATTACTCGTCCATGTTTCTTAATACAAAACTCCACTCAAAAGGTCTTCGTGGCACTGCCTTAATTTGCCTTTTCAGTAGTATTTGTTCTTGCTAACAACACTAATTTTCTACGCTATTACTTTCTTCAGAGGAATACATTTTTAAATGGGGCTTGTAGTCTGGTTTGGGATCCTATTTGTAAGTAGGCTTCAGATTCCCCCCCCCCCCCCCCCCTCACTTCTACTCTATTTTATGAAAGTTATTTTTTATTTTCTGTTATTACTTGTGTATGTAGGTTCTCTTCCACCAGAGTCATGCATTTCTTAAGGGCACAATAAGGGCTGTGTTTCATTATTGTATTTCTCATCACGGCAGGCACGGTGCCCTCTACCCCGCAGGGTGTCAGTAGGGAGTTACCGATCACTGTTCTGGTGGTCTCTTTTGAACACCGTTATTATGGTAGCTGAGAACTTGCGTTGATGACACATCACTGGTCGGCTTTTTCTGACTCTGACGTCAGAACACCAGCCAGTGGCATGAGTCTTTGTCCCAAGGGGCCGAATACCCCTCCTTTCCCTGTCAGTTCACTAGAAGCTGGAAATCATGAAGGGAATGCTAGCGAAGGTCTCAGGAGACTTGGATCTGCGTCTTTGCCACCAACTTGCTATGCGATGTTGGGCTATTTACACTCCTCTCTGCACCTTACTTTCCTCATCTCTAAATTGGGAACACTTGGCCCCACGGATCCCACAGGTTTTCCCTCTGTTGTGGGAGAGTTGAAAATGAGCCCTGTGAGAACGCGTTGTGGTTAATGATCTCCCAATTAGGTGTGAACGCTCTTTAAGGTGCCATGTAAATTCCAGGCATCCGCTTGTTTTTTCTTCAACCAGATAAAGACTGTGGCTCTATTACTTGTTCGTGTTTCTTAATATAAAACTCCGCTCAAAAGGTCTTCGTGGCACTGCCTTAATTTGCCTTTTCATGTTGAATTTGTTCTTGGTAACAACACTAATTTTCTACACTATTATTTTCTTCAGAGGAATGCATTTTTTTTTAAATAAATATTTTTTTGTTGTAGTTCTTTTTTTTTCTTTCTTTCTTTTTTTTTAAACATATTTTATTGATTTTGTACAGAGAGGAAGGGAGAGAGATAGAGAGTTAGAAACATCGATGAGAGAGAGAGTCATCGATCAGCTGCCTCTTGCACACCCCCTACTGGGGATATGCCCGCAACCAAGGTACATGCCCTTGACCGGAATCGAACCCGGGACCTTTCAGTCCCCAAGCCGACGCTCTATCCATTGAGCCAAACAGGTCTCGGCCAGAGGAATGCATTTTTAAATGGGGCTTTTAGTCTGGTTTGGGATGCTATTAGTAGTAGGCTTCAGATTCTCCCTCCCCCCAACCCCCCTTCTCTATTTTATGAAAGGAATTCTGGATTTATTTATTTATTTATTTATTTATTTATTTATTTATTGAACAACTGTTATTTCTAGACGTTGGGAGAAGGCTGAGTACCAACTATGAAAGCAACATTGAAGTCCTTTACCTTTTATTTTCTCAGGGTTGTGATTTGATTGACATTAGCATCCTCTGCGGATATGTCCACCTGCAGATGCTGGATCTCTCAGTCAATAAAATTGGAGGTATGGAATTGTCATTCTAGTTACAGGCATCTTCAAACTACGGCCCGCGGGCCACATGCGGCCCGCAGAGGAGTCTGATCCGGCCCGCCAGGTTTTTTGGGCAGTGAGCGCAGCCGAGGTGTTACAGTAGGAATTAGTAGTTCATATAGTCCAGCCCTCCAGCTCTCTGAGGGACCGTGATCTGGCTCCCACTTTAAAAAGTTTGAGGACGCCTGTATCTAGTACATCGATGGGTCACTGGATCTTTTCAGAAATTGAGCTTTGCATTAGGTGATATGGTTTAATACTACAAAACTTGATACAAATGCCACTGTGGATCAACTTACACATCCACCCAACGCACTCCATGTAAAAAGGCACCAATGGCTGAAGGCTGAAGAGAAGGTCAGAGTGGGCAAACCTGAGATATTATGCTGTGGGCGAGGGTATCAGTGGAAGGTTTGCTTTTTTCCTTTTAAGAGAGGAATGATTACTTGTTTAATACTTCCTGAATATTCCAGGATCCCCTTTCTTTCCCTCTTTTAGTTTACTCAGTGTAGATGAATTCGTTTTTATTTTCTTCCTTTTAATGGATTCTTTCCTTTATTTTGCATTTGCATCAGCAACATTTTAGTACTGGCCATCTAGTTCTGTTCTTGTGTGAGCACAGAGATTCACAAATTAATTTTTTCCTCTATTTTTGCTGTCTCTATAGTTAGTTGATTCTTAAACTCTTAAATTTGACATTAGAAGGTCTATATGACCTATTTGTTGTGACACCTTGTTCACATTTAATGAAATTAGTTACATTTTCTTGAAAGCTTGATCCTTGTTTCTAATTTTCTGATCTTATTTGAAGTTGAAGTATACAATTCTTTTCCTCAGACTTCTAAGGAAAGAAGCAAATCTTCAAAAAAGCTTTCTTCACCGATAATCTTTCTACTCTCTTCTTCAGTTTGTCTTTCCATCACAATTAAATGTTGCTGATAAGGTCTTTTCTGGCTCATTTTAAGTGTTGTTGTTTTTAACCTTATATGACTGCAATAATTAAAATCTACTTTTATTTCAATGGCTAAGAAATATTCTAGCATATTTTTTCTTAAAATGATATTGTTTTGAAAGACCCCCCCCCCACTCCCAGTTTTATAAAACTTTATTATGAAAAAGTACAAACATGTGAACAAGTAGAGGAACTGTCATCAAGAATAATTGGGTTCAACAATTACCAGCCATGGTCTATTTTTTTTTTTTTTTTTTTTTTAAGTATTTAGTACTTTAAAATATATGTATATATTGATTTTAGAGAGAAGAAGGCAAAGGAAGAGAGACAGAAACACTGATGAAAGAGAAACATTGATTGGCTCCCTCCTGCATGCCCCCCACAACTGCTGCCCTGATAAGGAATTGAACCGTGGCCTCCTGATTCGTGGGCCGATACTCAACCACTGAGCCACATCGGCTGGGCCTGTGGCCTATCTTGCTTCCTCTATGCCTCCCTGCCCCACTCCCCAGGATTATTTCAAAGCAAATCTCAGATTCCACAACATCAGAAAGACTTTTTCAGTATTACTGGCAGGCGCTCACCTCTCGCCCCACACAGTTGGTTTCATTCACTGGGTAAGGAATTGCAGAGCGGCGGGCGGCTTCCAGGTGCTGGTGCTGGTGCTGGGGGCGGGGGCAGAGGTGTGCATCACTTGAGCAAGGAGCCCACACTTGCCAATGAAGCTTTCCTCTGGGGTCAGTTTCCTTTCACCTGTAAGGCCTGTTTTATTAGCTCCTCAAGTGTTTGAGAAGCTACTGTCTGTAAAGTACAGTGGATTTTTCTTTCTGTGAGGACAGTGTTACTGATGAATGGAAGCAGACCAATCTCAGTTTGCACCAGAATCACCTGGGGCGTGGAGTGGGGGCTGATCATACACAGGTGGCTGTGCCGCACCCTCAGAGCTTGATAAAAAGAACTTTATACAAATGCTACTGTGGATCAGTTTACACATCGACCCAATGATGGTTCAGATCTGGGGTGGGGATTGAGAATTTGCATTTCCAGTTAGTAGCTCCCCAGTGAAGCTGGTCAGGATCACACTTTGAGAACCAGGGATGTAGCCTCGAGGTGCTCCTGCCATCTGGTGGACGTGAAGGTCACTACACCGAGTTAGGAATTAACCGGCTTGAAGTTAGAAACCCAGCAATCTGGACCATGAACTCTGTCGGTGACTTGAAAGCATTGTCCGTCTGCACAGTGTGAAATGTACCTGCCACCTCTTCATCTCCATCTAAGTGGTAGCTGCTGCTGTGCTTCACGTCAGAACTCAGTGGCACAGCCCTTACCGGCCACAGAAAGGTCAGCTGCAGGGTGCGGAGGGCGGGTGGAAATTAAGAGTTGAGACCACCACTGATGAACAGACACAGAGCGAGCTCAGAAGGAACAAGCAGGACAAGCTTGTAAAGCAATGGCAGTTTCCTCTTAGGTGTCTCACAGGCGGCCTTCCTTGATTCCCTCATTAATTCCCACCGAAGAGTTGATGTTCCTGTGGGTGCCCCTCCCAGGACAATTTCATTTCAATGGACAGCCTAGAGCCGTGGTCGGCAAACGGGCTCGCGAGCTACATGCGGCTCTTTGGCCCCTTAAATGTGGCTCTTCCACAAAACACCACGGCCTGGGCAAGTCTATTGTGGAGAAGTGGCGTTAGAAGAAGTTTAAGTTTAAAAAATTATGTCTCCCAAAAGAAATTTCAGTCATTGTACTGCTGATATTTGGCTCTGTTGACTAATGAGTTTGCCGACCACTGGGCTAGAGGGAGGGGGTGGTTTCGCCAGAGAAATGAAGTAGCAGTTGGCGGATTGCTTCTGGCTTCAGTGGCTGTGACTGGCCCTGTGATCTAGAAAGAGAAGAGAGGAGGTGCCATCACTACCATTTTCAGGTGGAGAAACACGTTACTGGCAGAGACAGGCAGCAAGTCCTTATTGTGGGGTTCTTCCGGAGCTGGTTTCTTTCTTTAAAACACATTTGTATTGATTTCAGAGAGGAAAGGAGAGGGAGAGAAGGATAGAAGCATCAGTGATGGGAGAGAATCATTGATCAGCTGCCTCCTGCACGCCCCCAACTGGGGATGGAGCCTGCAACCTGGGCATGTGCCCTGACTGGCAATTGAACCTGACCTCCTGGTTCATAGGTCGATGCTCAACCACTGAGCCATGCTGCCTGGGCCTGAGCTGGCTTCTTATTTATCCTCCTGTCCAGATGCACATCTGCTGTGAAACAGCCACAAAACGCAACACAATACTTCATTTCTTATGTTTTACATGTAATTTTATTAGAATGAATATTAGCACTACATCCTTTACTTAGTACTCAGGCTCAGAATGTTTGCTTGGGATAAAATGCAGAACTCACAAACATTTGAGCTGATCCAGAGTCAAAGTAAAATAAAAGCAATCATTAAATTGCTTCAAATAATTAATTAAATTTAGGATTAAGCCCAAATAAAACAAAATTTGTAGCATAGAAAGTTCTCTAAATGTGGCATTTTCAGTCGTCCTGAAAAGAACTAATTCAGTTATTTAGGGGCCGATTATCAAGAAGATTATCTGGGCTCTAAATTCTTGACCTTTCCTCCTGGGCTGGCAGTTTGTGAAGATGTAACTGTTAGAGGGAGGAGGCCCCCGAGGAGGAGGCCTGTTCATTGTTACGTGGCTGTACTGGGACAAGGGGGTGGAGGGCGTGAGGAGGCCCTTGGAGAAGGTTCGGTCTGTTTGTGTGTGTGTTTCACACACCCTATTCATTTCTTTCATCTGGGTATGCTTGTATCTGGTATAATTAAGATGTGCTTGTATCTGGTATAATTAAAAAATGTTCTTATGTAACATATGTTGTTTTTAATGACTTTGTCCAATTTTTATTTTATTGGCTTACCTTATTGTGTATTTCTTTTTCTCCCCAGATCTGTCTTGTGTGAGTTGTATGCCATATCTTCTAGAACTTAATGCTTCTCAAAATAGATTGACTACATTCTTCAATTTCAAGCCACCCAAAAATCTCAAGGTAGACTTTACTGATACACCAATTCCATATGTTAACTGGTTTGCAAAGTACATTAATAAGAAAATACCACCAAAACAGGATATTCAGAGGATACAAGGTAGGGTAAATAGTGTAAGGATTTGGATTGAAATAAGAGGGAGAGGCTTTATGCATCATTTATTTTGGGAAAAGGAGATGGTTTGTCAATGAATCATGTTTATAGGAAGTTTTGCTGAAACCTAGTGTTCTGACCCCCTCCTTTACTGGTAAAAGAAGTGATTGTTTGTATGCTTTTATTATAGCAGAATAACTTCAATGTGAAAAATCTGTAAAAATGTCTTTAGGGCTCAGATTTTACCCTCCTGTGGATCTAGCCAGTAGCTTTAGAGGAAGTGGTGGTTTCAGGCCTGCACCCTCACCTCTGCAGCTGCCTTTGCATTTCTGGGGCGGATTAACTCTCTGTGAGCCGTGGTTGGTACAGCAGTCTGCTCTGCATAGGGCCCTGGGTCTCCCCTTCAGTGTGCGCACAGCTCAGTTGGTTCCTATGGGAATGAGATTCTCCCCAGGAGGTATGGGTGGAGGTCGGGCGGGGGGGGGGGGGGGGGACACCAGGTTCAACACCAGGTGACGTTGTTGCTGCTGGTCCATGGACCACATTAGCAGAGAGGCCGGGGAGTATTGGATCCTGAACCTTCCTGCACACCGCAGGCGCCTGGGAGTTTTTAAAACCTCAATGTGTGGTCCTGCTGCCAGAGGCTCTGATCCAATGGCCCCAGGAAATGATGGGGCTTTGGGGCTCAGATGTGCTGACAAATTTGGGAACCAGTACCTCTGAGTGAAGACCAGTGTTCCTCTTTTGGATTCAAAATTTTTTTTAAATATATTTTATTGATTTTTTACAGAGAGGAAGAGAGAGGGACAGAGAGCTAGAAACATCAATGAGAGAGAGAGACATCGATCAGCTGCCTCTTGCACACCCCCTACTGGGGATGTGCCCGCAACCAAGGTACATGCCCTTGACCGGAATTGAACACGGGACCTTTCAGTCCGCAGGCTGACGCTCCATCCACTGAGCCAAACCGGTTTCAGCTAGACTCAAATTTTTAATTTTAAAGTTATTTTTAGGAATGGATATCAACTACTGCCTTTTATTAGCTCCTAGTTTTATTTTATTTACAAACCAAATTAACTTGACCCACAGTATTCTGCCAGTGTTTGTCCAAATCTGAAATTAAGAATCTGACGTCCTTCCTACCAGGGAGACATCCTTCTTAATTGTTCTCCTGTTGTTTCACATCTCTCTATTTTTATCAATAGTGGGGTGTTTCCCCCTTTGAAATTACTGTGATGCCAGGTGACATTCCTCTGTCCAAATACACCCCCCGGGGTGCCTGCCTGTGCTGGGTGCGGGCCACGTCTCTAGGTTGCTGGGAGCTGTGCTGGCAGAGCCGTCTCGGCCGTCCTGGCCTGTCCGTGCAGCCCTGAGCCCCGGGGAGGCCAGTCAGCACCACAGTGCGGCCTCTGCCCTGGGAAGAACTTCTTGGGGTTTCTTCCATTCACACCCTTACATCACCCTCTCCCCAAAAGACTCCACAAATGAACAGAAACAAATCAGAGACCCCACCTTTTTTGTTGTTATTTAGAGCAGTTTCAGGTTCAAACAGGTACAGACTTCCCCTATTCCTCCTTCCTCCACCCGGACACAGCCTCCCCCTGATCAGAATGCTCCACAGAAGTGGTCCATTTGTTACAGTTGATGAACCACATTGACACATCATGGTCACCCCAAGTCCTTTGTTTACGTTAGGGCTCCCTCTTGCTGCTGTGCATACTGGGGGTTTGGACAAATGTGTAGTGGCATGTACCCCACCATTATGGCAGACCCCCCATCTTTATCGTTCCTGGAGAATAACAGCAAATATCGGTGATGTTAAAGGAGCGTTAGACTGCCAGCGAGGGGCTGTGAGAACTCCGTGTGCACTTGGTAGGGGGGTGATTGGTGTTTTCTGTGCATTATCTTATTTAACACCCCCCCCCCTCCAAACAAGCTGTAATGGGCCCATTTTACAGATGAGGACACTGAGGTACAGAAAGGTTGAGTGGCTCATAGTCTTCCCTGCAAGGTGGCAGGGCTGGGATTGAACCTGATGGCTGAGACCCAGAGCCCATATCTTCCCAGAAACTCAGGCCTGTGTGCAGTGTCCCACCTTCTTGGGCAGCTCTGCCTCCTCATTTGTTATCTCTGAGCCTGTGCCACCAGCCGGAGAGGGCACGCAGTTCCTGAAGAGCAGGAGGCTGCCCTTCTCTCTGTGTTTCTGTTCATTTGTGGAGTCTTTTGGGGAGAGGGTGATGTAAGGGTATGAATGCTCTGCTCTTCATAGGTGAAGAAGGTTCGTTTGATTTGATGGGTATTTCAAGAAAGCTCTGGGAGCTAGTGGGACTCCCAGTGGGAGTCTGAGCAATCGCAGCCTTTTAAGGTCTCTCAGCAGTCCTGGTTGTATAGGTGCACTGAGGGCTTAGTCTTCACCACAGCCCTGACTGGGGTGGTTGGATAGATGTCACGAGGAGACGTGTATGCCACAAGGAATGAAAAGTATTGATGAAAAAGTGCCAATTTGAAGTTGGCTCAGACAATTATAAGTTTATTTCTAGTTTATCATTATTACATGGAAGACATTAACTTAGACCCAAAGTATTCTGCCAGCGTTTGCACAAATATGAAATCAATGAAACTCCATTAACATCGTCCCAAATTGACTTCTTATTTCAGTCCTGATATGCATTTACATAGTTGCAATTGGTATATGCTTGAAGTTTAGTGTTGTGATTTTTTAATAAATATATCTTTATTGACTTTGGAGAGGAAAGGAGAGGGATAGAGAGAGAGAAACATCAATGATAAGTGAGAATCATTGATCACCTTCCTCCTACATGCCCCTTACCGGAGATGGAGCCCATAACCTGGGCATGTACATAGACAGGGAATTGAACTGTGACCTCCTGGCTCATAGGTCGATGCACAACCACTGAGCTATGCCTGCTGAGCTGACTTTTTTTCAATTTAACAGTTTAGTTTGCATATTTCTGTTCTTCACATGGTTTATACACATGCATTTTACTGGCTATCAACTTAATCAGTTTTCTACTCTTGCCACTTGAATTGTTGCCAGTTTTTATTTTTTCAAGATTCAATATTTAAATTTTTTAGTATTTAAAGTATTTAGTATTTAATGCATTTATAAAATGACCGTAGTACATTTTTGGGTGTGGGATCACTGTTTTAAAGGGTACAAGAAAATAAAAATAGTGCTCAATATATAATTGCTTCATAGTGTTCCATAAAATGGTTATAGTAATATGAAAATTATCAATGAGTGTTTCAACAAAGTTAGATTTTTTTTAAGTCATTTTTATTTATCCTTTGTCAGTAAGTGAACAATTAAATGAAGTTACTTAATGGTATATTTCTGTAATCTCATATTTTTGAGTAGGAACAACTGCTTGTTGCTGAAAATACTTTCCTAAAATAGTCCACTTTTAGAAAGGTGTTACGTTGAAAAGATATGACCTGAGGGATGAATTAGGAAGATTTTTCTGTCCTTAAGGGATGACTTGGAGAATATACTGAAATAAAAATAGAAAAGTCAAAGAAAAGAGAAACAAGATAACAGTTTGCTGGGCATTAGAGAATCTGAAAGAAGTGGTGGTTAGAGTGAAACTGAGGCAAATCCTGAAGAAGGTCGGGAAAGTTTACAATAGATGCTGAAAGGGAGAGAGTAGCTGCAGGAACTGAGTGTTTGGGTCGGGGATTCTGCTCTGCCCACGGGAAGGGATCGTCATAGGGTCTCTAAGGGGGACGGACAGGACCCCAGTTAGACAGTGATGAAACAGGGATAAACATGTTTTCAATGAAGAATTCTAATCCTACACCCAGAAACACGTTCTTATTGTGCATTTACTTACTGTGTTAAGCTGAATAAAAAAGTATGACATGTTGTTTCTTTTTCTCCTCAGAAGGTGGATTTTTCCTGCAACCAAATTTCTAAAATGGGTGATTTGTCGGCATATCAGGCTCTCACTAAACTAATTCTGGACAGTATCCTTTGCTAAGTAAAGGGGGAAATTTGGTTAATAGACTCACTGATGGGCACGTGCCCGATGGCATGGAACAGTACTGGATAAGTACTGGAACAGTACTAAATAACGAAGGACTAATCATCACAACATGGGAAAGATGCTTTATTTACAAAGGATTAAGGCTGCAAATCAGAGCTTGCCAAGAGATTTTCTACCTGAAAAGTTCTGATTAATGGAGGCTTATTTTTAATGCAAGAAACAGATAAGAAGTGCTGTTTTAACTGACTCCTTTTCAGACTTACTTAAACTTGCACCCTATTTCATATAAATTCGGTATCTGAAAATCCAGATATGGCCCCATGGATAATTAGTGACTATTTCTCACAAAAGAATTCATACTAAGCTTCCTTTAAGTAGCAAGCTTCTCTGGTGTATTTTAAATATGCTTTCATGGAAAAGAACCAACAACTTTTGATTTGCAACCAACTTCAGGAACAGGCCTGCTGCATGGCTCCTACGCCAAAGCACGGGCTCCAGCTGGAGCCGCAGGGGGTCACTGGGGACCCGTGAGCTTAATGAGCTTGAGCCTCCTCTTCACACCAGAGGCTGATGTCCTCTGGGTGACCAGGGAGCAGCGCCCCTTTCTCAGTGAGTGTCTGCCTGCCCCCTGAGGGTTCTCAGGGCAGAGTGGAGAGTGAATGGACTGCCCCAGGGCGCCTGGTTCCGGATATCCCAGCAGCCAGAACACATTTCACTTGTAATGAGACTGGGTGGTGGGGAGAATGGAAGGGATGCTTCCGTGAAGACATATTTTGTGGGATAAAACCTTTCTTCTCCTTTGATGGAACTCTTCGAGCATACTGCCACACCCTCTAGCACTTTTGTGCGAGAAGGAGCAATTAGTGGACCAAAATTAAGAAATGTAAGGAACATCAAGGGTTGAGGGAACATGTAGATCAAAAGGGTCTCTTTTTAGGTTGCTTATGAGTGTGAAATTGGTTAACCACTTTGGAAAACAATTTCATACCATCCTGTAAAGTTGAACATCCAAACTCCCTATGACCTCATTCTTTCATTCCTACATATGAAAGTGTAGCATGCATGTACCTGGAGACTTGTATAAGAATTAACAATGTTCATTGCAGCCTTGCTTATAGCAGCAAAATATTGAAGCAGGCCAGATGCTCATAGATAAGAGAAAGCATAGATTATGGTGTACTAAGACAACAGCATATTCTACAGTAGCGAAAATGGATGTAATATATTTCCTATATTTCCACGTAGGAATAGGAGAGGTCTTAATAAACTAAATATAGTTTAGGTATAAAACCAATGGGAAAAGGAAAAGGAAGTAGACCATTGAGCATAGTGGTTATCTCCAAGAGGGGGACCCCTGGATGGGACAGGAGAGGTGTGCAGAGACGATGTGTCGGTTATTGCTAATGTCCTACCTCTCGGGTTGGGGGTGGGATGATGGCGATGTCGGTGGTTTCAAAAGTGTCCCTTACATTTTTTATAAGTAAATATAAAGCAGGCCAATGGTGTACCTATGTCAATTAGCAGATTTAAAAGCCTGAAAATTAAAAATTAATGCCTTTGAAAATAATTATTTACCAAGCTTCAAATGTCTACTAAGTCAGAGTCCCCTGGGTGGTTTGCTAAACACATTGCTGGCCCCTCTGAGTAGGTTTGGGGTGGCCCCTGAGCTGCTCTCTGAGTAGGTCTGGGGTGGCCCCTGAGCATTCACGTTTCTAAAGTCCCAGGTCATACTGGCATTGCTGGTCTGAGACGGTACTCTGAGAAACGCGGCTCTAAACTAACCCACCTTCTCTATTCTATAATACTTTGCAAGGCATGCTTTCCTAATCCAATGGCTTCAGAAATCTGACTGCTGTCATTTTTATGCTTTTTATATTTGCTCAAGCTTTCCTTAGTGGGCACATATGACTTTTCTAATTGAGGGAGTATGCTTTTTAAAAAAATAAAGTAAAAAATGTAGTTATCAATATACCGTATTTTTCGGACCATAAGACGCTCCGGACCATAAGACGCACCAGTTCTTAGAGAAGGGAAATGAAGAAAAAAAGATTCTGAAACAAATAGTGTCCTAAAATATTTTATGTGCATTAAAACCCAACATCACAGTCATAAACACATGTAATCAACCCTGTAAAGTAAACAGCAGCATTTAGAACCATTTTAGAGCCGGGCAAGCACACGGAGACCACACAGAGCCGGGCAAGTAAAAAACTTTTTTTTTAAAGTATATGTGTAGGCTATATTTGGACCATAAGATGCAGGGACTTTTCCCCCCCACTTCTGGGGGAAAAAAAGTGCGTCTTATGGTCCGAAAAATACGGTAACAAACAACAATTATTTAAAAACAACTTAGTTAATAAAGCTAGTACTATTGATAATGTAATTCTGGTAGATTATATTAATACCTCAGAATAAATTGTTAGATAACAACTTTGTAGATTATTTTATCATGCTGCTTTATCCTTTCATATGTGGATAATTGGTGATTAATTAATAATCATTTTAAATTGCAAGATGATAAACTTTGCCAAGTGTACATAAATTTATTATCCTTGAGAAAGGAGAGCAGTTTATTCTTTACCTATAAATCTTGACTGGCTGTTCATTGTAATTTACGATTATAGGATTATGAAATTTAAAACTGATTTGTAGAATTTTAAAACTGAGACAGGATTTTAGAAACCATCCAGTACTAACTGTTATCTTATGGAGGAGGAGCCTACCACTCAGGGAGATTCAGCGAATTGTCCAAGATCATTTGGAAATGGTTGAACTGATAGGAATTCCATTGTTTGGCCCATGTTGCAACTCATTGAGTAATTACTACTGTTATCACCTCTCCTTTCACGTGTGTGCGTGTGTCATTCCTTAGAGAGTGTCACTCCCCTGGGGAAGAACGTGCTGCCCTCGCAAGGTGACATGGACTTCTCAGGGCTGGTTTTGCTTAAAGCCATCACTGCGGCTCTCCCCACTAAGAGGAGCGTGATGGATTTCCAATATGTCTAGTAATGGTTTTCTATCCACCCAGACCATATATTTTTATCACAGACACATGAATAAGAGCAAATACTGACTAGTGAGTAATTCATTTCAAGCGCTGTGAACTGCTGACAGCATCGCCAAAATGTAAAATAAATGGCTGGGCTTTTCCTGCTGCAGGGTTCTGCTTTTGCGCCCCTGACTCTTCTGCTCCGTTTCCTCTGGGATCTAAAATTCCACTGCCAAAGATTTATTTACAGAATGAAGCACTCTAGAGCTGGAATACAATGTGATAATTTGGGGTTCTGTGAATCTTTCTTCTGATTGTGGCCTTTTAAAATGAAAGGATTAGCCCAGTAAGCTAATCTACACTAATAAAATAGAAACATGCTAATTGACTATACCTTCATGACACCCACCAGCCAATCAGGAGTGAGTATACAAATTAACCCAACGAAGATGGCAGATTAATTTGCATATGTAGATGCTGAGTGGCTGGGGGCAGGGCAGCACACTTGCATTGTTGCCGTGGCGACAATGCAGGCATTCTGCACCACCCTAGCCACTTGGGGCTTATGGGTAGCATGGGAAGGCGGAAAGTTGGCTCCAGCCAGAGCAAAGGCAATGCCAGCAGCCAGGGGAAGGAAGGCGGCTGTTCTTGCACAAATCTTTGTGCATCGGGCCTCTAGTTCATTATAATAGCATAGTGACTTATCAATGTTATTTCTTATTACCCAAAAGTTCCAAAACCTATGAAAGAATAATGTTAGAAGAAGGGCAGGTACAGGTTTCTAAAATAAGAAGGGCAGGTACAGGTTTCTAAAATAAGAAACTGGGCAATGGGGGAGATAAAGGAATTCCTGAAAGCAGGCTGTGAACTCAGTGCTGCATGGATCACATTGACTGTTGGACTAGCCTACACATTGACCGTTATCATTGCTGGCGTCCACACACAAGGTGACTATAGGGTCACTGGGCAGGAAGCTGCTGAGCCACTGTAAAATCGTGCTTCTTCCTGCCCAGCTGGTGTGGCTCAGTGATTGAGTGTCAACTCATGAACATGCCTGGGTTGCTAGTTCAATCCCCAGTGAATGGTGTACAGGAGGTAGCCAATCCATGTCTCTCTCATTGATGTCTCTCTCTCTCTCTCTCTCTCTCTCTCTCTCTCTCTCTCTCTCTCTCTCTCTCTCTCTCTCTCTCTCTCTCCCGTCTTCTCTAAAGTCAGTAAAAAATATATATTTTTTAAATGCCCCTTACCCACATACCTTGTTAAGTTATAGTGCCTGAAATTCCTGGAAATCTAAAGGAAAATGAAGAGTTGGGGACTGTTTCTCTGAAATGAACATATTTCTCGATAGAGTAGTTCAGTCAGTACCTCACCCCCGGCCCCAGTGCTGTGAGTGAGGGTGGTGGCAGGTTCAGAGCCCAGGGTTACCACTGAAGTGTTGCATCTGCATTGCTCCTCCCTTTGGCCCTTGCAATACTAATTTCATGCAGCAAGCCTTGCCACTCTAGTCAGCTCGTCAGCTGGATGTGCCAAGGGAATTGTGCTTAGCCTCTAGTGCCTTGGGAAGTTACTGTGTACACAGTAAACAAGCTTTCCTTTTCAATCCCCATGGTCTCTTCCTAGTTTCAGGATTCCTGTTTTCTAGTGTTCTCATCCTTGCCTTCTTCCCAAGGGAATGCGTCCTGGCTCAGCTACCCACAAGCATGTGTTGTGCGTACCCTTTGTCATAATTTAGAGTATCTTCATTTTGGTGGGAGCACAGCTACCAGGACATGAGTGCTCCTGGAATAGGCCCAAAGGACTAGTGCTCCCTCTGCTAAACGGAGACAGATGGTCATCTGAAGGTTTTCTTGCCAAAGATTGCCTACTCCAAAGATACTTTATTTCATCGGGCTGTGTGAGAGTTTAATTTCCCAGGTCCTCCATTTCACACCCTTTGTTACAACCCTTATCTGCAAACTCTGGTCTTTGGTTTAGTAACAGAAGGATTGTTTAAATAGCTAAAGAAAAAATGGGAGCTGAAAGGACCAAAGTCATATCTTCGGGGAGCTTTGAGGTCTCTGGGCAGGAAGCTTTGTGCAAGGAAATTTGAAAATGCAAATTGAGGACAAGCAGAACTATGTTTCCACCCAACAATTGAATCTGAATGAAACTGGTGAGGAAAATCTAGGAATTTCTGGTTCATCTGGCAACATTTTCTTACTGTTGCTTCTAGTTTTCTAATTTTCCTCTTTCTTCAGCCTAGTTCTCTTCAGAATCAGTCCTGGCCTTGAATCTTCATTCGTGCTGTTGGCCAAGTGGGATAGGATCGGATTCCTTGGCCTCACTTGCTAGTAATTCAGAAACGATAGCATGCCTTACAACTGTTAAGTGTTCTATGGTTTGTGCGTTTCATTCACTCCCAGTTTCTAGTTTTTTCTGATGATCTAACTTTTGGCCTTTGGGGCAATCTGGCATTATCTTCACTTTGCAAATGAAACATCTGAGCAGAAAAAAGTCACATAAGTCAAGTAGTAGAGCTACCATAACTACAAAATATTATGAGGCAAAATACATGTTTTTGTGATGCTCACAAAGCCTTCCCGCCCCTTTAAAAATTAATTCATGATTTTTGATTCTGTGACTCATGGAAGGAGGTAGCTGGGGATTAGAAATTGAACAGAAAAGGCTTCAAGGAAGCGGTGATTTGTCTAGAGTGGACGCCAAGCAGGAATTGCTGTGACACATTTACTGCCAAATCATCTCCCAGGTGGCGGCATCATAATGAACCTTCTCACTCAGTACGATGAAAGTATGTGTTCTTTAGAACCTTTACACCCTTTAAACCTTTCATATGTTTGCTACACGGATGGGTGAAGAAAGGCCTCTTGTCTTCATTTGTATTCTCTGACTACAGGTGAAGTGTCTTTTCACGTTATTAGCCCCTTGAATTTACTCTTCTGAAAACTATCTGGGAAAAGCCTTCGTTCTCAATTAGGCTATTTTCTCCTTTTTCTCTATTAGTTTATGGCATTACTTCATGTACTCTAGATACCGTGTTTCCCCGAAAATAAGACATTCTCCGAAAATAAGACCTACTTACAGGTTTCCTTCTGAGTGAAATATAAGGCATCCCCCCCAAAAAAAATAAGGCCCCCCCCCTAGGCTAAACATGAGAGATTTGGTCCACTGATTCTGAAAGAAATGGAGTCACAAGAAATTCACCAGGAAATTCAGGAATTGGATTGTTATGATGATGTTCCAGAAGATGATGACATGATTGCCATTGAATAAGTGAGTAAATTCTTGATACTGTAGGATTCACAGTTTGTCTGGTTTGTGTTGACAACTACCGTACTACCGTACCGTATACAGGTAATAAATTTCCTTTATTTTCATTTAACAATAAATGTGTACCATATTCTTCTTCATGGAAAAATAAGACATCCTCTGAAAATAAGACCTAGCACATCTTTGGGAGCAAAATTAATATAAGACACTGTCTTATTTTCAGGGAAACAGGGTAGTAACTCTTTGCCTAGTCTATATGTTGTGACTATGTTCTTCCAAACTATCATTTGTACTTATGCAATTAAGAAGTAATAAAAAAGAAATAAGAAAATGAGGTTATCAAAAATACTTAAGATGTTGGTTGAATATGAATGTTTAAAAAAGGGGTGGGGTGGGATTTGACACTGAGCCAGAAGAACAGGCAGGGTGTAGAAAGGAGCTGGAAAGCAGTGTGAAGGAACAATAACATGGCCAATCAGAAATGCTATTGCTGCCTCCCAGGCCCATGGAGAATGTTCACGGGCAGAAGTGGAGAACTCTCACTGGATTGGGGATGAGATTGACTAACTGGTTTGCTTAAAGTGAAGAGCCCTCAATGCTGGGTGAGGGATTTGGGATTCATCCTATGAGAATTTTTTAATTGAAGTGTAATACCCAGCCAATATTTTGAAAAAAATGTTAACCTGACTACAGTGTGTGAAGAGACTTGGAGACAGGATGTTGGAGGTACCCGTTAGTACTAAAGCTTAATTAAGTTAGCAGAGGAATGAATGAAATGGAAAGGAATAATTAGAGATGTTTTAAAGTTAAAAAAAAAAAAAGAAAAGAAAAGAAAAGAAAAGAAAGGGGAAAAAAAAAAAAAAAAAAAGAGCTAGGTTTGGTGATGGATTGCATGCCCTGAAGATTACAAGTGGCTGAGAAAATGGTGATGTCTTAGGCTACTTTCAAGGGAAAACTGAATTTTAGTGGGGAAATGGTATCAAATCCAGAAATTAGCCAAAGAGAATAAAGACAGAGGCGAGAAGACATGGTGACTTTGAGATGATGGTTTTAGGTGCCTACACGGATGGAACACAGAAGACAGATTAAAATTTGAGCAATGAATGGAAACTTAGTCAAGGGATGAGGAAATTAAGGCAGAGTATTGGCTTCATTTGTGTATATATATATATTATTGATTTTGTACAGAGAGGAAGGGAGAGAGATAGTTAGAAACATCGATGAGAGAGAGTCATTGATCAGCTGCCTCTTGCACACCCCCTACTGGGGATATGCCCGCAACCAAGGTACATGCCCTTGACCAGAATCAAACCCAGGACCCTTCAGTCCCCAAGCCGATGCTCTATCCATTGAGCCAAACCGGTTTTGGCTTGGCTTCATTTGTTTTAAAGAGAAAGGGCTGTTTCTCTCGATACCACGACTTTGGCTTTTTCTTACCACTCATTGACTACAGATGCCACTCATTTTCCAAGCTGTGACCCTGGTTTTGCTGATGAGAAAGCTTGCCACATGTTGCCTCTGTAGGGCAATTCAATTCAGAAGATTAGCCTGTGGGAAGCACCGGTGTTTCTCATAGAGGCCTGTGAGGAGCCCAGGAAAGCACACGAAGGAGGCGGCAGCCGTGAGCCTCTCTGAACTCTCTTTCCTCGCCCATTAAGTGAGTTTCATGTGAATGCAAATATGCCTGTTTCATTTTCACCCTCGCTGGGTGGCTCTGTTGGTTGGAGGGTCGTCCGTCCGGTACACCAAAGGGTGACAGGTTGGATTGCCAGTCAGGGCACATACCTAGGTTTTAGGCTTGATCCCCAGTCAGAGGAACATATGGGAGGCAACCGATTGATGTTTCTCTCTCACCTCATGTCTGTCTGTCTGTCTGTGTCTCTCTCTCTCTCTCTCTCTCTCTCTCTCAACATCCTCACACGAGGATTTTTAAAAAGTTAATTTTAAGTCATTTTGTATTAACTTCTATGTGAAAAATATGTTTCAAAAATACGTTCATGCTACATTGACATATAGTACTATTCTGTTTTTGCTACTGCCTGATTTACCAGTGGTTCTTGTTTTCTCTAAAATGTTTTGAACAACATTTTCCTTAAACGTAGTCGTGGTATATAGGCAACGCGATAGAAGAAATCAGCGGCTTAGAGCTGTGCAGCAGCCTGACTCACCTCAGCCTGGCCAAGAACAAGATCACAACCATCAGCGGCCTGGGCGAGCTGCCCATCAAAATCCTCTGTCTGGTGAGTGTGGCAACGTTGGGAGTTCTAGTGAACGTTTTAGTAAAGGCATGACTTAGAATTGTTTAGGGATTTTCAGCTTTATAAAGAGAGACTTCCTTAATGTTATGGTATTTTCTTCAGTTGTGTTTATTCTTTGCTGTACCTGTGTATGTGTGTGTTTGTGAGATATCAATATTTCAGGCTAAAGGAAAATGATTTTCCAACTTGGTATCCAAATTCAATTTTTTTCAAAAGACTGATATTTCTGCATTGAGAAACAAAGGCATACTTTTAACAATTACTTAAAAATATGTTTATAATGTCTTACTGGAAAAAGAACAGTTAAGCTTGTTTAAGCATTAAATTTATTGATGTTAACATTCTTGCTTTCAAGTGAACCACAAGATGTTCTCTGGGCACTGAAGTTTTGTGGTCTTTTTGTATTAATATATGGTAATCTCCCCTTCTAACAGCCAGAATTAGTACTGAGAATAGATGAACAGTTCCAATCAAAGAGTGAAAACCTGGCTATTTTCCCATAGAGAACACTCTTCTTTAGCTATAGAACATGCTCTCTGACTATGACTCGATGAGAAGGTAATTTACAAAAAGTTGGGAGGATCATAATAATCCCAAATACATAGTATTTATGAAAGAACAGCATTGCTCACTAATTTGGGGGCCAATAATATAGTTTCTGAATTATCCAGGATTTTTTCTTCTTTCCCTCCTCCCTCCTACTTCTTAACCTTGGATGGCTTTGCTGTTCTTTATTATACCTGTCACAAGGTGGGCCTGGAGGATGTTAAGCCATGAGGCTGCTAGCTTATTAAATTCCTATGTGAATTTTCCCACAGGAGTGTTGAACTGTTGTTTGAAATGACACGTTTGGTTGTCTGCAGAATTTTGACATATACAATATACTCTCCCTGTCTTATTTAACCACCGAGAGCTGACGGATGGCTGGGTGTTAATTTTCTCCCCTGGCTTGGGGATGGAGTGTGTTTTTAAGACCCTCCGTTCCTTACAGTGAGTCAGGGGAGGATCACAGTATTGAGGACGGGCATGAGGCATGAGAGGTTTAACCATTTCCCCGAGGTTTCATGGTTCCTGCCCACAAATGCACATTAGCCAAACATAAATGAAAATGAACTTGGTAAGTTGGATTGCAGATTTAAGAGTTTAAGAAAAGTCACGTTTTAAAGTTGTAAACATCTGAAGGATTATTGGCAGCATGTGCTGTTCTGTTTGTAGCTTATCCTTTCTTTGCATCTTTTCCGTATTGGCATTCCCATTAACTTTAAGTGGAGCAATAGAAGGAGATCTGGGGGTGTGCTTAAGGGAACAAGAACTGAATTCATTATTAGGAATAACAATGCATAGCCCTGGCTGGTGTGGCTCAGTCGGTTGGGTATCGTCCCATGCACCGAAAGGCTGCTGGTTCAATTCCTGGTCAGGGCACATGCCCAAGTTGTGGGCTCAATCCTTAGGAAGATCATGCAGGAGGTAGCCAGTCGATGTTTCACTCTCACATTCATGTTTCTCTCTCCCTTTTTCTCTAGAATTCAATTTTTATAATCTTAATAAAAAGAATAAGAACACATAGCACTTTCATCCTTAAGCATTTGTTTCAATTACTAAATAAGTAATCTATGCTGACAATTTTGTGCCATCATTAATTTTCCTTTAAGTTTTTGAGAATAGGAAGGTTTTCTTTTCCATATGTTAATAAAATACATAAAGTGAAATGATACACATTTGTTTCAACAGTTTTTAATGGTTTTATTTTTTAAGCTGTAAAGTCAGAAACTCAATTTTTTATTATTGAAAATAATTTATTTTACAATTTGGAGAAAAAAGGACAATTCAATACACACACCAATAGTTGTCTACCATCAACGTTTGTGATAAATGTAAGGGAGAAATGTGGTTTACTGGTGGGCTATTGTGGTAGCCACCTCCCTTAGCAAGTCAGGACAATGCATTTCACATTTTAAACTTTATTTTGTCTTAGTAAGAACCATTTGTTGCCGAAACCGGTTTGGCTCAGTGGTAGAGCGTCTGTCTGCAAGGTCCCGGGTTCAATTCCAATCAGGGGCATGTATATTGGTTGCGGGCACATCCCCAGTAAGGGGTGTGCAAGAGGCAGCTGGTCGATGTTTCTCATCGACGTTTCTGGCTCTCTATATCTCTCTCCCTTCCTCTCTGTAAGAAATCAATAAAATATATACTTTAAAAAAAAAAGAACCATTTGTTGTTTCCCTTCCACATGGGGAGGTGAGTGTTTCTCATTCCATTATTTAAGGAAATGGCTTCTCTATAAAGGATCCCTTTACCTGTTAGTCATGACACAGCAAGCAAGAGCTGTTCGTGCAGAAACTGGATGTCTACTGTGTCCTCAGCACTGGATAAAGGGTTGGACTGGATGACTTTGAACTCAGAAATTGTGTGATTCTGAACATTTATCAGCTCTGCTTCCTTTTTTGCCCACAGGCTATCTAGTTGAACTTCTCTATGCTTTATTCTATGCTTTTTGTTGTTGTTAATCTTCACCTGAGGATATTTTTTCCATTGCTTTTCAGAGAGAGTGGAAAGGGGAGAGAGAGAAACATCATTGAGAGAGGCACAGTGTCTGGTTGCCTGCCACACACGCCCCAATCCAGGGTGGGGAGTGAACCTTGACAGGGAATCCAAATTGAGACCCTTCAGTGCCCGGGGCCGATGCTCTAACAGCCAGAACGCCGTCCAGGGCTCAGTATTCTTGTATCTACCACTTGGAAAGTTATCAGAGATGCTGTAAAGAATTATACGGGCTATCTTCCACATCTACAGCACGTTAAGGTTCTTTGCAAAGAAGTATAGGGTATATAAACTTGATATGTGGGCATATTTTAAATAGGATATTGAAGTCTTATTTTAATACATTAAATTAATATGGACATCATGTTAAGTTTAGTATCATTTTTTTTCTTTTCTATTACACTTTCTGAACATTTTTTAACTCTGCACAGTAGGAAACTTGACTTAATTTAGGCAAATGGGGTTATTAGTATTTTTTCCTTCTAATAGAATTTTTCTATCATACATAAGAATAAATAAAATGGTTTAATGAGACCTCAAGCTTTATAGATCATCAACATTCTATTAACACGTTTTAAAGAACCATAAATTACACTAATGAACACAAATTGTGCTCATTATTGAAGTGAAATCTTAAGAAAAATAGGATTGAAATGAGTTCATGCTATTAAATATCCCAGAAAAAATATTATAGAGGAAGAGAATATTATAATTTAGTATTTTTATCCTTACCTGAGGACATGTTTATTGATTTGAGAGAGAGAAATATTGATGTGAGAGAAACATCAATCGATTGTCTCTCATACACGCCCCAACAGGGAACTGAACCTGAATACTTTTGGTATATGGGATGATACTCCAACCAACTGATTCACCTAGCCAGGGTCATAATTTCACTTTTAGTTCCTAAGTGCTTATTAAAAGTTTAAAGATGGGCATAACAGCATAAATTGTCTTTAGTATGATTAAAATTGTCTTTAATATGATTCTCAATTTAAATTAAAAGTTTACTTTTACTATGCATTTCACTATACCTCAACATTAAGGTACCATAGAATTATGAGTATGTTGGAAAATATAAAGAAAATTCAAATTAGTATTATCACCATAATTTGCTGTTAATGGGTACATGAGGGTTGGAAAGAACAATGTTTGAGGCTTGAATCTTTCTTTGCTTTATGTTCATTGTCTGAGAAGATGCTCAAGTGTGAATTATTGAAGAACTTAACTTCAGTTTTCTATTGTTGCATAATAAGCCACCCCAAGTGTAGTGGCGTGGAGAACTTTTATTAGCTAACCATTGTGGTAGCCAGCATTTCTATAATCTGAGCTGGGGCAGCTGGGCAGATCTTCTGCTGGTCTTGCCTCTTGCAGCTGGCAGTTTGGATAGAGTCTGAGCCCAGCTGGGATGCTGGAATGGCTGGATTTTCCCTCTGTATTTAATCTCAGGAGCCTCTCCAGGTGACCTCTCCTTCCCCACGGGACCTGTCCACAAATTCTCTCCAACAGAGTAGCTGGCATTCTTACATTGCACCGCAGGCAGGGCTCCAAGACACCACAGGGGAAGCTGCCAGGCCTTCTCATCCTTAGGCTTGGAACTGGCCTGCTTCTGCCATGTCCTGTGGCTAGGTCAAGGCATAAGTCCAGCCCAGATATGTGAGGCAGGAAGCTCACAGGAGCACAAGTAACTGAAGGCTGTGTGAGACTAGCACAGCCCTCACACCTTGAAGGGAGTACATTTAGAATACTGCTGGAAACAAGTGTATGTGGAAATTATAATATTCAAGTGATTTATTGTGATGCTGATGAAAGAACTGCATAAGTTTTATTTCTAAAGATAAACATGGAGTTATGCTGTAATTAGGCTTTAGGTTATGCAGTGTAAAAAGCTGACTACTGATTAGAATATTCATCTTGCTTTAGTGAAAATATTATGTTCTGCCCAGCTGGTGTAGCTCAGTGGTTGAGTGATGAACCAGGAGGTCACGGTTCAATTCCAGGTCAGGGCACATGCATGGGTTGCAGGCTTGATCCTCACTAGGGGGCAATAGTGCAGAAGGCAGCCAATTAATGACTCTCATCTTTGATGTTTTTATCTCTCTTTCCCTCTTCCTTCCTCTCTCTGAAATCAATATATATATATATTAGCTTCTGAGATTTCTTTGTGGGCTGTGTGTATATGTGTTTAGGGAAGCGAAATGGGAGGTGGGGCAGACAAGAGTGGCTTATTGATTTTAAGAGATTTGGGATAGTATGCAGAATGAAAACTTACCATTGCACCTTTTCCTGTAGAGGTCTTTAAGACATTGAGTGTCTTTTAACCATTTTAGAGCCATAACCAGATTGAGAAGATCGTGGGTTTGGAGCAGCTAAGATCCCTGAAGATTGTGGACCTATCCTATAATCAGATCAAGAGCCTCCAAGGCTTAGAGAATCACGACTTCCTGGAAGTGATCAACCTAGAGGACAATAAGGTAAAGTCGTGATCTCACATGTTGGCTTCCATGTCAACATTAAGAAGACACAGTAGGCCAAAACCGGTTTGGCTCAATGGATAGAGTGTCGGCTTGGGGACTGAAAGGTCCCGGGTTCGATTCTGGTCAAGGGCATGTACCTTGGTTGCGGGCATATCCCCAGTAGGGGGTGTGCAAGAGGCAGCTGATCGATGACTCTCTCTCATCGATGTTTCTAACTCTCTATCTCTCTCCCTTCCTCTCTGTACAAAATCAATAAAATATATTTTAAAAAAAAAAGACACAGTAGGACCCATTATTGGTTGCTCAAAGGCTGTCACCTTAAATGCCACCTCAGAAATGTCATTCTAGAAAACCTCCTGGAACAGTAGTTGAGGGAGGACTTGGAATCCTATGTAATAAAGAGGTAATATGCAAATTGACCATCACTACAACACACAATATGGCTGCCTCCATGTGGTCAAAGATGGCCATCCCCATGTGGACACATGATGGCCACCCCAGCATGGCCAGCAGGGGAGGGCAGTTGTGGGTGACCAGGCCTGGAGGGGAGGGCAGTTATGGGTGACCAGGCCAGCAGGGGAGGGCAGTAAGAGGTGACCAGGCCTGCAGAAGAGGGCAGTTGCAGATAACCAGGTTGGCAGGGGAGTGCAGTTAGGGATGACCAGGTCAGCAGGGGAGGGCAGTCAGGGGCAATTGGGCCAGCAGGAGAGCAGTTAGGCATTAATCAGGCAGAAACAATTAGGAGCAATTAGGCAGGCAGGCCGGCAGGCAGGCAGGCAAGTGTTTGGGAACCAGCATTCCTGGATTGTGAGGGCAGTCAAAAATCCCTTAAGGGATCAAAGATTAGAGAGAGTACAGGCTGGGCTGAGGGACAACCCCTCCCCCATGCATAAATTTCATGAACCAAGCCTCTAGTCAATAAGTAAATACTTACAATTCTTAATTTTTGAAAACTTGATGATCCCTTATTACATGGTTTTAAAGGTCAGCTACAACCAAGTGCACATGACCTTCTGAAGTATATGTGTCCGCGTGAAAATTTGTGTAGAAGGATGGCATTAGGACTGCCTGAAAGCCAGCGCCAGAAAACTAGACAGAAGAGTAGCCTCAGGCTGGTGCGGCCCATGAAAGTTTGGCTGACCATGACGGAGACATTGGTCCTACCTGGGTTGAGATGTGAGGCTGTGGAGACCTGTCTCTGTTCAGCTGTGATGGTGCTCATCTGTGTTGATGACTTTCTCTAATGAACTTCCATCTCTGTTAGGTTTTTTAAAATTGTTTTATTTATTGCTTGTTTTGAGAGAGAGAGATTTGTTGTTCCACTCATTTATGCATTGATCAGTTGAACCCGAAACCTTGTCATATCGGGATGATTCTCTAATCAACTTTGCTACCTGGCCAGGGCATCTGTTAGGTTTTTAAAAATTAAGAAAAGTCAATCTTTAGGTCTGGGAAAAAGTAGATATTTAATTACAGATAGGACTGTGCATCCTCATTTTCACTTGATTTGTACGTTAAATTGTTTTGTCAATTTCTAAAGTTAATTCTAATGGACAATTTTTGGTCATTGTGTTGTGTGTCTTATGAAGCCAGCATCATCTCTCTTTCCTATGGTTTTAGTTTCTTTTTCATGAGATTGCCATTAGCATGATTGTCACGTATATACAAGGAATGTTGGAAAGATGGAATGCACTCATTTAATTCCAACTCAGTGTATTTCAGGATTCAGGAAAAGCAGCAATGGTAATACTAATAATAACAATTATAGTCATAAAATAACTGTGATATTCATTGACTATAGCACAAGGAACTATTCTAAGCACTTTACATGTATTTCACTTAATCCTTATTATATAACCCTATTATTATTGCTACTGGGATGTAGAGAGGTTAAGTAACTTGTCTAAGCTGTTTACCTAGCAAATAGCAGAGCCAGGATGTAAATATACATTGGTAGCCTCTAGAGTCAGCGTTCTTAACCCTGCAGGGTAGTTCAGTAAATGAAATACTAAAGGCCCTCTTTCAGAAAGGTGTATGGTGTACATGTCCGAGGAGAGTGTTTTCTGATAAAATATGTGTGTGCAACTATAATTTTTTTAGTAACCACAATAAAGAGGTAAAAAGAAACAGGTGAAATTAGTTTTAATAATGTATCTTATTTAGCTGAAAACATCCAAAATATTATAATTTCAACATGTAATCTATGTAAAAAATTATATTCTGTTGCTTCACAGTGAGATTTTTTACATCCGGTGTGTGTGTCTTACACACAGGACATTTGGATTCAGCCTAGCCATATTCCAAGGGCCACTTGTGGTTAGTGACCACTGAACTGTGTAGTGCTGACCTCACAAATCATATATCGTTCTCTTCCATTTCAAGAGACTATCCAAATTACATTTGAAAGAGTTTAAAGGAAAAAGCGAGTGAAGAAAGGAGTTCATAAGTTTCAAATATTAAAGAGACTCCCTTAAAAAAAAAAAAGTGGCCACATTTCCCAATGGTGGGAATCCTTTGGCAATGATTGGGTTCGTAACAATAACATAATTCCCTGGCTCCCCAATGGGCAGGCTGAGGAGCAACCCACAGTATTTTAAAATATTCTTTGAGCCATCCAAAGATTTCCTCAGAGATTTCACCAGTACTACTGAGAATGCTGTGTATCAGGGGTGGAAAATTTTTCATTTAGAAGAAACATAAATAGCTGTTGCATCTCATGTGATCAGTTTGATGTTAGGAACATTGTTTTATCGGCAGCACTTTCACTGGCTTTAGCTGTTGAAACACTGCTGTACCTCCCATGATCTTGTAAACATCTAAGTTCCTTTGCAAATGTTTATCATCAGCTGCTGATTTGGGGGCCTTAATTACTCTTTACACATAGTCCTTCTAGTAGATTTGATCTCATTTCTAGCATTTGCAACTCATTCCCCAAATGTTAACTCTATTGTAACCTCAGTCCTTTCTTCTAGAAGCAAAATATTGGTCTGGGAGTTACTTAGGGAATACCATTTTGCTTTTCTGAGACTTAGTATCATTATACCACAAATATGTATTCCATCTGTCTGTCTGTCTGTCTGTCCTTCCATCCATCAATCCATCCATCCATCCATCCATCCATCCATCCATCCATCCATCCATCACAGCACCTTAAGTCTGGATGGTAAGGCATGGTGAGCATGGCCAGAAGGAAAAGGCAAAAAATGAGTCATGTAAACTGCGCTCCCTACGAAGCCCAGGCTGACAGGCCTCTGGAGCGTGGGGAGCAGCTAACAGGCAGAGAAGGCTTGAGAAGAGGGCCAGACTAGAATGGGGGCCAGCTCTGCTGGTGTGACATTCTTGCAGAAGATGGCTGACGTTTCTTTAAGAGTATAATCTTTTTGGCAATGTTCACTGTAGGTTATTTGGGGTGCTGGGTCCCCACTCCATCTATAATCATCAGAGATACACAGAGCCATGAGTCTTGACATTTGAGGAGAGAAGACATGGGGGTGTCTGTTGTGGGGGTAGGTCTGCAGGAGAGGGAGGCTCAGGCAGGGCAGCCAGGACCCGCACACATGGCTAACTCAGTAGCTAGGCTCGAAGCCAGGCTACTCCACACTGCTCCCTTCTGCCCTTACCAGCCTCATCCTACCTTTGAAAGGACTGGAAGGGAAGCTGGCTTCCTCTCATTGGGCTTTCAAAAGGCCAGTGATTCCAACTGGCTTCTTAGTGTGCATAGTCCGTGATCATTCTTTTGTGCTGTTTGTAACATTTGAAGATCTTTCCAGGTCAGTCACCATAGATGTCAACATCTTCTGGATTGGGTGCATAGATTCCTATTGTGTGACTGTACTGTGGCCCATTTAATCACATGATGGTGGAGCTTTCAGAATTTAGAATATTTTAACTTTTACTAAAAACATTAGACAGAGCATTCTTGTATCTAATGTTTGCCTGTCTGATGGTTTCGTCAGGATAAAACTCTTGAAGTGGGATAATGGTGTCATAGCTTATGCATTTTTAACACAGATTGCCCTTTAGAAAGAATGTGCCAATTTCCACTGTCACCAGCAGTGCTGTGAGTGCCTGTGGCCGGGACTTGGTGAGACATGGTGACATTTGTGTTAGGGCCAACCAGGAAGTGATATTGACAAGGAAGTCAATCCATGTTATGAAAGTTATGACTGGACCAATAGGAACCAAGTTTACTTTTCTACCACCTGAATAATGCAGTATAAAATATTGATTCTTATATCTTGTAGAGGACCCAAACGGTAGTCCAAGGGGTAAGCTAGTCATCGTGTGGCAAAAGCTGTGCCTTAGCCTAACATTGCTCTAACCAGATCAATGTGGGCAGGTTATATATTGTATCTTGGAAAGTGGCATCCTTTGAACATGGCACAAGTGTTTTCACCCTGATTTAGCTTTGGGAATAGTTTACATTTTGCTGCGTTTTGTGGTTGGATAACTCGGGAATTCTTAGGATTCTGCTATTGGGGGGCTTTTACAAGGCCTGCAGGAATGAGTTGGGTGGGGAGAAATATAAATGAAAAGTGCTTATTAATTTTTTGCACAAGTTCAGTATCTATATCCTATATAATAAAAGGCTAATATGCAAATTGTCCCCTTGGGAGTTCAACCACTCACTATGATGTGTACTGACTGCCAGGAGGTGACACGGAACAAAGGAAGGCCCTGGTCAGTCCTGATCGCTGGCCAGGCCCAGGGACCCTACTTGTGCACAAATTTTGTGACTGGGCCTCTAGTTTGAAATAAATGGTAATTATGCTAATTACAGAAAATTTAAGAAAAAGTGTTTGTCTTTAGCTTAGTGGGAAATTCAGGTATGCTGCAACCCAACCTCTATTCTTGGTCAAATTAAGGACACCTTTTCCCCCTTACTTTTAAAAAGTTATGAAACTTACATAGAAGAGAGTATAAAACATAACTGTACATTTGACAAAAACATTAAGGTAAACACCTGTGTAACACCCATGTTGAGAACTATGTCATACAACTTTCGTTTTTATCTTTCTTTAAAATAATGGTCTCTTATTAAAAAACTAGAGGCCCGGTGCATGAAATTTGTGCACGGGGGGGGGGGGGGTTTGTCCCTCAACCCAGCCTGCACCCTCTCCCATGTGGAAGCCCCTCAAGGAATGTCCGTATCACAATCCGGGACTGCTGGCTCCTGCCTGATTGCCCCTAACCACTCTCCTGCTGGCCTGATTGATACCTAACTGCTCTCCTCCTGGCCCGATTACCCCCAGCTGCCCTCCCCTGCAGGCCTGGTCCCCCTCAACTGCCCTCCCCTGCCCGCCATCTTGTGACAACATGGGGGTGGCCATGTTGTGATGACATGGGGGAGGCCATCTTGTGTTGATGTGGGGGCAGCCATCTTGTGATGTTAGAGTGTGAGGGTCAGTTTGCATATTACCTTCTTATTATATAGGATTATAGAGCTCCATGGCCAGCATAGTTTAGTGATTGAGCATCAACCTAAGAACCAGGAGGTCACAGTGTGATTCCTGGTCAGGGCACATGCTGGGTTGCAGGCTCCATCCCTAGTAGGGGGCCTTCAGGTGGTGGCCCATCAATAATTCTCTCTCATCATTGATGTTTCTTTCTCTTCCTCTCCCTTCCTCTTTAAAATCAATAAAAAAATGTATTTTTAAGAAATGATAAGAACTACACATGCTGTAAGAAGACTTCACTGGGCAGTGAGCCGGGGCAGAGAAGCCATGCTGAGGGGCAGAGTGGGAACTGGAGGCTCAGGAAGTCGGTGGTGGGGAGAACAGGTAGCCTCTACATGCATTTGTCATGCTATTTCTCTGATTCTATGTGCCGTCTCACGTCTGCCTTTAAATAAGCATGAGGAGCACATTACTGTTCTCAAGCCAGCAGGTTCTGTGAAACTTGGTAAAATTCTTGTGAAAGGGCTGGATATTTGACAGAGCAATTTTTAAAATAAGCTGGATTTAAAGGATCCATGATATCCCCTTATATATTATCCTTTCTATTGTTTTTTTTGTGTGTGTGCAGTCAGTCCATTGATACTGTTATGTCTCTTTGCTGAAACAGATTTCTGAGCTGGGTGAAATAGAATACATTGAAAATCTACCTCTCCTTCGAATTCTCAATCTTTTGAAAAATCCAATTCAGGTAAGAGATCATTTACGTCAGGGCAGGGGGTGAGGGCTTCCTTGGAGCTCTTCTTCAAGAAGTACTTTCGATAAAGAACATTAGGATGTGAGTGCAGTGTGTTTTTCTTCATTCTCAATCTCTTCGGAGGCAGTCAGGAGAGTTAAGCAATCAGAAGGGTCAGGCACCTTGAGCACCTCTGTCAGGGGAAGTGAAGCCTGAACAGGTCACTCTGTGTGTTCCCTGTGAGTCATCCAGGAAGTGGCCAAGATCCTGGGCGGGAGCTGCTGAGATGAGGGATCAATGTCTTCTTGCATTAGAAGATGCATGGTGCTGGGGTGTGGACAGAATGTGGGTCCTGTTTTGTAACATGGGAAAGAGAATCTAAGATTAAATACCTAGAGTAATTCTCTGCATATGGCTGGGAAGCAGGTGTTGTTGTAAAATGATTAAAGCAAAAAGTGTATTTCCCATGGATTCTTCACATCCGGGAATCTGAGACCCATGACTGCTTTGCAGGCTCTGGCTTCACCGAGGAATCCTTTTGCCTGGCCCTAGCCCTCCCTCTTTGTGTCTTTGTCCTCATCCCCTCTTCTACCTATACCCTTCGCTTACCTTTCCATAGACTTTTTACTTTGTATGTAGCTCTGAGTACCGTTGTTTTTGTGATCAGTATCGCTAGAATGGCAAAAAAAAAATTTTTAAGTGAAAAATAAAATTTAAAAGTAAAAGCAATGCTTGGTATAGAAATGGTGACAGGCACTAAAAGCAGCTCTAGAAAGAAAGCGTTGGAGCTTACAACAGCCATCACCCCCAGCTGCAGATCCGTAAGGAGTGTCTGTTCATGTAACATACATTCTTATCTGTAAGATGCATCAATCACTAACATCTTTCCCTTCAAAGAGGCGTAGCTTCAGGATACAAAACACGTTGATTGCATTTTTAAAAGGCAGATAATCCTAAAATAGCCGATGGTAGGGAGTTATAAAGAATTCATTCCATAAATAAATATCATTTTATTGTGAAATAAATTAATAATACATGATACAAAAATAAAACAAAGTTATAAATAAATAACAAAGTAATAATAAATGTTTCATTATTTGTAGTACTAAAACTTTTTGGAGTTAGAAAAGCAATTTTCACCTAGGGTGCTGCAAGAATTTCTAGAAAATGCAATGCCTGACTATTTAGTCAGGAGCACTGACCTCTTTTCCCTTAGATTGTCAAATACAAAAAAAAAAAAAAAATGACAAAAACCTGGTCAGTGTGGCTCAGGGGTTGAGCATTAACCTACCAACCAGAGGTCATGGGCATGTGATATTCTCTCTCTCTCCCCCCCCCCCCTTCCTTTCTGAAATCAATAAAGAAATTTAAAAAGTGAAAACAGCTAAAGCAGCAATAGCTGTCTGATATGCATGCCCTGTCTTGAACCATAAATATGTAGGTCATAGAGTTGCATCTTATTGGTCATGTCACATAGTAAGGTTGCATCTGATTGGTTAATTCTTGGTACCAGCAATCCTTATGTACACATATATAAAAAGTTACTTTTTTTAAAATATATTTTTTATTAATATTAGAGAGGATAGGAGAGGGAGAGAGAGAATGAAATATCAATGATGAGAGAGAATCGTTGACCAGCTGCCTCCTACATGCCCCATATCAGGTACTGAGCCTGCAACCTGAGCATGTGCCCTGACTAGGAATCGAACAGTGATCTCCTTGTTCATAGGTCAACACTCAACCACTGAGCCATGCCAGCTGGGCAAAAGTCACCTTTTTTTTAAAAAAAAAAATCACTTTGGGAGCAAAAAAGGTAGGTAAATACTGTTATTATTTTTGTAAATCAAACAAAATTATCTATTTTTTTGTCATATCAGCAAAAAATATGTTGTATTTCTTGGTGTGCTACAGAATTTTAGTAATTACCTTATGTGTGCCAGGGGATGGAAAAGGTTTAAATTGGCTGCATTAGAAGATAGGCTTCATGTTGCTGGCCATGGGTCCTTAGACAGAATGCTTCGCCTCTGAGGCTCAGTTGGTTTGCTCTTTAGAAATGAAGATGCTCACACCTGTCCCGCTTACCTCACAGGGAGACTAACAAGGTCACAACTTTGAAGAGCTTTATAAGTTGCAAGGGACAGTGTGCATTTGAGTTGTTAATTTAATGGGGCTGGTAAGTGTGAAAATGTAGAGACAATTCTGTGTGTGTGTGTGTGTGTGTGTGTGTGTGTGAGAGAGAGAGAGAGAGAGAGAGAGAGAGAGAGAGAGAGGGAGGGAGGATAGCAGGTGATATGCCAATGCTCATGAAAGTAGAATGCTGGTGCTTGTTACTTTGGAAAACAAAGGCAATTCAATAGTCCTCTTGATATTTCAAATAGGAACACTGTGAATATTGGTTCTTCATCATTTTTATGCTACTACGATTAACAGAATTAGATCAGAAGAATATTAAAGTGGAAGAAAAGGTATGTAATCATATCATTTTACATGTTTCTCAGTTAATAAGCTTAAAAGCTTATACTGCCTGCTGCAGAACCAATAAAATCAATAAATGATACCCATAATTAATTTACAACATGTGAATTAATGGCTTGTTCAAGGAGTGCTTCCTTGTCCTAGGATCAGTCTGTTTAACCCTCTTCAAAGCTGAACATCAACCCCAATTCAACAGCAGCATTGCATTTCTATAGGCCAACAGCATTCGGGCAGATTATTAATTTAGATAATTATCCTATTTAGAGGTTGTGTCATTCTATGTGCTACTCTAAAATAGCTTTACTAATCATGAAATGTATTTTATTGTCATTCCACCATATACTCAAAAGGTACACAAGTGAATTACTATTCCGCTATTTTAAATCCTTAATTCTGTTTTTTAAGATAACTAGTGGCCCGGTGCACAAAATTCATGCACTGGGGAGCGGAGTCCTCAGTCTGGCCTGTGTCCTCTCGCAGTCCAAGACCCCTTTGATTGTGTTATTCTCACAATCAAAGGCACTTAATAGATTTCTTTTTCCCTTTAACATTTTGCAAAGAGAATACAATTCGAAGCTATAGGTTAAGAAAAGGTGTAGCACACAGGATAATGCATTTAGAGAGATGCCAAAAACAAGTGGATGGAGAGCCATACATTATGAGGAAAAGGCCTAGGTCTGTGGACAGAAGAAGTTATGTTAAAAGAGGAGGAGCTTTGGGTAGAATTTGAGATCATCAGAATAGCTCTTGGTGAGATGGCATAAGAAGAAAATTCAGCAGCATCAGCTACCTGGAATCTGCAGATGAATTTTATTTCTTCCTCTTGCAGGGGTCTTCAAACTACGGCCCGTGGGCCACATGCGGCCCGCAGAGGAGTCTGATCCGGCCCGCCAGGTTTTTTGGGCAGTGAGCGCAGCCGAGGTGTTACAGTAGGAATTAGTTCATATAGTCCGGCCCTCCAGCTCTCTGAGGGACCGTGATCTGGCCCCCACTTTAAAAAGTTTGAGGACCCCTGTAACGGTTGGGATGGTGACTGTATTAAAAGTATCTTAATACGGTATTAAAAGACATTTAGAGGGTTTGTTTTTGCTTTTCCCCTCCCAAGTCAGGGAGTATAAAGAAGTAGGGGATTGAGGGATTCCAGCTCAATATTTTAAAATAATTATCATTATTTAGGTTTGGAGACTAAGCACAAAGACTCCTGAGCATGCCTTTCATTCCTTTCTCTACCTGATTGCATGTCTATGCTGATTCATTAAAGAAAATCTGAGCCTTGTGTGCTTTTTAGAAATGCAGTCTGTTTCCCTTGGCATTCCTGATTCTGAAACAGGTTTTGGCAGTGAATAAGTACAACCCTCCCCCGGAAGTGGTCGCAGCCCAGGATCACCTGACCCACGTTGTCCACAGCGTGATGCAGCCTCAGAGGATCTTTGACAGGTATTTGCTAGGGATCCTCGGCGTAGAACTCGGGGCGGCGAGCACGGGGCACCCCATCCTTTTCCTGGGCTTCTATTTTGTGACCCATTCTTTTCGCACCTTGTCTGAGGGAAGGGCCCAGGGGTTTATCTGACCGGCCGAGTTGGCTCGATTACAGCGTCTTATCCATCTTAGGGGTGTCGAACTCAATCAGAGAAGGGGCCAAAATCTAAAATCCAGCCTAAATCGCGGGCCGAATGGTTTACTGAACAGTCATAAACTGTCATTGTGATGGAAACGCAGCGGAGTGCAGTGATGACAGCGCGGTGCGGGCCACATTGCAAGGCCTGGCGGGACGGGTTTGGCCCGCGGGCCTTGTGTTTGACACGTGTGCATCACATGCTTGAAGATGGGCTCTCTGTCGGTGTTTCCCCGAGTGTAGTGGTGCGTGGGTTCATCTTCCCTCTCTCACCCGGCCCCTGAATGGTGGCTAGCCTGTAACGTGGGACAGTGAAATAATAATAATGAGTAATAAGTTTGTCAGGTTTTTTTTTTTTGGCTGCAGGATAGAACCTCAGATGATTGTGATCATTTCTGTCCACTATACATGTTTCCTTAGTTGCGAGCGGATGCTAGACCCCCTGCCAGGGAGCATACCAGGAATGCGGGTTGTTAGAGCCCTGGAGACAGCCTGCGGGCCGAGGGAAGCCTGCCAGTCTTGTCTAATGGGTGCCCTCGGAGCAGGCGCTGGGCTTGCTTGAACACACGAGCAGTCTCTCACCTCTATGTTCAGAGACAGATTACCACAGTTTCTCCTTTTCCTTTTTCCGATCTGGCGGAGCAGATGGCCACTTGTGCTACAAGTATAATGCAGAAAGTCTATCAAGACCCAGCGGCGGGCTTAAAATACTTGTAAGATCTCTTGGTTATAAACGGCTTCTCTTCTTCATGTGGCATTTGCTCCTGTATGTCACTTGGTTCCCCACAGAGAGAAAAATGCTTTATTTTGCATCCGGACATGAGTTTTTACATGTAATTTAATAACACAGACATTGACAGTTTTATACATTTATGGTCGCCCTCTAGGTGAAATGATTTATCATTTACTTGCCTACATCTGGAAAAGCACATTCGATTGATTTTTTTTTTCCAAAGGAGCATTTATGTCCTCATTGTATTTCTTTTTTAGTTTATGAAGATTGCTAGTTGTTTCATGCTTTAGGGTAACATTTATATAAAAATATGTATCAAATAAATTTACAACAGTACCTGATAGACAAATATTTTGTCATCATTTCTGGCTGTTGAGCAGGAAGTGCGGATGGCCAAGCAGGCTGGCTGCTCCCGGACAAGCAGTGTTCACTGTGAAAACTCACGGAGGTGGGGGGGGGGGGGGGGGGGGGGGGGGGGGGGAGGTGCCCATTTCACTCAGGGCCAGCACACAGCCCTCTGGAAGCCCAGATGAGGAACCCTGACACTTGACCTTGGGGCTTTTGCGCTGCATTTGGGGGGAACCACTGTCCTGCCCTGCTGTGATTGGGTGAGGAGACAGGATTACAATGAGCCCACGGAAACTTGACCCTGGCCTGGTGGTTGCTAATAGCTTCATGCTCTGGACTGACAGGGTTCTGCAGACTCATCTTGTCCAAGTCCTGTCCAGACGTTAAAATCCTCCATTTCTCCAAGAAGCTCTGGTTTGGTTTAGTGCGAAATGGTATTTTCTAATCACAATCTGAGTGCTGAAGACAATCATTGCTATAGAGTTGGTCATTGTTTCTAGGCCTTCGAATGGACCGAACCAGGAATATATTTATTTATTCCTTCCTGTCTTTCCTCCTTCCTTCTGTCCTTCCATCCATGTATTTATCTATTCTCTCTATCCTATTTGTATCTATCAATCTACATCTCTCCAAGCTGTTTATAGCTATATAGTCTATTTTTTAGATAGATCTATCTGTATCAATCTATAAATAGACAACAAAGTACCTCCTCACTTCACATTGATACTTGCAGTTCAGTTTCAAGATTACATTGAGCTTTTACTTCACTTTCAGATGACCTGTCTGTCATCTGAACCTCCTTTTCTTCCACACTAAGGAGATAAAGGAGGAGCTAGAATATCCCATAATTACTCTTTTTTTAAAAAAAATTCCACATTGCACCACAACAATATCAGAATACCAATACCAACACCCCCGCCAACATGATTACTGAAAGCATTGAATGTATTTTGCCTATATTCTTCCCATTACCCAGCCCCCATTTTTCATTATGGTAAAATATATAGAGAGAGTAAAATGTGCTATTTTAAAGTATACAGTTCGGTGACATTAATTATATTCATAATGTTGTTCAACTATCATCACCGTCTTTTTGCAAAACTTTTTAATCACCTCAAACAGAAATTCTAGCAATAACACCCAGTTCTCAGCTACTCCCACTCCCAGGTAACTTCTAATCTACTTTCTGTCTCTGGGAATTTGCCTATTGTATATATTTTACGTAAGTGTCAATCACCCCATTTTAAAAATAGTGTGCTGCATTTATATTGTCACACCATATATCCATCACAGACTACACGCTCTCCATAGCTGTCACTCAGTCCTGGCTCTGTGGGTCGCTTAGCATTCATTGCTCAATCCCAGCCCCTTATAGCAATGGCTCTTGAGTCATTTTGCTTATATTTACTGTAGCTTGTTTCCTAGGAGACTCCTTAGGAAGATTTATGGGGTCAGTATTCCTTCTTGATGGCGTTCTTTGCCCTTTATACTGAAAGTCATTTTTGCTCTAGTATATAAAGCCTATGGCCCATTTTTCCTTAAATATGTTGAAGATGCTACTTCATTTTACTTTATGCAAAACATTGCTGTAAAAAATCCAATGACAATTTGATCTCCTTTCCCTTATAAGTCATGTCTTCTCTTTTCCTAGCTGAACATTTTTTTTTCCTTTTTCTTCTAAGTCCAGTAATTTTACTAGACTATGTCTTGGTATTCATTGTTCTGGGCTAATATTCTCAGATATGTTATGTGTTCTTTCATAAGATATAGTTTTATTTTTTATTTCAGGAAAGTTTTTCTTTCATTACAGCCTTTAATATTTGTTCTGGTCTTTTGCTTTGGTTCTCTTCTTGAGAAAGAGGATATTGCTTGGTTATTTTCATTATTTGTCACTTTCTCTCCAAGTTTTCTTCTTTTGAATCATTAAAGAATTATTTTGAGATAATTTTAGATTCACATGCAGTTGTAAGAAATGATACAGAGAAATTCTATGTATTTTCACTATTTGCCCAATGGTGACTTCATAGCAATAGTGGAATATCAAATCCAGAAAACTGACATTGATGCAGTACCAGCCATATTAGAATTTTCCACTTTTGCATGCCCTCACATGTGCTCTTAGTTCTATGACATGTTATGTGTGTAGATTCATATGAGCAGCACTGCAGTCAAGGTACAGATGCTTTTTAAAAAATATATATATTTTATTGATTTTTTACAGAGAGGAAGGGAGAGGGATAGAGAGCTAGAAACATCAATGAGAGAGGAACATCAACCAGCTGCCTCTTGCACACACCCTACAGGGGATGTGCCTACAACCAAGGTACATCCCCTTGATGGGAATCGAACCTGGGACCTCTCAGTCTGCAGGCCTATGCTCTATCCACTGAGCCAAATTGGTTTCGGCGGTACAGATGCTTTTGTCACAAGCTCCCTGCACTTCCCTGTTATAGCCGCAACTGCCTCCCTCTGAGCTGCTTTGAGCTCCTGATACCAGGAATCTGTTTCCATCTGTACAATGTTGTCATCACAAGAATGTCATGTGAAGGGAATGATATCGAATATGCCCTTTGAGATTGGCTTTTTTTTTTTTTTTTTTTTTAACTTAACCTCATTCCCTTGAGATTCATCCAAGTTGGTGGATCGTATGAGGAGCTCATTCCCTGTGATGGCTGAGTAGCATTCCTTGGGTGGATGCACCACAGTCAGTTAGTGATCCATCCAGGCTGATTCTGGTTTCCGGCCATTACACCACAGCTGCCGTGAACATTCCTGTACAGGTTTGGTGCGTGTGCAGCTCCAGCCTGCCCGCTTCCCAGGGGACCCCATTGGCTGCTCGGGGTTCCCGTGTTCTCAGATCCCTCAGATGCTGCCCCATTGCCTCCTCTCTGCTCTTCCTGCATAGACCTGTGGTTCATGCAGATATCTTGTCCCCTGGTTTGTGATACATGTTTTCCCTGGGCTTTTGCTCTCAAGTTTTTCTGCGGGTATTCAGAGAGGCTGAATGCTGCCGGCACCTCATTCTTCAGACCAGCCCCTCAGGCCCAGCAGCCATGCCGACAGTCACACATCAGCTCTCACTCACTAGTTGATCCTGTGAGCAGGTTAACCTCTCTGTGTTCCAGTCCTCACATGCTGATGGGGATAGTGACAGAAATAGCTCCACCGGCTTCCTGTGATGACTGAATGAGGTAAAACATGTCAGACTCCTAGAAGAGTGTCTGGGATATATTGCTCAGGTGGAATTTTAGTTATGGCCATTTCTTTGCATATCGGTGTTCTGATGCAATAGGTAGGGATGTTAAAGTGAAATTCTCAGAGGACAGTCTTACTTCTTTCATTTTGAAACCCGTAGGGGAATACTTCATCAAGCAAGAATTACCATACCTCACCATCTGTTCTCTTTTTAAAGAGTTGTTAAGTTAGATTTACACAGACTTGGATTTCCCAGGTTATCTGTGCTTTGAATGTATTTTTGGTATCGAATTGGGGGCGGTGGGACCCCACCTGCTGTGCAGGGTCTGCACAGGTGCTCAGTCTCCCTGCCAGGGCAGCTACATCCCTCTCCAGCGGAGCAGCCCCGCACTGACTCTGCCCTGTGTTGCAGCACCCTGCCCAGCCTGGACGCCCCGTACCCCATGCTGGTCTTAGTGGGTCCTGAAGCCTGTGGGAAGCGAGAACTCGCCCACCGCCTCTGTAGGCAGTTCAGCACTTACTTCCGATACGGGTAAGTTTGTTCCTTGGCTGCTGAGACTGCGGAAGGTTGGAGATTGCTAATTTTGACTGTTGATTTGAAGCAAGTTCAAATGCGTGCATAGAAGGCTTATCTGCATCTTTGCCATTTATTACCCTGTTATGTGCACTGTATTTTTTGTTTTTACTTTAACCCTCCAAATGTTTAACTTTAATTCATAACAGTGGAAGTCACTCTCCAAGGTCAGGAAATACACGTTTTAATTATGCAGAGCGGCGTTGGGATACGGGCTCATCCTGCACCATCACCATGTGTGACAGGAGCCTCCAGTCTCCCACGCCCACAGCACACCAATTCCCTACAGCCTTCTTTTACTGGGTACCAGGCTTTTTCCCATGCTGGGGAAGATGGGAAAAAGTCTGGTACCCAGGTAAAAGAAGGTTGTACGGAATTGGTGACAGAGAACCATTGAAGTGTGGAGGGGCAATGCTATTTTGGACAGTTGAGTGGAGAATTCTATTCAGCTTTGGAATCCTGGGTTCCCAGAGGAGGTTCACGCACAGTGTCACAGGTCCTGGCAGCACAGAGGACAAGCTCACTTCTGCCCTCAGGCAGCCGGGGAGGTGGGCCCTGAACAAGCAACTGGGCTGCAGTTGGCGCAGGCGCCAAGGCAATGGGAGTGTAAAGAGGAGGTGCAGAATCCAACCAGAAGGGCTTGAGAAAGGCTTTTTAGCTGGGTGTGTGTGTGTGTGTGTGTGTGTATGTGTGTGTGTGTGTGTGACACTTAAACTGATTCCTGAAATCACGAGGGCAGCCATGTGAAGGGATGAGAGAGGAATGTGGAGAGAGCGCCGTGGATCAGAGACAACATGAAAACACTTGGGCGGAAAATCTGTGACTAGAAACTATTGTCCCACTCCCCTAAGTATTATTATGTGATAGTAGCAGAGGTGGCTCAGAAGGTCACCGGTAACAATGAGTAAAAATATTGTGTCGATAATCCAAACTTGGTTTCAGCGCTGTGGAGTATGATCACTTACGATTTATGGGTCAATTTCAGTTTTTTCTAATATACCTTATACTGAACTCATTTCCATTTTGGATTTTAAGTTACGGGACACAGAGTAGATAATCTGTTCTGTTTCCAGGGCCTGTCACACCTCCAGACCCCCTTACTTTGGGGAAGGGGATCGAGTTGATTACCAATTTGTCTCTGAAGAGGATTTTAATAAAATGGTAAACATGGTAAGAATGTTCTCCTTTATTTTTATTGTACAAGAAATACAGGTGCTCTGGTAAAAATATTGGAAAATCGTAACAAAAAGAACAATTCCCTTTCGTGTTTGTTATGAGATGTATTCTTATTGGGTTGTTTTTCCTTAATCCACTTAATACGTCATGGTCCACAGGCTGCTTTACTTTATGATCTTAGAGGAAGTGTTATACATTTTCAATAAGACTGATGAGTTGACGGTTTAAGAAAATAGAAGCAAAAGCACTGTGCAAAATGGTTGTGATCTGTGTTTATCAGGTTCCCCTGTTATTAATCAGGTTTACTGAAGACAGACAGTTCTCACAGACCTACGTGGTGCACGGAGCTTGTGAATTGAGCATTCCGGGGTGGGCTCTGCCCAGAGACCTTCTTGTTTGCTATCAGTGGGGCTCTCTCCTTGCTGCCACCTTGAGCACTATGTCATCACATAGGTGTGCTCCGTGCACCTGTCCTGCCCCTGACCCCTATGCAGCCTTAGCCGTCCACTGTAGCAGCCCTGACTGGGAAGTTCTGAGCCATGGAGGCCAGCCAGTTCACTAGTGCACCAGAAGCCTCGCTGTTAGACTGGTGAAGAGTCCTAATTTCTTTAAAGTCCATGTCCTTCCAATGTGAGCGTAGCTGCCCTGCATTAGCCTGCTTCATAGGCGCTCTGGGCAATCCGACTCAATTTATTTTCCTGATACTCTAATAATCTAATTGCTAGTAATTTATGACGCCCTTGTTGCTGAGATCATTTTCTTAAAAAGATAATTTATTTGTTCTTTTTTGTAATTGAATTTATTGGGGTGGCATCTATGCTAATAAAAGGGTAATATGCTAATTAAAGCAGACGTTTTCTGGGCATCCTTCTGGAAGTCCCTTCCGGACAAAGCCGCGGCGACTGCCTGAGGCTCAGGCAAGCTGTGCATGGTGGCTGCTGTTGCAACGGCAGTCCCGAGGCTCAGGCAACAAGGGCCGAGCCGAGGCTTAGGCCAGACGTGGTGGCTGCAAGGGCTGAGGCTCAGGCAGCAGCAGAGGCATGATGGAGGCATTGCCTCCCCCTACTTGGCTGGTCGCCTCCCCCAGAGGGAGGCCATTCCCTGAGGACTCCCGGACTGTGAGAGGGGGCAGGCTGGACTGAGGGACCCCCCCCCCCCAGTGCACATATTTTCGTGCACTGGGCCTCTAGTCAGTTAATAAAACCATATACAATATATAGGTTTCAATAAAAAATAATCTGCATCCTGCATCGTGCACTCACCACCAAAGCAATGTCTCTTTCCATCCCCATGTATCCCCCTTTGCCCACTTCTACCGCCCCCACCACTCTTTCTCTCTGGCTATCACCACGCTGTAGTCTATGTTTCATAGATACATATATATATATTTTTTTTCTTAATCCCTTCACTTTTGTTCTTTTTTGGCCTTCACCTGCAAAGGGAGCCCTCACAACCTTTGTTTGTTTTATCTGTCAAAAGTGTATGCTCATGTCAATGCACATCCACCCATGACCCCAGTGGAACTAAAGGAATGTCTCATGTCTCCATCACTACCAGTGAGTCTGTGAGCCTATTTTCTCTTCACCAGGGGCCTTGATTCTATTTATGTTATCATTCTTTCCATCACCAAAGGAATCCTGCACCACTGTTCCCCCTAAATTTTACAAAAGGGACAGATTTATGGTGAATCTCTGTTTCTGCTTTTGAAAGACCACTGCCCACCAGTGATGCCCTTACAGCTGCATTCTCCCTGCCTCTTCCCCTCCCCTCCCACCCTCCTTTCTGTGCCCCACCTGCCCCAGTAAGGAGCCTGGCTCCAACTCAGTGCACATCAGCATGGAATGTTCCAGCGCAGGCGCCACAGCAGTTTCTATGACTGACCAGCTGCAGCATGGAGCATGCTACCTCTGACATTTGCAGAGAAGCCCTCCAGTCCCAGGCCCTTTCCCCCTGACCTTGTCAGAGATACATCTCGGAGATGCTGTGTATGTTCCCTCCCGGGCCTCGGTGCTGACAGTTCAGTTTAATGTGTCAGGAGTACTCTGAGACTTCACAGTTCTAAAGCTTTAGGAGGAATCCGAGGAAGTATCTTGTTATTAGCAAGGAGCATTTTCTCAAGGCTCTTTGAGATGAAAGACAACTAGTTCCCAAAATCCATGTTGATTTCTCTTGTTGGATTGGAGGCATTTTGTCTCAGTTTGGTGCATCTGTTCTCAGTACCCCTGTGCTCCCTTGATGTTCCACACCTTCCCGATCTTACCCGTAATCAAGTCTGCTTCAGTTCCTCATCAGCGAGATCACTGTCCTCTATGCTGTCTTACTGTCTCATTCCTCTACAGAAATCCTTATGTGTTTCAGAATCACTCATTTTCACCTCTTCTGCTGACATATGACTTCAGTATAACATTACTTCCTTCAACTTGAATTTTGCTTCTGACGCCCTTCTCTTTCCTTAAAAATGAGCTTGAGATTGTTTTATGAAGAGACAAACTTACACATTATAAACTCAGGACACATTGCCAGCTTTGCTGATCTCGGCCACACACTCAGCCTTTTGTGCACAGAACCCCCCTCTACAGGACATCCCCTCAGACGGCCTGCCCACCCCCCCTTACCATCCTCCCTGGATAGTTAACCCTGGCATGCTCCATCTCCACACACACCCCCTAGCACACCTCCCAACACAGTCATCCCCGGCATGTCCATGGACATAGCCATTGACCTACTTCTTGTGCAAAGAAGACCACAGATCTGGAAGCTTCTGAAATATGATTTCTTATTTGGATATCTACTTATTAAGAAATTCACTGGCAGGGAGAAATGAAAGGAGTATCACTTAACCTTAATTCTTTTAAAAAATTAACTTTAACAGGGCCTATTTTATACATAAGCACAGTGCATAAGTTATTCCCACCCGACATCCTTCCAGAAACCATATTTGGGATCCACAGAGGGAAACCCTTGTCCCCAAAGTAAACAAACTCATAGTATACATGTCAAACCGGTTCACGGTACATTTTGAACACAGGATGAGTCACAGTAAACAAGAACATACCTGGCGGATTATCTATTATCTATCTATCTATCTATCTATCTATCTATCTATCTATCTATCTATCTAGTTGGTTATAATACATAGATGAAAAGGAGTCACAGTATTTGTTTCAATGAGCAAAGACTGTATGACACCAAGAGAGTAAATTATTGAGGATACTTACAGTTAACTTCCAGAATCTAAGATATAAGCTTCTTCTGATTTTCGGGGGTGGATTTTCCTCACCTTTCGCACAGACACATCCCCCCGAGCCCATCCCACCGAGAGGCACCCAGTGTCTCCTGGCCTTCTACTGCCGCCCCTGACAGACAGCCTGTCCGTCCTCACACAAACTGGGGCGGGGGTTCAGGAGGCGCAGGGTAGCTCGGGACTCCTAACTGCATGTTCTCACGGAGGATGCTGCCACTTGGGGGGGGGGGGGGGGTGTCAGCCTGCAGATTCACTTCAGAAATTATTACAAAACAGGCACATGAGGAGTCAGAGCTGCCCGTGTTTCTATTCCTTCCGATTTAGATTAGACCTAGTGGTTTCATAACTAATATTGTCAGAGAAAGAGTCAGACAATTTTGAGAGATGCGGGGGTTTTTTGTTTGTTTGTTTGTTTCATTTTTGCAAGGGAGTACAGCTTGGGAAGAGCTGGGCAGCTTATAAGGAAAAGCAGGATCAGGTCTGTTCCTCGTGGCCCCTTAGCACGCAGAGGTTTCGGGACAGCGTGGTAATCCTTGGCCTTTGGGCTTACCTGGCAGAGCAAGCCTTTGAGAAGGAAAGCTTTTCGGGGCCACCCAGGGTGCTGCCAGAGCCCAAGTGGCTGAGGCAGAGGGCAAACTATGTTTTTCTGTCTCTAATGGAGGTTATGGAGCAGGCTGGGCAGGAGGTAGGCAAGAAAGCAAAATGACCTGTTCGCTGGGCAGGAGGTAGGCAAGAAAGCAAAATGACCTGTTCTACATTTCACACACTCACATTTTGTCAGCACATTATTTCCAAAAAGCCGACTTGTTATTGCCAGCAGAGAATGCTGAATAAACCTCTCCATCACAATCTGATGTTAATGCTCATAGGCCCATTGTTAGATTATTGATAATATCAGTAAGTTTTGTGGACTCATATAAAAAGTAAGACATCAAATAATTTTCTTTATATTAAAAACTTCATCATGGCAGCTGTTATAGGAAAATCTTTGTACTTCTTGAATTCCAGGGGAAATTCATTCTCACGTATAATTATAATGATCAAAATTACGGATTGAGTAGGGACACCATTGAAGGCATTGCCAGAGATGGTTTAGCCAGCTGTGTTCACATGGAGATCGAAGTAAGTGTCTTCCTTTCAATCAACTTATTTTTAATGCGTGTATTTGTATATTTATATTGGGGTGGCACCCTGCTAAGCACAAGAGGAATGCACATGAAGGCATGAGATTTTAAGTTTACAATTAGCATGTGGAAGGCAAAGCATAAAAATTAAATGACAGGTATTAGATTCTAATACAAGAAGTGTATTCTCATAGATTATGCATTTGTTGTGAGTAAAACCGCAGCTCGGTTTACTTTCTAAGCCATTTTTTGCTTTTGAGAGCCTGGGCTGTGTCTCTGTGAAGTGATACTGGAGGAAGCCTGATTCTCACAGGGTGTGGAACTGGTTCCCTGTCCCCTCAGGGTGGTGGCAGCCGTGCAGGTGACCTTGTTCCTTCATTCTCCATGGAAATGTGGGCTCTGCTGCCATTTGACTCCGCCAGCTCACCAGTTGCAATATTTTCATTCTCTTAGCTGCTAGCAAGTTAGACTTGCAGGATTCAAGAGTGGGGAGCGTTCTCTCGGCTCCAGTACCCCATCTCCCTGCACTAATCTTTTGTATTAATACACAAATTTTTCCAAAGTGAAGATTCAAAGGAAAAGCATGAATATTCCACTCATGTGTTTTTAAAAATAAGGCCTTATTAACTGAAAGGCTAAAGTTGGTGGTCTTCAAGCAGGCTAAATAGCCATCTCAGATGGCAAATAAAGAAACATTGAATTTATTTAAGGAAAGGAGAGGGGAATGGAGATATCCAAAGAGAAGGACTACACAGCACTGAGCCACAGGGTATCGGGCCCATGATGGCAGCACAAATCTCCTTAGGAGAGTGACACAGGAAGGGCATGGAAGAAGCAACAGGAGAGCCCAGACTGGCTGCCGTGGGTCTGGGGAGAGGCTGTGATGGGAGCCAGCCAAGCTGCTGGCTGGTGGAGGAACAGGAAGTGTCCCAGGGAGATGAGAAAAGAGGGCCGTGGAGACAGGTTCAGGGGGGTTGCCCAGGATGAGCTGCAGCTGCTCATTGCTCCCCTGGTTGCAAGTCTCATGGAGTCCCTTAGGGGAAGGGAAATGGCAGGGGCATGCTCCTTGGAGGGAGAGCGCACACAGGGTCCTTTGTTCTGAGCACATTTGTCTCTTTCCTGCAGGTGGAAATCTTAGGGGAGATCTAGAGGAGGGTCTCAATAGACCATTCATCAGCTTCCAGGTGTGCTCTTACGGGGTCGTGATCTCCACTGAGTAGTCGGTGCCAGGGCAGGCGGTCATTAGTCAGTGTAGCTGGTCCTGAGGCCGCCAAGGCACCGTTTGCCTGGTTTTGCTGCTTTTCTAGGCCTGGAGCTGAAGTAATAAGGCCTAGATGTTGTCTTTAGAGAGGCAAGCGTCTAACCAGTGACATGAAAGATCAGGGGTTCAAACCATGTGACCAGTGCTGTGCTGGGGGAGGAAGGGCTACCCTGGGGACAAGGTGCTTCTCTTCCCAGTTTTGCCCCTTCCTAGGCATCCGGGGCTTTCTGCCCTGGTGAGTTTCCATACCTGGCCCATTGTCCTTGCTCTGGGGGTCTAACATTTTTGTAGTCAGAAAAATATATATAATACTTTTCCCAACTTCAAATCCTGCTCACCCTGTCGTTCTGCGTGGGATTAGGTTTGCATTTAAGGGGGTTTTCATTGTTTTTATAAAAGGCTTTTTCCCAACAGCATCTTCCTTGGACAAGGAAGAGATGAAAGTTGATGCATTTTTAAGAACCAAAACTCTCCAGCTTCCTGTGTTCACCTATTTGCAGCTCAGCTGTTCTGAGTGTAGCTGCTGGTTTCCCATTTTCCTCCCTAAGAGCATTTTCCTGCTCTTTTCCAAAAGGTTGAGTCCGTAAGTCAGGCTTTCCTCCCAGTTCTCTCCAGTGAAAGCATTTTCCCAATTGCTCTTGCCATTGACTCTTAGAAATTGTTTTTGAAAAGAGCCTGTATTTCTTCCCTTGAGTTTTTAAAACAAAGTTAGAATTTTAGATTTTGAACACTGGGTGAAGCTGCTGGTGAGAGGACTGAGCTGGAAGGAGCTGCCGGGTCCATGAGAGTAGCTTTCTCATTTCCCTGATGAGGAATTCGGCTCAGGTGAGGGTTTGCACGTGGTTCCCAGGGAGCTAACGCCTCCACTTGCACAGCTTCCCGCTGTGGGCCTGGGTATCGCGGTGTCTGGAGCTGGGCCGTCCTGAGCTCTGGGGAGAGGCTGAGACAGGAGCTGGTGGAGGAACAGGAACAGTCCCAGGGAGGTGACAAAAGGGAACAGAGGAGCCTTGCTCTCCGGTAAGATCTCTGTCCTGACGCTGCCAGGGGCCTTGGAATGTAGACCTGAAGGCACTCTTCAGGGATAAAGAAACGGTGCTGCCCTGCATGTGCCTATGTGCACCAAGCCATTTGCTTTGGGGACAGTCATGTTCATTAGAATGATTAGTTAGGCAGTGATTCTCAACCTTTTTAATGCCATGACCCTTTAATACAGTTCCTCATGTTGTGGTGACCCCCAACCATAAAATTATTTTCGTTCCTACTTCATAACTGTAATTTTGCTACTGTTATGAATCATAATGTAAATATCTGTGTTTTCCGATGGTCTTAGGTAACCCTACTAGCGGTTTTCAACCTGTGGATTGTGACCATCGGAAAACACAGATATTTACATTATATGTAATTTTGCTACTGTTAATGAGTTGTAATATAAATATCTGTTTTCTGATGGTCTTAGGCTCTACAGCACAGGTTGAGAACCGCTAGCAGGGTCACCTAAGACCAGGGGAAAACACAGGTGTTTACATTACGATTCATAACAGTAGCAAAATTACAGTTATGAAGTAACAACGAAAATAATTTTAAGGTTGGGGGTCACCACAACATGAGGAACTGTATTAAGAGTCGCGGCATTAAAAAGGTGGAGAACCACTGAGTTAGAGGATATCAGATAGAATGAGTTCTTATATTCCCAATGATAATTTAATATTTGATGAAGAGGGAGCAGTAATGAATATCCAATCAAGATATTCATAGGGAAATATGTTATTTGTTACTATAAAAAATTCTTAAATGCAATATTAATTAGTATACTTTACGTTTTCAGACATTTCCAAATTATTTCTAGCTCCTTTCTCTGTGTCTAATTTATTATCTTTTTTCAATGTGCAGGGTGTAAGAAGTTTGAAGCTCACCTATTTTGAACCTCGATATATCCTGGTGCTACCCTTGAACAAGAAAAAATATGAGGGACACCTGCGGAGGAAAGGGCTCTTCAGCCGTGTAGAGATTGATTTTGCTGTCTCCAGGGTGGACCATTATATTAAAATTAATCAGAAATCTCCAGGATTTTTTGATGCTGTGATCAATGCAGGTTGGTAACTTGCTGCAGAGTTTTTATTTCTGAAGATCCCCTGGGGGTGGAGGGGTGGGGAATCTGCTTCACAGTATATTGTTATTGTCGGCTGAGTGCAGTTACTTGTGGTTGTAGGACTGTGGCTGTTTTCTTGTTGGCTCCCTGCCAGGAGTTGTCCTTAGCCCCCAGGTTATTCCCAGGTCCTGTCCATGTCATGGGGCCATTCTAGAATGTTGCCCACCACAATATTCATAAACTTAAATGGAGCTAAAAAATTGTTACCGTCCACAGTTGCCAATTGACTGTGTTGATAGGATTCTGGTGCTTTAAAGTACACTCTCTCGTTTGCTACAGATGATATGGATGCTGCCTACCAACAGCTGAGTCAGCTAGTTCAGGAGTACCTTGGATTGGGTGAGGACATGGCCCCAGTTTTGGCTCCACCTGCAGGTACAGTGCTAGCCATATGGTGTCTGAATTTGTGTGTGAGGAGAGGAAAACAAATCTTTGAGTAGTTGAATACTTACCAAGCAGGCTCAAGCTGCGTGTAACTCCTTAATCCCCACACTTCCTCTGGGGCCATCCTCCCCACAGACGGGCCGCGCTGAGTGAGCCCCCTGGGCCCGTACCTCTGCTTGTCTTGGTGGCCACTGGGGAACCCAGAGGGCTGCCCTTCTGGGAGGTGCGGGACAGAGCCTGGGAGGCTGGCAGCACACCAGGCGTGGGCAGCCTCACGGGTCAGAATGCAGCTTTCCAGAGGCGTGGCTCCCATAGGGACCCTCGAGATGGTGTTCTGCGTGGCAGGCTTGTATTTACTGCTGTTTCAGTCCAAGAGGCTTCTCTGCATTGCCTTAGCCCACAAAAAGTTGCACCGCAGAGTGTAGTGGAAGAGCGTGGGTCAGAGCCTGTGAGCCAGCCCTGGCCCTGCCGCTCCTTGGGGCAAGCTGCTTCTGTTCTGAGCTTCAGGTTACTGCCTTCTAAATGAATTTAATGCTCCCCACTGCCTCCTGGGTCGTGTGTGAGCAGCAGTGATGTAGGGTATGTGAGTGCATCTCCTCGGAATCTAGGATTCTAAAGTTAGAATTTTAGAACCTGAGTTATTTGAAATATATTTATAAGGTTTCCCCAGATCTACCTCATACCACTAGAATGACTACTATAAAACACACACATACACACACACACAAAAAAAAATGTTGGCATGGATGTAAAGAAATTGGGAATGTAAAAATGGTATAGCTGCTCTGAAACAGTATGGTGGTTCCTCGAAAAATTAAAAATAGAATTACCTAAAAATTAAAAATGGGGGGTGGGGAGTAGAAAAGGAAAAAAATGGAATTACCTTGTGACCCAGCAATTCCACTTCTGCATATATGCCCCCAAAGAACTGAAAGGGAGACATGAACTGATATTTGTATGCCCGTGGTCATAGCAGCATTGCTCACAACAGCCAAAATTGGGAAGCTACCCAATGTCCATGGAAGGATGAATGGATAAACAAATGTGGTGTATGCATCCAATGGGACACTATTCTTCCTTAAAAAAAAAAAAAAAAAAAGCAATTCTGACACATGCTATAGCATAGATAAACCTTGAGAACATCACGCTAAGTGAAATAAGCCAGACACAAGAACACAAATACTATATGATTCCGCATATAGGAGGCGAACTCCTTACAGACAGGAAGTAGAAGATCGATGGCCAGAGGGCTAGGAGAGCGGGACAGGGTTTCCTTTCCCCAAGAGGAAGGGAGTTCTGCAGCCAGGTGGTGGTGATGGTTGCACAACACTGTGAGTGTACCTAACGCCAATGAATTGTGCTCTCTAAATATGGTTAACATGGTGAATTTCATGTGACGAGTTGTTTTACCACCACAATAATAAAAACAGAAGGTTCCCTTCAATGGGCGGAACCACATTCACATGTTGCTCACTGTGAAAAGCCAACTGGAGACTTTGCTGCTGTGTGATTGCCCACAGCTTGGTGTACACGTGGTTTCTAGCCCCTGTGACTCTGACCAGGTAGGACAGAGCCAGTGCATCCTGCCAGGCAGGGGCAGGCTGGGACCCCGAGTCCACCAGCTACACTGGCTGTGCTGTTCTGTAACTTCATCCTCTCCCCAGGTCCGGGGCCCCAGGTGTTCCAGAATGCAGGCAGGTGAAACTGCTACCTCCCTACTGATAATGATAGATTCCCCGCCTACACGGGTCTCTTAGAGGCGAGTAAGGAGAGGACCATCTACCCTCTGTAGGGCCCCTGAGGAGAGTGTGCCCTGTGAGAAACAGGCATGGGCAGAGGAGTGGAGGGGGACTCAGTCCACAGTCCCCGGCGTCGGTGTGTTTGCGTCAGGCTGCGGCTCTTTAGCACCTGTGTCCGCTCTCCCCCTCCGTTGACCCCCCCAATCCCCAGCAACGCAGTCTATCTAATGAGGCCTCCGTAGCTTGGTGGAAGTTTTCTCTTGAGGAAATCGGGCTCCCTTTGCTTTAAATCCTTGCCGACCCAGCAGCCTTCTCTTGATCTTTAATTTGGTCCCCTGGGTGGACCTGTCCCGGTGGGGGCTGTCCCTTACGTTAGAACACCCTGCCCCATCCCTGAGCCAGGCCCATTTCCCACTGTAAATTAATAAATTGGTGTTCTGGCTTTTAAATCAGCCCCTTGTGGGTTTGGATAAACATGAGTCAGTCCCCTGAGTAACGGAGGAAAGTGTGCTTCTGGGTGCTCTGAGTGATGGTGCCTGTGCAGACTCTGCCTCTGACTCAACAGCTCGGTGGGGGGTGGGGGGGGGCAGCAGCGGAGGGAGGGGAAGGACCATAAGGGGGTGGGGGTGTCTATCTCCATTGTTTCTTATTCTGCAACTGCCAGAAACTCTGTGACTGTTGCGTGCAGTTGCTGTTCAGGAAATTAATAGACCAGATAATGTGTGCATAGGAAAATGAACTCCCATTTTTAAAGGCATAATAAAACTTCATTTTTTTTGCACCAATTAGGTTAGCCCTGCCTGACTTAATGAAAAGTATGAATTATAGAATTTGTAAATTCTCAGATCATTTAATAACTGAAATAGGACCATCCAGTTATTGACTAATAGAATTTCATCTTTGGAAAAGCAGATGGGAGTGTTTGTGATTAATATATCAAATCACTAAACTGAACAGCTCTTGTTTTTCTTGCTGGTTTAGTATTTTAGAATATAATATGTTTTTCTTAAGGCATCACATACCTTCTTATTTATACAGTTAATTTGTTGGGGCAGTTTTTTTTTTTATTTCTCAGTTGATGGTTTAAGGATGACTTTGACTTTTTTGTGGAGCCTAAACATTATTCAAGTGAGGATTAAGAAATTCTCGTTAACATTGTCCACATTCTAAGCTTTTATAGCATCTGTAGTGGTCCGAGGGCCTCTGAGATTCACAGCTGGGAAGTATTGCCAAGGCTCACTGAGGGTGCGGGGCCAGGTGTTTACAGGCTCACCTGAGGGGGCAGGGCCAGGTGTTTACAGGCTCACCTGAGGGGGCGGGGCCAGGTGTTTACAGGCTCCCTGAGGGGCGGGGCCAGGTGTTTACAGGCTCCCTGAGGGGCGGGGCCAGGTGTTTACAGGCTCCCTGAGGGGCGGGGCCAGGTGTTTACAGGCTCCCTGAGGGGCGGGGCCAGGTGTTTACAGGCTCCCTGAGGGGCGGGGCCAGGTGTTTACAGGCTCCCTGAGGGGCGGGGCCAGGTGTTTACAGGCTCCCTGAGGGGCGGGGCCAGGTGTTTACAGGCTCACTAGAGGGAGGTGCACCACAGCTACCACCAGGTGAAGGTCAGGACTCCATCAGGGTCACGGCCACAGTCCCTGCAGGGTCTCACCTGTTTGCCTGGCACTCTGATGTTAATTATATAGTATAGTTTAGGTATAGCTATATAAGTATTTATATTATTTATATAAGTGGGACCCCCTAGAAACAAAAGTTGATAATTTCAGTATAGTGGAATATTTTATATTTTTTATATATAACTGAGCTATCAAAGGTAAGAAAGTGAAATAATAAATATAAGATCCTGTCAAAGACAGTTTTGTTTGAGCAGTTAGAAACTGGACTAACAGTAGGAATTCTTGATTTTGTATTCTCAATGTCACCAATAATAATTAATTTAGAGAAATCACTTAAACCCCCATTTCTTTTTTAAAATGTAATATTATATGGAACACTGTTAGAATCCAGTCTTTGGAGCTGAGATGCCCAGCTGGTTAGAGCATCCATATTACATGTTAGTGCACACAGGAACCTGATGGCCAACAGAAACAGGTATCCTGTATCAATGCATACTGGAAATTATTCTCAAATATTTGATGTTATAATAGCCTAGAGGCCCGGTGCATGGATTCATGTACTGGTGGGGTCCCTTGGCCAAGCCTGCAGAGGTCAGGCCAAAACCAACAGTCCAACATCCCTGAGGGGTCCCGGAATGCAAGAGGACACGCTGCGCCGAAACGGGTTTGGCTCAGTGGATAGAGCGTCAGTCTGCTGATGGAAGGGTCCCCGGTTCGATTCCGGTCAAGGGCATGTACATTGGTTGCGGGCACATCCCTAGTAGGGGGTGTGCAGGAGGCAGCTGGTCGATGTTTCTCTCTCATCGATGTTTCTAGCTCTCTATCCCTCTCTCTTCCACTCTGTAAAAAAATCAATAAAATATATTTAAAAAAAAAAAAAAAAAAAAAAAAAAAAAGAGGACACGCTGCAAAGTTGCTGTCACTCGGCGGCTCCTATGTTGAGCATTTGCCCCCGGTGATCAGTGCATATCATAGCTATCACCTAGTCAGCTGGTTGGCCAATAGCTTAGGCTTTTATATAGATAGATTATTTTATTCCTAGTAGTTCTATGTTGTTTATTTGTAACCGAGAATGTAGTTTTAATTCCTTTTCTTAAACAATGAGAGTGGCACAAGTGGTAGAAGTAAGTCCCAGGTTGTCAATCCTGAGCTGATAGCAGGCCCATCAGCCTGGTCCCAGAAAGCTAAACCTGAAGCACGAGAGAGACTAACTGAATTTTTGTTCCATGAAAGTATAAAATGGTGACTTTAAGTACAGAGTAATTATAAACACTTGAGATCTTTAGACCTACCATTAATTAAAAGTATGTATCAATTAAAGTACATAGTTATCTTATTTTTTTCCTATAGCAATATGGGTAACTATTTCCAAACTATGAAGACCAAAAAAAGCCAAGTAAACAATATAGTTTCTGTAAAATTAGGAAAAACTCACTATATTCACAATTTAGTGTAAGGGATATCTTTACCTTTCATGTGTCTCCATACAGCCCATTTCTGGAATAGTCAGTGCTTCCATTAAAGCTTTTCTTTTCATTTCTTCATTTTTAATTATTTTAGAGAAAGAGAGGAAGGGAGAGAAAGAGAAACATCAATTTGTTGCTCCACTCATTTATGCATGCATTGATTGAGTCTTGTATGTGCCCTGACCAGGGATCAAACCCACAACCTTGATGTACTGGGATGCCAACTGAGCTGCGTAACCAATTGAGTTACCCGACCAGGCTCTAGCAAAGCTTTTTAAAGAGCTGATCCAACTTCCACCCTGCATACTCGCTATAGAGATCATAAAATGAAATTATATTTACAAGCCATTAGTCAGAATTCTGACTAATGGTGGAGAAATGGATGATGGCAATGAGCAAACAGGGGAAATGATCAATTTGCCAGTCCATAAACTGGTGCCTTTATCTCTAATAATAACGAGAATGGCATCATTTGGCAAATTACATGAACAGTTAAGCTGTGGAAGTCGGGGCAAATCCTGTATGTCTGATTGCAGGGAACCAGGAAGACTTAAAGAACCTCAACATTGGGTTTCACTCATCTTTTGTTTTTCTAGATTTGTATCGATATGTGATAATAAATAAATAAATAAATAAATAAATAAATAACATAACATAAAATGTGCCATCTTAACCATTTTAAGTATACAACTTAGTGTCATTAATTACACTCACAAGGTTGCCTAACCATCACCACTACCTGTTTCCAAAATTTTCCATCACCGCAAACAGAAATTCTGTATCCATTAAGTAATAACTTCTCCCCGGCCTTGGAATTTGCCTGTTCTAGGTATTTTCACTGTTACTATATTTGGTTTTAACCTGTTTCTTAACTAAATTTGTGTTCTAATGTATAAGTGATGTAAACTCGGGAGATAACAATGATAAACAGGGCATCCCCCCAAAAACCCTACCAAGAGGCACGCTCTTCCCTGTCCCCACCCCCTTCCACAGAGATGTGTGGCTTGAGGGGATGCAGAGGGTGCACAACTATACTGCCTGGAGAAGCCCAAGCTCATTTTTGTGTGGGAGAGGGGATGGCAGCTAAGAGCCAGCTTCACTCTGGGGACGGCCCATCCTGAGACCAATTCGGGGGCCTGATTTGTTTGGTCTCCCCCAACGTGAGCTGTTTCTTCAGGGCTGTTCTAGGCTGTGCTGCCTGAGTGATAGCATGACAGAGCCATGTCCTTAGACGGGCTTCAAGTGCTATATAGGGACACAAGGCAACAGCAGGGCTTTTATCATAAGCAGTGCTTATTGGATGATGGTGTCCCTGAGACTGTCTGTGAGACCCAAGTCACTCAGAGAACTTGCTGTCATAGTGAACAAAGGAAACGGTCCCCCTCTGCAGCATTGCCATTGCAATGGCCTCTGCGAGCCTTTATACTAAACATCTATCCTTATTGTTGAAAGTATTACACATCTTCCTCCCCCCCCCCCCTTTTTCCCCATTGGTCCCTCCACCCTGCACCCATACCCACTCCAGGCCTCCACCACAATCTTGTCTGTGTTCATGGACTATGCATATCTTATATAATAAAATGCTATTATGCAAATCAACCAAACAGTAGAATGACCAGTCATTATGATATGCACTGATCATCAGGGGACAGATGCTCAATGCAGGAGCTGCCCCCTGGTAGTCAGTGTGCTCCCACAGGGGGAGCACTGCTCAGCCGGAAGCCAGGCTCACCAGCAGGCTTATGGCTGGTAAGCGCAGTGGCATGGTAGGAGTCTTTCCCGCTGCCAAGGCAGGGCTAAGGAGCAGCAAGCCTGGCTTCTAGCTGAGCAGCACTCATGCTCCCTGTGTGGAGCAGGCCTAAGCCGGCAGGCGGATATCCCCCAAGGGATCCTGGACTGCGAAAGGGTGCAGGCCAGGCTGAGGAACTGCCCTCTCTTTCTCCCAGTGCATGAATGTCATGCACCTGGCCTCTAGCATGTATATAAGTTCCCCAGTTAATTTCTCGCCACCCACCATTCCCTCTGAGATTTGTCAATATGTTCCATGCTTCTGTGTCTCTGGCTCTATTTTGTTCATTAGATTCCAAATATGAGTAAGATAATGTGATGCTATTTTGCTTAATATAATACTCTTTCAGGTCCCTCCAAGGTACCTGTCTCAAAGGGTATGAGATCCTTCTTTCTTACAGCTGGGTAGTATTCTATGGTATAAATGTACCACAACTTTTTTATCCACTCATCTACCGAAGGGCACTTGGTCTGTTTCTAGATCTTAGCTATTGTAAATTGTGCTGCTATGAGCATCGGGGTGCATACGTTCTTTTTTATTGGTGTTTTGGGTTTCTCAGAATATATTCCTAGAAGTGGGATCACTGGGTCAAATAGCAGTTCCATATTTAATTTTTTGAGGAAATTCCATACTGTTTTCCAGTCTGCATTCCCACCAGCAGTGTCCTAGAGTTCCCTTTTCTCCACATTCTTGCCAGCACTTGTCATTTGTTGATTTTTTTAGTAATAGCCATCTGACAGCTGTGAGGTGAGACCTCATTGTTTTAATTTGCATTGCTGATGATCATTAACTTTGAGCATTTTTTCATATGTCTCTGGGCCATCTGTATGTCACTTTGGAGAAGTGTCTGTTTAGGTCCTTTGCCCATTTTTTAATTGGATTGTCTTCCTTTTGTTAAATTGTATGAGCTCCTTATATATTTTAGAAATTAAGCCCTTATCAGATGTATCATTTGCAAATATGTTCTCCCATACAGTGGGCTCCCTCTTCATTTTGTTGATGCTTTCTTTTTCTGTGCAAAAGCTTTTTATTTTAATGTAATCCCATTTGCTTATTTTCTCCTATTTCCCTTGCTCTAAGAGATGTATTGGCAAACGTATTGCTACAAGAAATGTTTGAGATTTTGCTGCCTATGGTTTCTTCCAAGATTTTTTGGCTTCACGATTTTTAAGTTTTTAATCCATTTTGAGTTTATTCTTGTGCATGGTGTAAGTTGGTGGTTTAGTTTTACTTATTTATTTATTTATTTATTTTTGCATGTACTAGTATCCAATTTTTCCAATACTATTTATTGAAAAGACTGCCTTTACTCCACTATATGCTTTTGCATTCTTTGTCAAATTTTAACTGAGTGTAATGGCTTGGGTCGATTTCTGTGGTCTCTATTCTATTCCATTGACCTATATGCCTGTTCTTGTGCCAAATACTGCACTGTTTTGAGTACAGTGGCTTTGCTGTTTAACTTGGTATCTGGTGTTGTGATCTCTCAACTTTGTTCTTCTTTCTCAAGATTCCTGCAGCTATTCAGGGTCTTTTATGGTTCCATATTAATTTTTGGAGCATTTGTTGTAGATCTGCCATTGATATTTTAACAGGGGTTGCATGGAAAATATAGATTGCTTTGGGTAGTTTGGACATTTTAATTATGTTGATTCTACCAATTCATAAACATAGTATATTCTTCTACTTGTTTGTATTTTTATCTCTTTTTTCAATGTCCTGTAATTCTCTGAGTATAGGTCGTTTGTCTCCTTGGTTAAATTTATTCCTAATATCTTCATTTTTTGTTGGAGTGGTAAATGGGATTGTTTTTTAGTCCCTCGTTCTTAGAGTCCATTATTGGTATATAAAAATGTCATCAATTTCTGAATGTTAATTTTGTATCCTGCTACATTGCTGAGTTCATTTACTAAGTCTAGTCATTTTTTTGTGGATATTTTTTTGGTGATTTTTTAAGTACAGTATCATGCCATCTACAAATGAGAGTTCTACTTCCTCCTTTCCAGTTTGGATGCCTTTTATGTTTCCTTCTCACCTGATTGCTGTGGTGAGGACTTCCAGTGCTCTCTCTCTCTATAAAAGCCTAATATGCAAAGTGTCTCCCCGGGAGTTTGACCAAGTGGGAGTTTGATCACTCTGACCACCGGGGGGCAGCACGGAATGAAAGAAGGCCCCGGCCGGCAACTAATAGTCACCAGGGACCATGCCTGTGCACAAATTTCATGCACTGGGCCTCCTGTGTTGAATAAGAGTGGTGAAAGCAGACATTCTTCTCTTGCTCCTGTACTTAGGGAAAATGGTTTAATTTTTGCCCACTACTGAGTATGATGTTGGTTGTAGATTTGTCATATATGGCCTTCATTATCTTGAGGTATGATCCTGCTATTCCCACTTTGCTGAGAGGTTTTTATCACAAAAGGGTGTTGCATTTTGGTGAATACTTTTTCTGTGTCCATTGAAATGATCATGTGATTTCTTTCTTTTTTTTTTTTTGTCTTTCATTTTATTTATGATGTGTCACGTTTATTGAGAGCCATTTTGAATGCCAGGGAATTCTCAGAGGAAAAAGGGTAGCCCGGGGGTGAGGTGGGGTAGCAACCTGAATGGGGGATCCTCGGGAGCAGCACCTCTGAGCCACCGTGCCTTAGGGTTCCCTGGGATCTTAGGGTTCTCCCTCCTTCTTCCACCCGGCACTTGTTTCCTGAGTGCTGCGGAGCTTCATGCACCTGCTGGGAGTGGTGAGCTGGCGTGCCTCCCACAGAGCTCAGTGTCTCTGAGGGGCTGCCAGTAAACAAGGAAACTGTGTGTGTGGGGGGGGGGGGAACACTTTGTTCGGCTTAGATGACCATCTCCCAGTTCCTGCCCCTGAGAGCAGCCTGGGCCTGCAAGGTGGGGAAATGTAAATCTCATTCACTTAGCAAATGTTCTTGCCACCCTCAGACCTGAGTAACAGTTTTGGTTCTGTGAGTAATCTCTTTATGTTCATTCATTAAAGTGCATGTTTTCAATTGACTAGGGTTGTTCTAAACTCTATTAACTGAGAGAATTCTGGACACTTAGTAGCCCCAGGAGAAGGGATGGCTGTATTCTTCTACATGTGCCATCTCATGCTTTCCAAGGGCCCGGGTGCAGCAAAGGGAAAGGTATTTTTTTGTGATTAACTTGTGAAGAGAGTCTTAGCTAACGTCTTTTTATAACAAAGCAGGAGACCCCTCACACAAGAAGACACCCTCCGGGGTCCCGGCACACCTGGTCCCCTCCCCCCGGCGCCTGGCAAAACTGCAGGCAGATGGCCCGGCGGCAGAGCGTCTCTCTGGGGGGCAGGTCCCTGAAAACCAGAGCCAGGAGCTGAGTCCAGGGGGAGCCACCCCTCAGGGAGAGCCTTCTCCCCGTGATCATGTCGGTGCTGAGGCTCCTGCACAGCCTGGCTCGGCGGCTCTGAGCATCCCCCTGGAGGCCCAGGCCACTACCCCAAACCAGAAGGAGGCCGATGCGCCACAGCCAGCTCTTTCTTCAACAAGAACCACCACAAAGCCCCCTGAAGACGAGGCCGGGGCATCCGAGCCGGTAGCAGGGGAAGCAGGGCAGGGGCCCCCTCGGCTCCCTGACCCACCTCCAGCCCCCAGCCCTCCGCCAGACCAGAATGAGGAGTCAGAGGAGGCCGAGGCGACTCCCGCCAACCCGCCCTCGCCCGAACCTCCACAGGGGCCTGGCCCGACACCCCTCGGCCCTAAGAGAAGCCAGGCTGAGGACACTGAGTCAGCCCATCTGCCACCCGGCAGTTCCCATCATGATCTCCTAGGACAGCCGTCTGACCCTGAAGGAGCTCTGATGCTCCAACCATCTTCGCCGGGAGATTCTCAACAAGCCCTGGAGGAGGGGGCCCCAGAGGCGGAAGTCAGGGTCAGCACTCCTTTCCCAGGACCAGCGCACCCCCAAGATCCAGGAAATGGCAAGCAGCCCCAGGACAGGGAAGACCCAGCGACTCTGCTTTCCAGAAGCCGGCTGGCCCCCAGCAGGCTGCCCCGGCCGCGCGTTCTCGCTCCCCTTCAGAGCCCGAGGCCCTCACCCCTACTCCCAGCAGCCCGCCCAGCCGCAGATCAACCCAGGACGCCCTCTCCGAGGCCTCCACCAGCTCAGGAAGGGGACCCCAGTAAGCTTCCTCTCATCAGCCCCCCAAATTCCAAACTACCACCACCACACCTGAGCCCCCATCCGGGCCACAGTCCTCAGCATGTCCAAGAGGAGAGCGTCAGGGAGGTGAAACTCCCTCTGATCAGCCCCCCGGTCCAGGAGCACACACCCCAGCCTGCCCCTGACCTGCCCCAGGAAGAGGAGGCCCCGGGGGTTAGGCTCCCTCGCCTTCCCACGCCCCTGCCTCAGAGCCGGGGTGCCCATCCTCAGGCAAGGCCTGCCAAGGAGAGGCAAGCACCCCAAGGTGGTCGCTCCTCCAGCAAGAAGATTCCGGATATGCAGGCCTCACCCCCACACCGAGAGCCTGTGCAGCAAGCAGTAGCGAGGAAAAAAAAACTTCCTACCCAGAGAGAGACAACTAGAGGGCCAGCTCACCTGACAACGGCGCCGCCCTGAAGCCACCAAACAGCCTTGCAGCCGGACTCCCAGAGCAGACCCACCGGCCCAGAGACCACCGCCCCCCTAGCCTCAGCCCTCCCCGGAACCCCCAGAGGAGCCAGAAAAGCAGAGCCCACCCCCCAGAGACTCCTGAGCCACCCCACGCTGAGCCAGCGCCTGGGGATCCCGGGTTACAGGAACAGGAAGGGGGGGGGGGGGGGGGGAAGTACAGCATACCAGAGAAAAGGCCCAAGCTAACCTCCCCCAAATGACCTGCTTCAGAAGGCAGCTATGTCCAAAAAAGGGCCTTCTTCGAAAAAAGCATGCTGGAGGGTGATCTCAAGAAAATATCGCCCTCAGGTGGTGATCAGCCCACCTGGGAGGGTCCGCTGGCCCACAGGAGAGCTCCCCAGCATGCAGAGTCCACTGCGGGCAGCCCTGCCTCCCAGGGGCGTCCCAGGAGAAAAGAAGAGGCTCATCACAGGGGAAGGTCTCAGAAGGGAGAGCCGGTGTCAGACCTCCCTGAGCAGGACGGCTCGGCCCCCACCCCACAGCCTGCCCCAGGGACCAGCGAGACCAGAGAGAGCTCTGTGCAAGGGAACGATGCTTCCAGGCAGCAAGCCAATGAGAAATAGCCCCCAAAACACGAAGGGGCATCATACAGAAGCTCTGCTGCACCCCAGAACCCAGTGTCTGCTGAGGAGCAGGGTGGCCGGCAGGAGAGGCTGCGAGCAAGGGGCAGCCAGAACACCAAGGTTTAGCAGTGCTGGTGCCCGAAGAAGTGCTGACCCAGGATCAGGACGGAGAGCGTGGCAGGGGCATTGAGTTCACACCCAACTTCCCTTTGCAACCTGAGTCATCCAAGGAGGGCCCACCTGCACTGCCCAGTCCAGCCACTGGGTTCTTAGAAGACAGCCAGTCTTTGCCCTTGGGTGCCTCTTTTGTGGTTGGTTATTGCAGCCTGGAAGAGCAGCCCTTATAAAGAAAGACACCAGCCGGCAATGGCCCCCTTCCCTCGCCAGAAAGACAGCAGTGGGCATGGAGAAGGTGTCAGCAGGAGCCCTGGTGTCCAGACACACATGAGCCCAACAGGAGTCAGCTTGGGGAGGCGGTGCTGTGATGCCATTAGTTTTGTTGTATTCCTAAGAAAAACTGCTTTTAGATTGGAACACTCTCCTGCCTCCTACATTATTGAGGGTTCGGAAGTAGGAACCCCCAGGAACAAAGCCTCTGCAGTGTGGGGGTCTTGGTCTCTCCCAAATGCACGGTCGACGTGTGGGGACCTGAAAGCCAGAGGACACATCTCCTGGCACATGACTGTGATGCAACATTTCAGATCCTGTTGGAACATATTGCTTTAAACTTCTGTTCAAAATGAATACCTGCCTCCCTCTCTGAATAGGAACCTCTTGTCAATTAGCCAATTAGCTCATGCCTTCATTATGCCCAACCATCTGGTTGAATCCATTAAAAGAATTGGGGGGTGGGGATGAGGCAGGGATTCAGATGAATTGGTGTTTTTTTTTTATTCAGACCATCAGGATTCTTTTGCTGGCCAGTGACAGTTGTCAATCCAAGCCAGCTTATGTGACTTTCTTAGACAACCAAACGGTGGGGAGGGTGGAGGTGCAGGGATTTGGAACCAGCTGATGAACATAATCTGGGCTCTTGTCATCTGCGTGTTTTTGTCATCTGCTGATTCTTACCTCTGGACTCTCATCACCTCCTGGACCCTCGTCAGTTCTCCTCTCCGTTTTCTCCTCCGTGTTGCCTTTATTCTCTTTGATACCAGTGACTGTATACCAGTTTCTGCACATGGCAGGGAACTTGGCCACTAACATCTCTCAAATTTTACGTCTCACCTCATCAAACAACTGGCAGTTCAAGAGTTCCTTGATCATCAGTTTTTTTAAAGGTTGAGGGAAAGACTCTGACCCAGCTTGGGTCAGGCTCATTCTTAAACCAGTCTACTCTGTCGTATTTAGACCTACCCATGGTGCCCACTCCTAGCGTGTGTGGAGTCTGCATTCCCAGAAAGAGAATATTGTGAGCAAAGCAACCAACCCAAGATTCAACTCTTGAAAAGTTACAAGATACTGAATGCTTATTATACTGAGTATGCAGTGGCATGCTAAGTTGTGTTTGGCATTCTGCATGTTAAAGTGTATTTGATGACTAAATACCTGTATAAATGTATCTTATCTTACACAAAAAGTATGTATCCACAAAATGGAATGTAGTATGTCAAATGGTATTTCAATGGCAGTAGAGGAAATTGATGTATTTTTTCTAAATATTTTTTATTGATTTGAAAAAGAAAGGATGGGTGAGGGAGAAAGAGAAAGAGAAACATTGTTGAGAGAGAAACATTAACATCAATCATCTGCCTCCTGTACTCCCCCTGCTGGGGATCAAGCTGGCAACCTGAGCATGTGCCCTGAGAGGGAATTTAACCAGTGACCTCTTGGTTCATGGGTTGATGCTCATCCACTGAGCTACACTGGCCGGGCAAGAAATGGTTATTTTTAAATTCATGATGCAGCTGTCCTCTTGTAAAACTAAAAGCCTGTGTTATATTGGTAATTGCCCTTTGACTTATCTAGTTTGTCCGAAATGAGAGTAAGAAGGTGAATTTTAAACATATAACTTGTTTTTATTATGTTACTTTATTTAATAAGCATTGATTGAGTCCCTCCTATGTGCCAGACACTGATAGTTGCTACATACAATGAGATGATGAGGACACTACAGGTGGTGCACGTCAGCAGAGGAGACCCTTAGGGTTCGTTACAGCACACGTGACTTGGGCAGCTGGAGGCCCCGCAGAATCTAGGCTAAGTTCAACGTCATGTAGGCAAGAAAATTGTTCACCAACTTTTCCAGAATGTCATAGGATACCAAAAGGGCACTGAATTCCACCTTGGATGTGAATATTGAATCAGGAAACATTGCCAAGGGGAAGTGGTCCTTCAGCTAAGTCCCCAAGGTTGCAGAATTAGCAGACTGACGGGAGAGAGGGGAGGTTTCTCAGAAGAGCAAGCAGCATACACCTGACACATAGTAATACTGATATTAGTGTTTGTTAATATTAACATTGTAAGCAGCAAAAAAAAATTTTAAAGAACTTAAAATTTTATTTTTCAATTACAGTTTACATTATTTTGTAGTAAGTGTACAGCATAGTGATCAGTACTTTACAAAGTGTACCTCTGATATTTCCAGTACCCACCTGACTACATACTTGGTTATTATAATATTATTCCCTATGCTGTGCTTTACATCCTGTGACTATGGTGTAACCACCAATCTGTACTTCTTAATCTCTTCACCTTTTTCATACAGTCCCCAGACACCCTCCCCTCTGGCAGTCATCAGTTTGTTCGCTGTATCTATATGTCCGTTTCTATTTTATATGTTCATTTATTTTATTCTTTAGATTTCACATGTAAGTGAAATCATATGTGTTTGTCTTTCTCTGTCTTATTAGCATAATACCCTGTTAGGTACAACCATGCTGTCACAAATGGTAAGATTCTATTCTTTTTATGGCCAAGTAATATTCCATTGTGCATGGGTACCACAACTTTTTTTTATCTGCTCATCTGTTGATGAGCACTTGAGTTGTTTCCATATCTAAAAACAAATTTTTAAAGCAGCATTTTATCATTAATCAGAATAGGACAATAATGGTCAAACTAGGTGTAAATATTTGGCAAATGGGATACTCGTCTCTGCAAATCCTTTTAAAAACATTGACAACCTTGACTGAATTAAGGCGCTTAAAGCAGAATTAGAATAACATTAGAAAGAAAGTGTGGTTCAGCAAAATATTACTTAGCCCAAGAGATTCCTTCATGGGCCTTCATAGGCAGCAGTGAAACTCGTGGTGCATACAGAAAAGCCTCCTGAAGTAGCTCCTGGCACATAGGACATGCTCAATTGGTGTTACCTATTACTTTTACTATTATTATTTACTTACCGATCAAATCAAAGGCACTTATGTTTTATGTTTCGAATGGCAGATGTTGTCAAGTTATTTGACTCAGGAATAAACTACCAGGTAGGGGGCATTTGTTTTCTTTCTCTTGTGGGTGACACAGACTGGCTTCTACATGCTACCTACTCTAAAGACCACTAGTTTCCAAAGAGAAAAAATAGAAAAAGTGGGAAAAGGGGGAAAAAACAAAACAAAAAGCCTTTGTTAGAGGAATTGACCAGTGAAACGTCTTTGAAAGAATTGTTTTTGAAGACTGAGCCCTTGTCAAGCGAAGACCACACTCACCCCAGAAGTGGGGCATTGAGTTGGATGAAAATCACATCAGAACTCGAGTTATCAAACAACATTGCTCAAAGGAGGAGAAACTTGAGTGTGTATTCAGCTCCTCAAGGTTTCTAGCCTTTTTCCTGCCAATCATCACTACCCTTCTCTTTTCCCTTTCCCAAATTCTACACACATCTAGATCTTATGTACCATGTTTCGCCTCTTGAAATTTACCTGTACTGTATGGTATTGCCTTCAAGATGTCAGTGCATTACTGCATAATAAACTCATCCATTTTAAAGAACTGAAATTCAGGGTGCTTTTATTCTGTGTTTTAGTTAGGACATTCTGAATACAGTGTCCAAACATTGAACCCTTAGTTCAACTCTCCTGAAGGCATTCCAGGTCCATCCTTCTACTTCAATGAAGGATGAAGTTCAGCAGCAAGAAACCTTTGTTGTACCTCACCTGTCTGTGTGACAATACACCTTCACACACTTCCCTTTGTCCTGATGTAGAGTGTGTCCTCTGTTTAAATAGCTGATTATTTCTTTGATTAGACACCCAAGAATAAAGTACTTTATTGTTACAATAGTTTAATTGGTAAATTCATTTTACCATACAGAACATGAGCATTATTCCTGTATTTCCTTGGACTTGTATGGAAGCTTTCTACTTTAAAAGCTTATTTTACTATGGAAAATTATTATGGATATGATGTAAAATGAATATTTTTCTACTTGCTATAATTTATTTCTTATAAGCACAGATATGCAGGACCTTGAAGATTTAATTCTGCCCTAAAAAAATAGATTCTTTTGGTGCCTTCAGCTTTGTGATAACACTTCCTAATGAGCAGCTTTTCCCTTAATTTTCCACTACAAATTATGTAAGTGTCCTACTAAAAATAAACATTTTTAATTGTATAGCGGAGTTTTGCTCTTCGTTTGGTCCTTTTTATGGTTACATATTTCAGCATTGAGACTCTTTTGCAAGGATTTTATAGATATTTACATTTTATTGGGTCGGCAACTAAGTACTTGCGGATTTTTTAAAGAAAATCAAAGACAATTTTTTCATGGAACTAAATAACTTTATTCTGTAATGTATTGCCCATTTTGATCAATGACCTTTTACCATCTTTCAGGCAGCATCATAATCCCACGTTCAAAAAACTTCTGGTTTTTATTAGCAAAAAACTGAATCAGGTACGATTTGACATCATCATCATTATTGAAATTTTTACCATTCAAGGAGTTTTGTAAAGATCGAAACAAAAAGTAATCAGATGGTGCAAGGTCAGGACTATATGGTGGATGTGGCAAAACATCCCAACCAAGCTCCATTAATTTTTGCCGAGTGACCAAAGATGTGTGTGGCCTTGCATTGTCATGATGGAATACAACACCTTTTCGATTTGTCAATTCGGGCCGCTTTTCTTCAACTGCATTGTTTAATTTTGTTAGTTGTTCAATGTAGACATCAGAATTGATCGTTCGGTTGGGTGGTAAGAGTTCAAAGTAGACAATTCCTTTGTAATCCCACCAAACTGATAACAAAACCTTCTTTTGATGAATATCAGCTTTTGATGTTGTTTGAGTTGGTTCACCTGGCCTGCTCCACGATCTTTTCCGCTTGATATTGTTGTAAACAACCCATTTTTCATCGCCAGTTATCAGTCGTTTTAAAAATGGATCATTTTCATTACATTTCTTTAGCAAATCGCAGCTGCTAATGCGTTGCGTTAACTGTGATTCTTTCAGTTCGTGAGGAACCCATGTATCGAGTTTTTGAACATAGCCAAGTTGTTTTAAGTGATTTTCAATGCATGTATGTGATACATGAAGCTTCTCTGCAATCTCACGTGTTGTACTGTGACAGTCCGAATTGATTATTGCTTTGATTAGGGTGTCATCAACTTCAACTGGACGACCAGAGCGTTTTTCATCTTTGAGTGAAAAATCACCAGAACGAAATTTGGCAAACCAATTTTGACACTGCCGTTCTTTTAAGGCTTCGTCACCATAAACAGCACATAACTTTTTATGAGCTTGCAATGCGTTTTTTCCTTGTGGAAATAAAAAAGCAAAATATGACAAAAATGTTCCTTTTGATTTTCCATTTTTCAACGAACGCCAAACGAAAACTACAAAACAGATCAAAAAACTTTTTTCACTGGTTAACAGCTGAATAGCCAACTACCAAATAACAAAATGTGTTTTACATTTGTACTACGTCTGCAAACCTAAAAATTCAACTGAAGCCATATGTGTGTGAAACCCGCAATTACTTAGCTGCCGACCCAATATATAAGTATGCATATTTAATCATGGTAGGTATAAATTAACTCATTAGTTAAAAAATTGCACATGGTATTTTTTTTTTTTTTACCTAATGTTAGTATAACCTCACTATTACCAAAATAAACATTTTTTAAAAAGCTCCAGTTGATTGGGGGGGTGGGGGGAAGGGAGGGGGGAGTGAACAATATGGAAAATATGAAAATCATCTGACTATCTGAGTAGTTTTGTCTTAAAAATAAGGGCTATTTCCAAGCCATACATTTCCAAGTGTCTTCAAAGAAAAACTCTAGTGTGGATTCACTTTTTGCAGTGCTTTATTTAAATGGTTGAAAATTTGTATTAAGCCCTGCTGGTATGACTTGATGGTTGAGCGTTGACCCATAAACCAGGAGATTGTGGTTTGATTCCCAGTCAGGCCACATGCCCGGTTTGTGGGCTTGATCTCCTGTGGGGGGCGTGCAGGAGACAGCCTATCTATAATTCTCTCTAATTACTGATGTTTCAATATCTCCCTTTCCCTTTTCTCTGAAATTAATTAAAAATGTAAACTTATATTTAAAATTGTTAAATTTCTTGTTTTTGGACAAGAGAATGTCTTGGTTATTTATATATATATATATATATATATATATATATATATATATATATATATATGATATATATCATTAATATAGAAAAATTGGTTTTTAAAATAGTGATTTTTTTTTTCTTTTCAAAATACAATTGATTCTTGAACAACACATGGGTTAAGGGGCACTAGTTTCCTGTATGGTCGAAAAATATATAACTTCTTATTCCCCAAAAGCTTAGCTACTAAGCCTACTATAGAACAGAAGTCTTACTGATGACATAAACAGTTGATTCACACATATTTTGTATGTCATATGTATTACATACTAATAAAGTAAGCTAGATAAAAGGAAATGTTATTAAGAAATCATAAGGAAAATACACTTAGAGTATTTATTGAAAAAATACACATATAAGTGGACCCATAAGTTCCAATCTGTATTTTTCAAGGGTCAACTGTATTCACAATTTGACTACCAGATTCTAATTTTATTACTAGTTATTGACATGGATATGGGCCTGTAGTATTAGGTCATCAGCATCTTTTATTTTCTACTTTCTTTTATGGAATAAAAGACCTTGTTTAGTCTGCATGATGGTTTGATATTAAACACACACACAAATGTTTTATTCTTAGTAACATTGCTTCTGCATTTATTAGATTGGATTCTATGCTTATTCTTTTAAATGGTTTAGATAAATATTTTCTTTCACTTGACTGCAAGAGGATATAATTCTAACTAAAAGGTCTAATCTATTTAGAATTAATTTGAGATGTAGTTACAGATATTTCATTTATATTTTCCTGCATATGGTAATGGTACAAATCCATAAAATAACTTTAAAATTTGTCATGCGTCATTAACTTCACTTATACTTCATTGGAGGTGTTTAAATTTAGCTTATATAGGAAGAACTTGGTATTTTTGTGTACTATAAAGTAATTTTTATCTTTTTAATGTTGCCTCAAGGTTGACTTTAACTTAGGTACTTTGAATAAAATCCCATTAAGAAACTTTGTTGTAGGGTATTATAGCATTGGGAATTATGGTGTGTGTTTTTAATTAATTTATGTTTTAATCTTCCCCTGAGGATATTTTTCATTGATTTTTTCACTGAGTGGAAGGGAAGGGGAGAGACAGAGGAACATCAATGTGAGAGAGACACATCGATTGGTTCCCTCCCACGTGTGCCCTGACCGGGGCCTGGAATTGAGCCTACAACCCAGTTATGTGCCCTTCACCAGAATCCAACCCAAGACCCTTCACTCTAACCACTGAGCAAAACTGACTAGAGCTGATGTGTTTTGTAAATTGAGAAATAGTATCTCTTATTCATTGATGTATTTAGACTTTAGAAACTATATTAAGAATTGTATAAAACTGTTTATTATAGGAGTCCAAGTCATTAAAGTGGTGGCATTACAACGCAGTTAACAGTGATCTTTACCCAGAATGTTTTGTTGCTGAGAAACCATTAAAACATTAAAATGTTAGAATTATAAATGCATTGTATCATCAGATAGAGCTTGGCTTCTTTACACTATAGTACAAATGACTTATATCTCAGAAAGAAACAACGAACCCTGACACAAATGCTATATTTTGAAAAAATGTGAAAAAAATATATATATATAATATATGTGTGTGTGTGTATACACACACACACACACACACACACACACACACGTGTGTTTCCATAAAAATTATTTCAATGAATATAGCTTCTATTTGAATTTTATGTTAACTTTTTTCAAATTATCAGCTCTTTTTCATAATGCTCTATTCTTATAGTCCCACTAACAGGACCGGGCTTTTGCTCTGTCCAAATGGCTCAGTGGGCATGTCATCCTAGACACTAGAAGGCTGCGGGTTTGATTCCCGGGCAGGGCACATATCTAGGTCCCAAGTTCAATTTCAGGTCAAGGAGCTTGTGGGAGGCAACCCATCAATTTTTTCTCTCTCACACTGACGTTTCTCTCTCCCTTCTCTCTAAAATCCATAATAAATAATAACTCTCAGATGAGGATTTTTTTTTTAAAGATAAAGGGTTTTTGTGTTTGTGTATTTTTTTTTTAATGAGCACAGACTCCAGCCTCTCCATCTTAGTTTTCCTTGCTTCAGCCCGCCTGGATTTCTTAATTCAGTGTGTGAAGCATGCTTCCGGGTGCTTTAGACACACCCTCTCTCTGCCCTCGAAGCTTCTGCCCCAGATACTTGAAATGCCCTTCCTCTTCATACTTTGAACCCATTGTCCAGTCTAAACATTAGGCTGTTGTGTTTGGGCAAATCCAGATATAAGACATTTCCCTCACTTCGGAAAGTTCCTTTATCCTATTTTGTGCCTTTTATTTTAAACTTTGGTGTGTGTTTTCTCCCTATCAGATGTTAAGAGACTTTCACGGAAAGTTAAAAAACCTGCTGTTTCGTGTGATGTTATGGATTCTACAGACAGAAACTTCTTCATGAGATTATGGACCAAATTTTCAACCAAAAAGACACCAGTGGTAAGGAGGACTAGATGGGGTGAAGCCACAACTGGTTACATAGTGTCAGACAAAAGTAGGGCTTGATATTTGCAGGCTAATAAGTTTCACCAAGATTATTCTCTGACTGGTGTCACATAAAGACAAGGGTATTTTTATTTATTTTTATTTATTTATTTATTTTTGCCTCTTTCTGCATCTCTAATAGTAGACATCGCTTCTAAAAATAGAATGTTCAGTGTAGAGTTTATGAGTGCCTTTCCCCTAGGCTCCTGGTCAAAACCCTAACACTCAGCTCTCCTGTTTAGCAAGAACAGGAACGCACAATAGAACCAAGGTTGTAAAATGCGTATTTCCCAGGGAGACTTGCTTTGCTGTTGGGATGTAATGTTGGCGTTCTTGTGCTGAGTGGTCAGAGTGAGTCCACTCAGAGTGCATGCGTTATTACAGAGCAGCATCTAAACCGGCCAGGTCCCCGAGACCCTGCCCCATTCTCGGAGAACTCGGAGAAGTCAGTCTATGGGATGCAGGACTGGCACTGCGTTCCAGTTAGGTAGTGCTCGCTTTTCGTTTGTGATAGTTTGCACGTGATGATCTGGGAACGCGGAGAGACCTCAGTCATTGCAGTGGCAGCTGTGGAGGCGATGGAACTTTCGCTTCGGTTGTCAGCGCCTTGGATGTGTTTCCGTAGCCCAGCCTGTTCTCAACAAACAACTGCATCACCTTCTGAAGTCAGGCCCATAGGCAGTGGTCAAAAGAATCAGGCTGGCCGGGACCGGTTTGGCTCAATGGATAGAGCATCGGCCTGTGGACTGAAAGGTCCCGGGTTTGATTCCGGGCAAGGGCATGTACCTTGGTTGCGGGCACATCCCCAGTGGGTGGTGTGCAGGAGGCAGCTGATTGATGATTCTCTCTCATCGATGTTTCTAACTCTCTATCCCTCTCTCTTCCTCTCTGTACAAAATCAATAAAAATATATTAAAAAAAAAAAAAAAAGAATCAGGCTGGCTCCTGCAGGTGAAAAGTATCAGGCAAACCTGCCTCAGAACTCACCTTATACGTGAGGTCTGTCAGGCTCACCCCTTCCTTCTAACATTCCTACTCTTTCCACATGCATAGTTTGTAGATACATGTATGTCAGGTGTGAATGCAAAATAAGGAGGCTGCTTTTGTCTGTGTGTTAAGGAAACCATTCTATTCCTTGCGAGTCATGTCATAACTGGTTGGGCAAGTGTACATTTGTGTGTGTGTGTGTGTGTGTGTGTATGTGTGAGAGAGAGAGAGAGAGAGAGAGAGAGAGAGAGAGAGCGCGCATGTGTGTGCATGTGTATTTTTAGTCTGCCTTGATTCTCTTATAAGTCATTTATCTGCCATGGATGCCATATTCTCTTCGTGAAGTAAAGCTAGTAGCATCTACCTTACAAAGGTCTCATATCAAATGCTTATGGAATTTTTTTCTAAATTGTTGACCATAAAACAAATGTTAACTGTTGTTATGGTGATAGTGGTTCGTGGGGAGGGCAGAAAGGGGCAGGCCCTCAGCTGTTGTTCGCCTGAAGCATACACACTGTTTGTTACATGTCAGTTACATAAAGAGGTGATTGATGTAAATTTAGGAAACAAGTGCATTTGACAAGGTTATTAGATACGGACATCAATATGAAAAAATAAATTAGATTTTTATGTAATGGCAATATTTATTCCCTTCTTCGTCTCCTTCCTTCCTCTACTCTTCTCCTTCCCCTTCTTTTCCTCTCACTCATTCATCTATCTCTGCCCATCCTGGGTGTGTGCAGTTCCTACCATGCAGGCCAGTCTGGATTGGCTTTTCAGTACAGCACAGGTACGTGCTGAGCAGGCTCTCTTCATGACACTAGAACACGATGGACCTGGTGCCTGTCCTTATAGAAGGTTAGTCTGGAAGTGACACCCTCCGGTCTCCTCTCAAGGGTAGGGTGAGGCAGTGTATCTATAGCTTTTCTACTACTTCCTTCTTTCTCCTCCTCCTGAGGACATATTCATTGATTTTTAGACCGAGGAGAAGGGGGAGAGAGAGGGGGAGGGAGGGAGGGAGAGAGAGAGAGAGAGAGATTTAGTTGCCTCCAACCAACAGAGCCGCCCAGCGAGGGCCTGCCTCGGTTTTATAAGTAGAAAATGGGCTAATGGAGCATGGGGAACCTCGGTCTTACTGACTCCTGACATACTGACAGCTGTTTTTTGTCCCTTGTATCTAAGATCACTGGGTGTTTAGCACCCAACTAACTCGTCTTTCTTAGAAAGAAACGTCCAAGAGTAGTATTCTTTGTTCTTCAAGTCTGGAAAAAAAAACAAAATTGTTAGCATCACTTTTCTTGTTACTCCAATAGTTTATCAACATACAGTGCTTTCTAGGCATATGACCATAATATAGATTTAAGTAATGTAATGAAGTACTCAGTTTCCTCATTCCTTGCTTATACAATCTTCTGTTGCTTTATTTCTTCTTCAAAGCTTAAATGGTATTTACTTTTTCTGAATGACTCCCAAAGCACATTAATTTGAATATCTCTGAAAGACTCTTTGGAAAACTATAAACATAATTTTAATCAGCCTTATTTCTTAAACAGAATTTTCTTTTTAGGTGTGAGTTAAAAACGCACAGCTCCTTTTCTTGTTGCTGCAAACAGCATATAACAAGCATGTACAGTGGGAAGTGCTTTTGTATGACACTCACCTGTGCAGCCATGTTCTCGTGTTGTACTTGTCAGATATCACTGTGCTCACTGGCCCTCTCTGCGGGCAGCCCAACCCCCTCCACATGGCTGGCTCCCGGAGAGCACCCGTGGGGGTTATGATGGCTTATGCAGACTTCTTGCTCTGGAATTACCGTGACTGGGTCTTTGCCTTCTGGAACTAGCTTGATTGTCTGGATTTCAACTGTATCTGTTTCTTCCACACGTTCCTCTGACCTCCTTAGGGGACACTCTTACTGTGAAGGAGGCCAAGTTACCCCAAGCCAGTTCTTTAGAAAAAAAAAAAAAAATGCTGAATGGCCAATTCATTCAAAGCCAACTTGGCACATTCGTGTGTGAGGCAGATAAGGAGGCACATTTTATAAAGTTCCCAGTGAGCAGCGGGTCTGTGGTGGCAAAATATTGGGCGCTCACATCTACGTGGTGCTACTTCCTTTCAGAGCAGCGAGGAGGTCAGCCCAGGGAGCTCATCCAAGATGACGCAGCTTCAGAGAGGCTATTTTGACTCCAAAAGAAAAGCACTTTCTTCTCCTCCGGTGCGTTTTCCGGGGCACAGAGCTCAGGGCCGTGTTTGTCAGCCCGGGTAACGTAGAAGGAAATGCTTCTCTGACCTGCCGCCCGCCCGGTTGCCAAGTGGGGTGGCTCATACAAGATCAGCCATCCAAGTGCTTTTTTTAAAGACAAAAGCTGGTGACCTATTAACTGTAAGATATCATTTATGGTATTGATTTATGCACATCATATTGAAGGGTATCCACCCACGGCATCTTTTGTCTTTATGGAAATTTATTGTACCTTTGGCCAGTGAGGGCCTCTTCAGGTTACTCCTGTGTCCTTGTCACGTGACTCCTACAATATTCTCTGCTCTTTTGCTCCCTACCCATCTGCTTGGGATGGTCACTGTTTCTAGACCTCTTTTGTGGATAGATAAAATCATTCATGAGTTCAAGTTAACATTTCCAATTCAGGCTCAAGACTTCAGGATTTTTATCTATCTTCTTCTCTAGCACATATATTTTTTTCTGCCACATTGAGAATCCTGATTCTGAAAGACAGAAGACGATAAAATTATAATATGTCATTACATTTTTTTAATTTTTATACCCATTACACACAGAAGAGTCTCAGGATAACAATACTAATATTACCAGCACCCAATTTTTTATTGTGTTATAGCTGCACTGTCAGAGCATATAGTCATTATACACCTCCCCTAAATTTTCATTTTTGTCTTAAATCTCAAATCTGTAGAAACATACCTAGTAATACTGGTTATTAGAACTTAGGCAAATGTCTTTCTAGTTGTTTTGTTATCTAAGCTAATTCTGTAGTAGATACAGAAAAGATACAGTAAGAGTGTTTCCTGAACTCTTACCAGTTGTTAACGATATGTTATACCAGTGTACTTTATAGTTAAACTATAAAGACAGTGAGGTTTTGATTATCCTATTTCTTTGTTTTGGTTTACTCTGTCAAGGAATCTTATGGTTTATGTGTTGGGTCTTCTTTGTCTTAAATATTTGTCATTTTTCTCTTGAATCCTTTTGGTTTATTTATTTATTTTTAGTTTAAAATCTTCTCTCCATTTACTTTCTACTTAAGACATTATTGGTTGTGCTCATTCCCTCCGATAGGCTTTCTAGTTTAGTTTTTTTTTTTTCCCCCTAAGATGATTTCCCCCCCTTGTTTCTAAGTCTTTCCTGAGTTCTGTCACCTCATTTCTGAGTTTGTAACATTGTAATTTATTTGTTCCCCTTAGGTGTTGTGTCACTGTCTTATGCCTTTTAGTTTATTTTGATATAGTGGAATGTGGATTTTACCTGTTTTATGAGCAAGCTTTCATCGTATGTAGAGGTGTTATCCTACTTCTTGCCTCTTTTTTCTTATAATAACTTTGGGGGTTGACCAGAAAATTTCTCATTTTTATGTGAAATTCGTTTTCTCAAGCTTTTAGGTTTCTTCAAAGAGTGATAAAATATAAAGGACGTCCTTCCCAAGATTCCCTGCTTCTGCTTCCCTCTCCCACTTTGGTCTAGACTTGCTCTTTCCTTTGTCTCTATTGACTCTGTCCCGATAATTTTATTCCATTCCCACAGCTTTCCTTCAGCGTGAGGCCCCCTTAGAAAGGGAACCCCAGTAGGTCAGTTTCAAGAATTCACAGTTGACCCAGCTCCTTTCGGAACTTACTGTGGACCCTTTCTCTTGCTGCTACTGGAGTGGAACAACCCCTCCCGTGTTTCAGCTAGGGCTCCCACATTCTCCGCCTGTGCTGTCCCGTGAATACCTCAGAGCTATTTTGGAGGTCCTCCTGCTCTCAGTTCTTTTAGTCACTGTCCTGTCCTTCCTTCAGCCTCCTCTTGGAAATCGGTACTATGCTGTCTTGGAGGCTATTACTGCTTGTATTTGGAACTTGAGGTGATACCTTGTCAACTTGTTTTCTCACACATGTCTTGAAACATCTTTTTATTTTACTATATGGTTTCTATATCTGCTTTCATACGGGGATTCTGGAAGATCCAAAAGCCATGCATCCACTACCACTGCCATTGTCCCAGTCGTGATATAATTAAAAGAAGCATCAATATAGGGGGGAAACAAGGATGGTATGGAATGAAATCACGATAGAAATGCATATACAAGTATAGAATGATTCGAGGAAGAAGAATAAATTAACATGAGAGTAGGGCAGCATATTTGGGAAATATGTAGTAATTTTATAGCAATATGAAACAATATAGACATAGCATGGAGTTGCTTAAATATATAGTTTTTAAATGGTGAAATTTAAAAGTGTGATCCTTTCCTATCCCATCTGAGACCCCTCCCTCCTGCTTACACAGAACCACGGAGCTGATGGTCAGGGAAACACCGAAAAGTCCTGGCAATCAAACCAGAACCTGAGAGCCATGTCCTCACAGTAGCTCTCATATGTCATGGTTTCTAAGGAACAAATCCAAAAGCTTGACCTAGAATTTCTTGGGCCAGCCACAGCTGATTGCAAAATCCAGATTATAGAAAGTAGTAAACTTATCCTCACAAATTTACATAATTTGCATTAAAAGTATTTGCTGAGGCCCTGCTTTGTGCTAAGGTGTGTGTGCGTGTGCAGGGGGTATGGGGGACTTCCGGTCTCCGGGTGGAGATGCTGCCCGGACATGCTCTCCGCGTCAGTCTTGGTGTCCGGCCGAGCAGAGCCACCCCTGCAGATGCCAACATGTCTTTTCAATCACACCAACTTGATCCTTAAAACTGGGTCTTAAAAATGCCCTCGAAGACGGGCAAACTCTCAAAGCTATGCCAGCCCCCAAGGCTAAGCAGGTGGGGAGCCTGGAGTTGTGGGCTCATCACCATAGCGATAGCCCGGGTCCTTCCGCTGACGTGCTTGTTTGTGGTTATTTCCTGTACGATTTTAATAGAATATCAATTTATAAAATAGCCTGGTCATGGCATTAAAGTAAAAACAGGTTTATTTCAGATTAAGGTACTGCAAGCAAATATTAGTGTCATTTAAATGCACTTGCCATTTAAATAAATGTTCATATAAATCCCTTTATCAATGCATAGGTTTTTTTTTATGTAAAATGAATAAGCGCTTGCCAATTTATATTTCCGTCAGTTCACAATTTTATGTGTTAAGTTCGGCCAAAATGAAGAAATCCAGGGCACGGACTGGCCCAGAGGGTGGAGCAGGCCCACCCTCCATCAGACAGTCTGTGTGTAAACACACGTGATGTTTGGACAACAGCATAAGCTATCTTTTCCTTTTCTCTCCATCTTTTTAAATCGCCTTTTGCCACCAGGTTATACACCTTTTGAATGCTGAGACTGTGTCTTTATATCTCTGAATCCCCATCAAATGCTTACTAAAGATTTAGTGATGGCAACAGTGATGTTGGTAAAATACAGGAGAAAGACATCCCAATTTGTCCTGTTCCCAGATCATGCATCAACATTGTTGGATAGAGCCAGTCTGTTACTCTGTGTAACATCTGGGAAAACTAAAAGAACAATAATAATCTTGAGAGATAACGTCATTGGAATGATAAAAGTATAAATATGAAATATTAATAAAGTTTCCCACATTATTATTCAGATGTCATATATTTATATATTAAATTGAAGTCTCCATAAAAAGTATTCTGGTTTTATTTATAAAGTTATCCCCCCCTCCCTCCACTGAACAAATAGCAATTGTGTTTTAGGCCTATGTATTTTTCCTTTTTCTTTTCATGTATGTATTTGACGATCTGTAGTAAGAAGAGAATGACTATAGGTCTTTTACTCACTTGACATGTTTTTAGCATCAGTATAATTTTCTGATCATATTTCTTGTGTAGGAAGAAAGTTCTGTAGAGAGACAGTACGAGGCAGCCCGGCAGGCCCTAATGGGGAAGACACCTCCTCATTTTACACTCCTGTTTCAAAGGTAGCGATTTATCACCTTTATTTATACCTGGGCATCTTTAGATTGATTTTTCTAGTATCGAAATATATAGCAAATGAATCCTAAATGATCAACATCAACTTGGACCTCTTTATGAAAAGGAACTCAGGGATTCAGAATAAAACGGCCATTTAAATTTATTTCAAATCATAGTTCTTTTTATTGTCTATAATTGTAAGCTATCTGTTGAAAAAGTTTTAACCAATATAAATAATACATTTGTCTATTTGTCTGCTCTATAAAATGTGATTAATGTTCCCCATACAGGGAAGCTCTCTTTGCATAGTCTGATCCACAGGACAGGCTGCGGGATTCACACTAAATTCTTCTGGGGGTTAGGAGGGTGGTGGCCAGATGATAGGCAGTGGTCCACAGAACAGGTGCAACTGGGCCTGTATGACCTCCGACCAGCAGAGCTCCAAAGGGGTCATGATGGGACAGACAGGTGCTTTGGATTTGCATGCATTTTTATGCCATTGAGCTACTGTGCACACAGCAACTCTATTTAGCAGGTCAGGGATAAATGGCAAGCTGTAGGATTTATTCCCTAAAAATGGTTAATGATTCTTTCAAGTCACTCTGGGGAAACAGACTAGTATAGAAGGAGGAAAAAAGGAATATTTTAAACTCAATTTCAGGTGAGAGTATAATATCAGAATTTTTAGAAATATTTTAGTCTCCTATTATTTCAAAGCATTAGATTACAAAAGAATGGAAAATATCGATTTCCATTTTTATAGTCACTGGTATATTGCTGGGCCTCACATAACTGGTAGACTAGGGTTTATAATAAAATACATACTGGTCAGTAGAAAAATAATTTGGTTTCGTGGATAAGGAATATTTACAGCAATACAAATTTGCTTAATCTACAAATTAGAATGTAATACTGCCAGCTTTGAGGCGCCTGTTTATGAGTGGGTTTTATTGATATTTGCACTTATGTGGAATGTAATAGTCAGTGTTTAGGCATTAGATGTTTTGTAATGCTTGGTATCATCACACAATTCTTTACATTTTTTGTTATTTCTAATTTCAGGGGTTCAGTACCGGCACCCCTCGACAATACACATTATGCCTCAGTTTCGGAACTACAGAAAATTTTTGAGATTTGTGAAGAGTCTTTTAAAATTCCATTTAAACATGGGTGGAGGTGAGTTGAGTTTTATTGGCTGGAAGCGGTTATTTTCTCCTGGTCAGTTAAGCTCATGGCACTCGTCCCTAAGCTTTAAAAACATACTGATTCTGGGGAGCCCCACCTGCCCCCATGGAATTTGAAGGAGGGGATGCTGGTCCTGTAGGGAGGATACAGGCATGTAAGCTAGGTTCATACAATGGGAAGCTTCTCTCTGGACTCTCCGTCTTGAGGGAGTGACCAAATGATGCAGGGACAGTTAGAGGTGGAAGAGTCAGATTCTACTGGGAAGTACAAGCAATGATGTCTACCAGTCTCCTCCTGTATCGTGACTCAGCTGTGTTTTGGCACCTACCTTACCTTGGTTTCTGCCTCATTAAGCCTGGGTCTCTAGTTTTCCACCAAGTCTCTAAACAACCCAACAACTTTTTAATAACTCTTTGTAATATTCAAATTAGCCAAAGTTGGTGTTTGTAATTTACTGTCAACATCTCTGGTTGGTAAAATGCTATATATCAAAATGTTTACTAGTACTAGTTCATGTCCAACACACAAAATGCCATTTCAGGATTCCAAAGCATAATATGACAAAGTGTGATTCAAAACCTGACTATGCAGCCCAGCTGGTATGGCTCAGTGATTGAATATCGACCTATGAACCAGGAGGTCATGATTCGATTCCTGGTAAAGGCACATTCCCTGGCTGTGGACTCAGTCCCCAGTAGGGAGTGCGAAGGAGGCAGCCCGATCAATGATTCTCTCTCATCATTGATGTTTCTGTCCTGCTCTCCTCTCCCTTCCTCTCTGAAATCGATAAAAATATACTGTAAAAAGAAAAGAAAAGAAAACCTGACTGTGTGGAAGTTGAGGACTCCGTGTAGAGCACAGCAGACCCTCCGCTGCTGATTTTAGTGCTTGGTTTTGGTGGGCATGCTCCGCACTCTGTTTCTTCTTCAGCTGGGCCTCCCACAACTGGCCATCGCTCTGTAGGCCTTGAACTCAAGATTCCCAGCTAGGATCTGGCTGGCTGAGTCAATCACCATTTACTATGAGGTGCCACACTTTGGTAGAGGTCTCTAGCCAGGCCCTCATGGGTAACAGGCTGGCTTAGGAGTGGATTGCCCCCATGTTAAGCACCCATCCTTATCCAGTCATCTATAGCCAGAGCAGTGACAGAGAACTGCAGAAAGAACTGTCCAGAAGGGGTCTGGGTTTGGCAGTCTCTCTGGCATATTTAAATACATGGTGACACACTAGACAAAAAGTTTGACTGGAAGGAAATACATTCAAATGTTAAAAGTGACTATTCCTCTAGAATTATGTTCTTTTTATTCTTTATCTCTTTTCTGTAACTTCTAAATTGTCTATACAGGACATATTTTTTAATATATCCTAAAAACTATTAAAGTTTCATGAGAATTTGATGAAATATTCAAGAACTGGTCTTTATATACAATTGAGTTTCTCATAATGCTCTATATGTTTAAAAAGTTTTAGTTACATATAAATCAGGTCCTATAACATAATGATAAATGTTTAAAATCAAATGCAAATGTATATCCAGCATAATAGAGGCCTAAAAATATTTGTGTAGTACAGGAAAAAAAAAATAACACTGGGAAGAAATATACCCAAATTTCATCAGTTACTATGTTTTAGTGATGGGATTATAGCCAATTTTAATTTTCTTTCTTCTTCTGTATATTTTCAATAATGAGCATTTTATAATTTTCAAAACATTACTATAAATTTTTAAAGTTGTTTTAAAAGCCTGCCACACAAAGGGATATTTTTATGATGGTGCTGTGTCATAATGAGAATTCTGAAATGAGTAATGCTTTCCTTCGTGTCTGGGTTTTATTGTTGTAACACTTTGGGTTTCCTTCACTAATTTGATGATGAGAAATAACTGTCACTTCTAAGTGGTCTGCCCCCATCTGCACTTTTCAGTAGATACTAGAGACTCTGGCATTGTGATTAGCTGATGAGCTTTCTGTGACAGTGCTGAAACTGTGGCTCTCTGGGGGTTCATTGAAGCTCTGGGTTTTTAGTTCAGTGAGGCAGGTGGAGAGGAATCCAGTGAGAAAGAATGTCTCAGTTTAGGCTGCTGTAACAAACTGCTGCAGACAGAACGGCACGACTAACAGACAGTTACCTCTCACAGCTCTGGAGGCTCAGAAGTCTGCGGTCAGGTTACCACGGTGGCCAGGTTGTGAGAGAGTCCCCTTCCTGGTTTGCAGGTGGTTGTCTCCTTGCTGTGTCCTTACAGTGCGGAAAACAGGGAGAGGAAGCCAGCTGTCTCGTGCCCCTTCTTTTGAGGGCACCAATCCCATTCATGGGGGCTTCAGCTCCTGACGGAGTCACCTCCAAAGGTCCCCCACTTGTGCTGTCACTTTGGGGGTTAGGGTTGAAATACACGGATTTGGGGGAGGGAATACAGCATTCAATCCCTAGCAGAAGGAAAAAACAAAACAAAAATGCCTGCAGTGGGCTATGTATACATCATCTGTGCCCCTGTGAAAGGGACTTGTCACTCAAGTCTGACCCTTCATGTATGGTAATATTTATGTGTTTTTCAATTCAACCACATCTATTACTAAAACCCACTGAGATTTTTCTTGCTACTTTCTATGTTCCCTTCAACATACTACATTTATATTTGTAGGAGTTTGGCCGTAAACTATGGGTCATTGTCTTTCACTAAAGAAGGAAGAACATCTTTATGTTTCTATGGGTTGGAATAAAAGGTCTAGCCCATAAGACATAATCGCAACTGAGACTGAACTTAAGGGGCAAACTCACTCTAGTTTTACTTCTAGAGAGAAGATCCTAGGCTGGCTTAATGGCATTTCTCCACTGCCAGGAGTAGAGAAATTCAGTTCCTGGAATATCCAGGTGTGAGCAGTATTGGTTGCACCAAGGTTATCCTTCTCGAGGAGGTGCTTTGTGGACAAGCTCAGTAACTCTGTGTGTGAGCAAGACATTGGGGAACAAGAGCTTCTAGGAGCTTGGGTGTCCGACCAGAAGGGGCCTAGCATTCAGAGAGGAGGTTCCAAATGCTATTGTCCAGCAAAAGACACAAGAATTCAGTCCAAGAGTGATCTCCTCGCTGAAACCAGTTTGGCTCAATGGATAGAGCGTCGGCTTGGGGACTGAAAGGTCCCGGGTTCGATTCCGGTCAAGGGCATGTAACTTGGTTGTGGGCATATCCCCAGTAGGGGGTGTGCAAAAGGCAGCTGTTCAATGACTCTCTTTCATCGATGTTTCTAACTCTATCTCTCTCCCTTCCTCTCTGTACAAAATCAATAAAATATATTAAAAAAATAAATAAATGAAAAGAGTGATCTCCTCCATTAAGGAAGCAATTCGACTTCGCTATCAGTTGATAACAAGTAATCAAAATGTCTAAGCAGAATCCCTGAGTGCAAGGCGATTGGACTATCTCTGGGTAGGAATATTGGTGTCACCTAGCCTTTGCTATCGTTGATAGGGAGCTCAGGTCCAGCAAAGGCAGGTGTTTCCAGGAGAGCTGGTGCTGGATTCCAGCCATGAACTACCACCCAGGAACTGCAGCCTCTGCTTGCCACTCATACATCACACAGGCAGTGAACTTGAGCTCACATTGGACATGTCACCCACTACGTTTCCTCCTGGGACAAGGACAGGCCCAGATAGCTAACTGTGCTTCCAGCAGTAGAGCCTGACCTGAAGACATCACCTCAAGACTTCTACCCAGTATCATCCTGGTTAACATTTAAATGGCAGGCTTTATCTTGAACAGACTCAACTTGTACTGCCAGGTATGTATTTAAATGTGGAATGTGAACAAGTGGAGGTCTCCTTGAAGTTGATCCTCGAAATGCATTTTTTTTACAAAGATAGGAATCATTACCTGGGATAATAGAGGAGAAAGAATAATCGCAGCCAACTACTGGTCTCTGCAGTAAGCAATCGCCTATTTTCAACATTTTAACTCAACCTTCGGCTAAATCTAAAATTTAACATTGACAGTGAAAAGTGGAACTCTAAGGACAAAGTTTAGGACATGGAGGTGGAAGGTCAATATATACCATCTGTTGTTGTTGGAACAAGAAGTGGAGGTTTTAAGTAGAATAAATGAAGGTGAAGATCTGACAGATGAAACACCTGAAAATAGTGGTGGAATTGTTCTGGGGAGGAAAAGTCAGGGAAGTGTTGCTTTTTTGATAAGCCCTTCTGTATAATATGACTTAGTTGTAACTATATTCATATGGTGGGTTGATTAAAGTGCTAATGAAATATTTTTTTAGAGAAATGAGGGAAAATCACAGATGAAAAGATGAATATATTTTTTTATGATTTAAACATTTCAAGTTTCTCTAGCTTTAAAATAAAATTAAAAGGAAAACAGCAAGCTCTTTAAAGTACAACAAAAGAGTGGGCATTCAGTACATAAAGAGTACACACAGCCGAAACCGGTTAGGCTCAATGGATAGAGCGTCGGCTTGGGGACTGCAAGGCCCCGGGTTCGATTCCGGTCAAGGGCATGTATCTTGGTTGCAGGCATATCCCCAGTAGGGGGTGTGCAAGAGGCAGCTGATTGATGACTCTCTCTCTTTGATGTTTCTAATTCTCTATCTCTTTCCCTTCCTCTCTGTACAAAATCAATAAAATATATTTTTTTTTAAAAAGAGTACACACAAATTGATATGGAAAACACGAACATCTTCAAAGGATAAATGAGGAAAAGAAATAAAGAGTTTACAAAGTATGGGAGACAAGCTAATTAATCAATACAAGAAATAATGTCCAACCTTGCTATGGATGGAGCTTGACCACTCGTGGTGTTCTGCTGGATGAGCCACGAAGGGAGGGCTGGCTCCCCTGAGAGATCGCCAAGGAGCAGGTGATTCCCGCAAGGAGAGCAACCGGGTGGGAGGCAGTGCACTACCAGACGCAGGAACTTCAAGGCATTCAGACCACACCCCAACCTCATCCTAAGAGCCGGATGAAATCACAGCCTCCAAAAGAGGCTTAGACATGCCCAGGGTGTGGTCCAGATCAGGCTTCCTGACATGCTGTCCTTTTCTCTCTCCTTGAAATAGCAGGACCCACTGTACCTAGTTGCACTTGATTCTGAAGTCCCAGAAATCAGGGCCTGTGCCTGACCTATCTAGTTTCATGCTCCAGCACCTATCCCAACATTGTGCTCTTTGTAGGTACTCAGTTCTGTTTTGTATAAGAGATGAGACGTTTATGCTAATATGCACAGTACTCAATGTCAGCTGCTATCTAGGTCTTGCTACAGATACCAGTGAAAACTTGAGCTCAACAGAGACTTGTTTGCAGACTTCTGAGAGGACTTGATAAAGGTAACCCAATGAAGTGATGGGCATAGGTTGCGTGGCCATTAGTAGTTTTTCAAATAACAGGTATCATTCATTCATTTTTTTTTTTTTTTAATTTTAAGCAGCATGGATACCCATGGTGGGAAATATTCTGAATTGTTTCAGTCTTGTCCGTGGCTAAAAGAATTGCCTTTTGAGTCTCCCGGAGTAAGTGATACGAAGGATGATAAGTCCCTTAAAGGTAGGAGTCGTTTTACATCTGATTCTCATACAAATAGTAATATTATAATTGTATGTATTTCCTACCCTGTTTCTCACAGTTATGGATTTTTTTTTAAAACTAAATGAGTGTTTTAAGTCAGAACCTCTCCTGGTAGGTAGGGTGGGTTATTTGTCTCACATCGTTATAGATGAGAAACAAACTTCAGAAAGGTCAGGAATGTGCCCAAGGTCATATAGCTACTTAGAGAGGATGCTGCTGTCCCTCCCCCCTGACCATACCACTTGCAGGGGGCAGGTGCTCTCTGGAGGAGAGATGACCTGGGACCCCCCTTTGACAAGCTGGGCTCCTTTGAGTGAAGGTGAAGAGAAGCATGGAAGGTTTCAGGTTGCTGGCTGCTCCGGGAGAATCCTGAGGCTGTTAGGTTTGAAGGATCTGGCCCAGTCTAACCGCCCCCCCCCCTCACTTCACACACTTTTTTACCCATTGCTCCCCAACACACATGTGAATGCATATCTTCATGTGCAGACAGATGGTCATTGCATTTTTGTCTTTGAACACGAGGCTCAGTGCAGTGTTCATAAATGTCAACGAGTCAAGACCTTGAACAGTGTGAGGACAATTGAAGCATTAGAGATGGAAACGGGCAAGTGGGAAAGTAACCCAGTGTCGGGTTGGACGCCGGGTTCTGTGTGCGACTGATGGGGGAAAGAGGAGATCTCGGGAGTTCCCTAGGACCCGGAGGCCAAGAGGGAGCCGCTGTGTGGAGCCTGAGGTGGGGGTGGGATGTTCTGCCTGAGTCCAGAAGCCGCAGGTGAGGATCCCCACTTGCTCAGGTGAACAGGGGAACCAGAAGCAGAATATAGACCTGTTAGGTTGCCAAAGAGGGACAAGAGGACACATACAGGAAGGAAGAGGTTCCTAAAACAGCCATCTTCTAACCCATTAGTGGTCGGCAAACTCATTAGTCCACAGAGCCAGATATCTACAGTATGATTGAAATTTCTTTTGAGAGCCAAATTTTTTAAACTTCTTCTAACGCCACTTCAAAATAGACTCGCCCAGGCCATGGTATTTTTTGGAAGAGCCACATTCAAGGGGCCAAAGAGCCGCATGTGGCTCGCGAGCCACGGTTTGCCGACCACTGTTCTAACCTCTGCTGTAGTTAAATCCAGGATAGCTGGCTGAGATAAGATATCTTCAAGGATTTTACACATGAGAGAGAGTAATAAGCAATAAGGATTAGAGTCCCAGGACCAGAGTTCCGAGAAATAATCCCAAATTCTCAAGTAGACACTTCATGTCATTATATAGGAGTGGGAAGTATGCTAGGAACCCCTTGAAGACAATGTCTAGCCACTCTAGTGACTAAGAGTACCCAGGGGCCCTGGACCAAGCATGTCACCACAGCCCATAATGTCCCATTTCCCACTGGACAGAAGGCCTTGACCTGTCCCATCTCGTGTCTCCTCTGCCCGTATCCTTGTTCCAGTCATAGCCTGGCCAAACAGAGCAAAGTGGGGCTGTTGCCTGCCGGGTGGTACCATGGAAAGAACATTGGGTTAGGAATCAGGAGGATCTGGGTTCTGGTTCCATTTCTACTATTGTCTGGCTGTCTGCTGTTGGGCAAATCAGCCTTGGGAATAATAATATCGCTCCTACAGAAGTATAGTATATATCCTACATTCTACATATTATTGTAATAAATGTATCTTATAATGTAACATATAATATAAACATACAGGACAAGACAAGATGAATATGGTGTAAGTAAGAAGCAAAGTGCTAGATACCTACAAGGTATTATGAATGTAAATTTTTAAACATGTAGCAGAAGTCTGTGATAGTTTCTTCAGTAATGGTTTCTGGAGACTTACTCTATTCCTTTGAATGGGCCATGTTTTCCTGTTTCCTTACATCTTTTGTCGAAAGTTTGGCATTTGAAAAAGCAGCCTCCTTCCCAAGTTTGCAGACTGGCTCCATGCACGGGGAGACCTTGACCAATTAGCAGGGCATTTACGGGGCCCAGGATCAGCCCAGCATGAAGGCTTAGGGTCTTTTCAGTCCTTTTCTGGACATGCACTTCCCATGGGCTTTTTCCCCAATTCCTCCTTATACACAGGTGATTTAAAAAATGCCTTAATTTTCCTAAGAGACTCGGGTTTCTTCTTAGCTATTCTATTATATTCCTCAATCAGTAATCTCTTGCCCCAGGCATCTGTGTGTCTATTGCCCCCTTGTGGTTTCCATGGTTTCCTGTGGCTCCTCTAGGCTTAGATTCCAACTATATCACTTTGAACTCAGTTTAGTCACACAGTCACCAATCAGACAGACCCAGACAGGTGAGAACATTGCTCTACCTCTGGTTCTCAGGAGGGAACTGGGGACTAGGCCTTCCTTCTTCTCTATTGTACTTCAACCCACCAGGGAAGGGGGTGAGACAATTTGTAAAATCACCTTGATATAAAAGCCTAATATGCAAATTGTCCCCTTGGGAGTTCAGGAGATCAGGAGTTCAATCGCTCACTATGATGTGCGCTGACCACCAGGAGGAGGCAAGCAATGAAGGAAAGCCTTGGCCAGCAGCCAACAGCTGGGGAAGGGAGGCCCCAGCTGGCAGCCAGAAGGTCCTGATAGCTCCGATCACTAGCCAGGCCTAAGAACCGTGCGTGGACATGATTTCATTAATAAACTCGAATTTAATAAAGTTTAGCGTCAGGTATACTGGTTTGTAAATCTTTGCTTGCATTTTTTTAAGTGACAGTATTTTTTGTCTCCAGTACTTTTCTCACTGTCATTGATCTTATGACATAGAGATCTTATGATATAGGTCCCTCCATCTTCTGACTCCCATTAGAATGCTCTGCCTTGCTGAAACTGGTTTGGCTCAGTGGATAGAGCGTCAGCCTGCAGACTGAAAAGTCCCAGGTTCGATTCTGCTCAAGGGCATGTACCTTGGTTGCGGGCACATCCCCAATAGGTGGTATGCAAGAGGCAGCTGATCAATGTTTCTCTCTCATCTATGTTTCTAACTCTCTATCCATCTGTCTTCCTCTCTGTAAAAATAAAATCAATAAAAAAAAAAAAGATATATAATGCTCTGCCTCACTTTCTCAGCCCCTACTCCACTGCTTTCTCCCCGGGGAGAATTTGGCTTCTTTTGTGGCCACCATGCATCTGCCTTCAGTCTCTATCGTCCAAACTCCTCTTGCTTAATATGTTCTCAAAGGAACCTAGCTCCATGGTTCACCCTTGGAGTCTTCATCCTTGGCAAACAGACAACCTTAGAGGGCAATAGATGAGGTTTCTCTAGGAAGGACTATAAGGTGTGTGTGCATACGTGCGTGTGCGTGTGTGTATGTGTGTGTATGAATACATGCACACATGCGTATGCTAAGCCTACTTATGCATGATTGTGAAAGGATATGATGCAGGTCACTGTTACCATGGTTAGGAGCAGCGAAGAAGAGCAGCATAGGAATTACTTGCTATAGCAACCTCCTGGTGGTTGTGCAAGTCTACACGGCCCAAGGCTTGTCCAATCACACATGATATATTCTGAACCTCACCCTCTGTTTTTCCTGTTTGAATATCATATATTTTTTAAAGTTGGTTAAAATTATTATTCTGGTGCTTACATCATGCAATGCTTATTTTCTCTGTTTAGTGTAGCAAGGTGTTAACTATATGTACTGTATCTTTCTTCATGTTTTATAGCACCACACAAGATGTCACTCCAATATGAAAAGGTGTATTTGCAACACAGAAGACACACGATATCACTCATGACTCACCCAGGTTCCAACATCAAACCGTCCCTCCCTCCAATCCCTCAGGGCCGGAAGTACAACAGTTCTTGACATTGTATACTGACATGGAAACCTTGCTCAGATCACGTCCAGTTCCTGTGTCTCGCCTGGCCATGGATCCTGGCTGCTCCTTGCACAGCCAACTACCTACAAAAGAATGTCCTGTATGCCTTAATTCTCTCAATCAATTTCTTTTGTGATTCTCTGAATAGTGTTTTGTTTTTAATATAAGTTATTCTTAACTTTTAGAAAAGGAATTTGTTTTTCCCACAGCCATTAATCACTTTTCCAGCTGCTTCCTGCCTGAAGAGATCTGATGGCAAAGTCTCCCAGGATCTCTGTGTTGCTATGTGCAATGTGATTTTGGTTTTATTTTGTGTGTGTGTGTGTGTGTGTGTGTGTGTGTGTGTGTGTGTTTTGTTTCTTTTTGTTGAATGAATGTACTGATTAACAAAATTATACAGGTTTCAGGTGCCCAACTCCACAACACACCATCTGAACACTGTACTGTGAATTCACCACCACAAGCCAGATCTCCTTCCATCACCATTTATTCCACCCTGTGATTTTTCGATATATCCACCTGGGATTGTGCTCTTGAAATATCACTGTGTCCATTTATAACCTTAGTGTATATTCTAGGGAATTGAAATATTTTTATTCTTCTGAGTATGACAGGATTGTAGAGTTCCACTTAGCTGTGCCAAACATGATATCAATTGCATCTCTCAAAGGGAGTTAATTAAGGGAATTTTCATGGTTCTTGACTAGCTTTAGCAATATGAAGGAATAAAAAGTATGAGAGATTTTTTATTTCACCCTTTCCTGACTCTGATCGTGTATTGCTTGCCATTAGAAATGTTTTAATAATCTTTATGGTCTCACTACTTGCTACTAGTGTTTGCAGAAAGAAAATATGGAGAAGTTACAGGTAAGACTGGCATTCAGCTGATATGTGTCAAGTAAGATTATCCTGGTTGTTAAAATATTGCAACACATCCACTGGGTTGGTAAATGGTCTCTCTTTGGGGCAGGAGCCTTCAGTAATGCTGCACTAATTGTTACATATTTTAAATAACAAAACCCTCTAATGACTCCCCCTTTTAACATATCCAAACCCCCTTTAATTTATTCCCTCCCCCCTGGCTGGGATGTGGATGTACCATGACTTGCCCTCATCTGTCTTCCACAGCCCAGTTCTCTGCAGGAGCTGGACACAGTTCTTTTCTGAGGGTTGGTGGGAGGGAATGGGGGTGGGATGTGGGGAGGAGGACCAGGCTGAGCAGGAAAGGGGAGGTAGTCCTCTCTGGGAAAGTAGGAAACCAGAGAGTGGGCCTTGTGCTCCAAACATCTTAATGAATAGTTACTTTCACCTGCAACATCTCATCTTTTCAAAAATTACTGTGAAATATTTCAGATGCAATAGAAGATATAACAGTTACAATTTCAGACAATGTGGAGGACGTGCACTTTTCCTTGTTTCTCTAAGTACAGCTAAAATCCTAGAAAATGCATACAAAGCAAACATAAGACTGAGAGGTAAAAGGGAGAAGAGAGACGCCGGGACCTGAGTGACAGCACAGTGCTGGTTTTCCTTTTGCCTCAATTACCCTGAGCTGGGTGCTGGAAGAGCTGCGGCCTCACACACTAGCCATGCCATCAACAAAGACTTCAGCACAAAGCCTGCGCTCTCTACCTACAAGGAAGGCGGCAGCCTCGCAGGAGAGAAAGCTTATAGACAGTAACTGAGTTACTTTAGCCCGGACTTCCATTCCCTGCCTGGTAGTAATGAGGCACCTCCTCCCCTTACCATCAGTGGCATCAGAGAAGGTCTGAGGAGACCCAGCACTTCCACCACCATCTCCTTACCTGGGCCCGTGCAGAGGAGAGAGGAGTGCCCCTTCCCTCCCAGCCAAGGTGGTCTCAGTGAAGGCCTAGTGGGGATTCTAAACTTCCTCGTTCACCAGTTTGCCGACCCCTAGGTAATAATTTGAATCCTATATAATAATACGCTAATATGCAAATTGACCTATGGTGGAACGACCAGTCGCTATGACATGCGCTGACCACGGGGGGGGCAGACACACAATGCAGGACTTACCCTTGGTGATCAGTGTGCACCCACAGGGGGAACACTGCTCAGCCAGAAGCCAGGCTCACGGCTGGCGAGTGCAGCGTCAGTGGCAGGAACCTCTCCCACTTCCGCAGCAGCACTAAGGATATCTGACTGCTGGCTTAGGCCTGTTTATCCCCTGAGGGCTCCCAGACTGTGTGAGGGCGCAGGCGGGGCTGAGGGACCACCTGTGTGCACAAATTTCGTGCACTGGGCCTCTAATGACTCTATAATTATATTAAAGATATTAAAGAAATGTATTACAGAATTCATAATTCTGAAGAAGAAATCCCCAGGCCCAGATGCATTCCCTGGAGAATTCTACCAAATGTTTACAGAAGAATTCACACCAATTCTATGCAGTCTCTCCCAGAAAATAGCAATAGAAGGAATACTTCCCAACTTATTCAATGAGGCCACTATTACCCTGATACCAAAATTAGACAAGCAGTCTAAAGAAAGAAGGATAATATCATTCATGGATATACTATTAGCTGTAAAGATCCTTAACAAAATACAAGGAAATTTCAGTCATCCAGAAAAAGAATTATACGTCATAATCAGATGGGGTTTATCCCAGGGATGACAAGATTTCTTAAATATTTTAATCAACCAATGTTATCCACTATAATAACAGGCTAAACAAGAAAAACCGATGGTCACATCAGTTGATGCAGAAAAAGCATTCGTAAGTCCAACTTCCATTCATGATAAAAATTCAGGAGTAGAGAATGCCTTCCTCAATTTGATAAGGACTTTAATGTATATGTCTCTATCTCTAAACCACATATACTTTTATAATATATTCATATTATATAGGTGCTCCTTGGTTTTTAATGGGGTTACATCTTGCTAACCCCATTTTAAGTTGAAAATGTAAATTGAAAATGCTTTTAATACCCCTAACCTGCTGAACGAAGCTTAGCCTGGCCAGTTTGTACTGAATGGACATTGCTGTGGCAGCATCATAAAGTTAAAAAAATTGTAAATTGAATCGTTTAAATCGGGGACTTTCTCTTCCGTGTATATTCAGCAATCAACTATTTTCTAAACATTATGAGATTAATCCATGTAGATTGTTTTAATTCTCCCTGCTATGCAATATTCCATTGTAAGAATAAACCACAATTTATTCACTTTCCTGGTGATGAATGCTAGTTTCCACTTTTTTTTTTTTTTATACTTCAAAGGATGCATCTAAAATATTCTTGTCTAGAAGTTAAATTGATGTGTTATAGGATACAGATCTTAACTTTACCAGATATTGCTATATGGTTACCCTAATATGCCCTCACCAACATGTAACTTTCCATTTTCCACATTTTCATGCACAAGCAGAATTGACAGTCATTTTATTGCTCGCCCAGTGGCTGTTAATGTAAACTTATTGTAGTGTTTAACTCCCAATTACTGGTAAGTTTGAACATTTTTTTATAAGATGATTAGCAGCTTATGGCTTCTCTTCTGTGAATTGCCTATTTTTACCTAGTTTTAATTAAATTATTTTTATTAATTTACAGTATTTATTTACATATTCTAGTTATTATCTTTTAGTTCACTATGTGTATTGCAGATGTCTTTTCCGAGGCTGCCTCTTGTCTCTCCACTTTTAAAAGTGTTCTTTTTTAATGAATAAATATTTTTTAACATGGCCAAATGTGTCAATCTTTTTCTTTATGGTTTGTACTTTTTGTGTCCTCTGAATTTTTATTTAGTCTTCTAGATAGGATTCTAAATGCTTTCTTAAAAAAAAAAAAAAAAGTTTTGCTCTTCCCATCTAGGCCTATGCAATACCTGGGATGGACTTCTGTGCACAGAGTGGGGTAGGTCTCAGATGTATTTCCAGGGGTTCCATCTCTTTCTTCGCTAATCTGGAAGACCAATCCTCTCGTGTATTGTTTCCATAAGTGAATGGGTCTGATTCTGGGCCCTCCGTGCTGCTCTTTTATTTGCAGTTCATTGATGATAAGACTTAAAACATGGTAGACAAGTCGTGCCCTTTGATAGTCTTTAAAATTAATTTGGCTGTTCATATTTTCTTTTCAAGTAATTTTAGAATTTGTTTATCACACTTTGCAAAGCACTTACTTGGAGTTTACTAGAATTACATTTAATTCCTAAGTTTGGGGAGGCTTATCTTTTTTATATTGTATCTCCCTTTCTGTAAAATGCTTCATTTGTGTAGTTTTTCTTTAATTCCTTTACACAGTTGTATAATTATCTTTAGTGAGACTTATGCCTATGTGCCTTTTTTTGGTTATTGTAAATAGAAAATTCTTTAAGATTATATTTTCTGTGACTGGTGTATAGAATGTGGTCCATTCCTATAAATATCATGTGTATTAATTCTAACAGCATATTTGTAGCTAATTTCAAGATTTCCATCCAGATAATACTACCAAAAGAATGACAATGATTTTTTTCCATTCCTATTATTCTATTTCTTCTTTTTTATTTTATTTATTTATTTATTTATTTACAATATTTATTTATTTATTTATTTTCTGTGTGAAAACTGTTCTGGAAAGAAGCTCCAATACAATGCTGAATAGAAGCAATGATAGTTGGCATCCTTATCCACTTCTGACTTTTAAAGAATATTTCTAAAGCTTCACTATTTAGTGTGAGATTTGCTTTAAATTTTTGGCAGATAAACTTCTTTGGAAAAACAAGCTTCACTTAATCTCTGGTTTATGGTAAGTTTTACTCTGAATGAGTATACAAAAGAAGGTGTTTTCCTTGTAAGGCACAGAAGTTTGAGGTATGTATGAATTCAATCATATTAATCATATTAATCAAATCACTTATTTTCCTTTTTGTTGTGTGTTTTTTTCAACTTACTCATACTGTTATATTTTTTTTTTTAAAAACTTCTTACAGTGATTGAGTTTCTGTTCTTTTTTCTCTAGCTGCTCTCTCTCTCTTCTTCCTTTCTCCTTCCCTCCTGCCTTCCTCTCGATTACCTGCTGACTGTAGAAAAGTTAGCTGTACATAAACAGAAATGCTTCCACACAAATGAACAAGTAGTGATATTTTAGTCAAAGTAAGAGGTCAAGACAAAAAAAAATCAGTAAATGATACATAAAATACACTTTTACAGTAAACCAGGCACATCCCATTACTAAGATATAGTAGTCACAAAACCTTATGATTTTTTATTTGGCATTTGTTTTTTAAAACATTTTTTTATTTTATTTTTATTGTTGTAACATTGGTTACTAACAGCATATAATTTTCAGATAAAACACCATTATAATGGGCTATCTGTATGCATTGTAATAGGCTCACCATCAAAGTCTGGTTTTCATTTATCACCATACATGTGACCCCCCTCTGCCCATTTTTGCCTTCCTTTCCAATAACCACCAATCTGTCTGTATCTATGAATTGAGTAACATCAAAGCATATAAAGCAAAAAGTGTTGGAAATGTAAATTGCTTTCTGTCCGAAGCAAAGCGTTGTCTATAAAATTAAGATTCTAACAGGAATGCCTGTTGGGATCCTCGTGGTAATTAAGCTAGATAATGCATGTGTAATGAGCAAGAACACCCCATGCCACACACACTTCATCTTGAGCTCAAATCCAAAGCGAAAGAAACTTAATCTTATTCTTAATCCATTCGGGACCATCTCACTCCATTCTGTTTCTCCTCCCTTGGTTTTTACCTGGGACATAGGTTGCACCCAACTTCCAGGGGGGACACAGAGTTTCAAGACATCTGGGGAGCCAACGGTTCCTGCATGAATGAGAAGTGCCGTGGCCTTGCCTGCTTGCTCTCCAGGATCCATGCCTGTGGCTGCGGCCACATCCCACCATCCGGACCGCTGCAGGTATGCCAGCCCTCCTTTAATGCAGCTTCAGATCTTTTCATGAAAGCACATGAGAAGCCCGCTGCTCCATGTGTCACTCTGGGGCCAGCGTCTGTCTGAGCCTCTCTCTGCCTTGACACCTAGAGTATTCATTCCTGGGTGAGTGCCCACCACGTGGGTCAACTGGGACCTCGGTGAGCAGGCTGCCTGCCGGGCTGCACATGGCAGGCCAAGCAGTAGGCTTAAGTGCCTGCTCTGAAGGTCCTACATCAGGTCAGATTTCTGCTGTTCCTGGACCCCGATGTTGTCTCTAGAGTAGTGATCGGCAAACTCATTGGTCAACAGAGCCAAATATCCACAGTACAACGATTGAAATTTCTTTTGAGACCAAATTTTTTAAACTTCTTCTAACGCCACTTCTTCAAAATAGACTTGCCCAGGCTGTGGTATTTTGTGGAAGAGCCGCATTCAAGGGGCCAAAGAGCCGCATGTGGGCCGTAGTTTGCTGACCATGGCTCTAGACCACATGTGTCAAACACAAGGCCCGCCAGGCCTTGCAATGTGGCCCGCACCGCGCTGTCATCACTGCACTCCGCTGCATTTCCATCACAATGACAGTTTATGACTGTTCAGTAAACCATTCGGCCCGCGATTTAGGCTGGATTTTAGATTTTGGCCCCTTCTCTGATTCGACACTAGAGTCTAGAATAATAGCTGTCAACTGGGTCTGCATATCAGCCTCTCCTTAAGCTTGAACAACACCAAAGCCCAGGCTCCTTCCCAAGCCAATTAGAGAAGGATCTGTGGGCTTGGGGGCTCAAGCATGGTATTTTTTTTTAAAAGTCCCCAGAGTGATTCCAATGTGTAGTTCAAGTCCACAGCTAGGTGGTTGAGTGGAAGATTTCTGGAATGAAATTCAAGTTTTTAATATTTCCCTTCAGCAGTTTACAAGTGATCATGCTGTCACGCTCATTAGCATAAAGCAGTGATAATCTCATCATTATTATGTGATGATTAAAAGTGTTATTTTGTTGACTAGGTTTAAATATTTTTCATATGCTTTTGTAAAATTAGTATTTCCTTCTTAAGGACTGTTGGTTGCCCTAAACGCTTTGGCTCAGTGGTTCAAGTGTACGCCTGTGGACTGAAGGGCCCAGGGTTTGATTCCGGTC